TAAAATAACATTTTTATAAAAACTTTATAAAATAAAGTCGCAATTATGACAAAGTCACACTGTAAGATATAAAGTAAAAATTATGAATGTCACATTTTAAGATAATAAGCAATGACTTAAAGTCTCATCTCGAAATATTAACCAATAATTGTCATGTGAAGTCATAGGTGAAAAGTTAAGCAATGAATTTTAGACACATTGTCAAATATACTCACATTATAAAAAAATACTCACAATAACAAGAAATAAAGTTGCATTTATGAAATCAAGTCACATTGTGAGATTTCACCTTCACAATGAGTTTATTTTGAGGCATTCTGTCAAAATATACAACTCAAATCAGCAAATTGGTCTCGTTGAGAGGAAACTCCACCTTCAAAAACATCCCAGACTCCTCTTCAGCTTTCTAGTTCTTCAGCCAGTCTGAGTGTGATTGTATCAAATGACAGGATCAGTATTTCCACTACACTCTGGGCCACACACAGACATAAGCATTAATGAGCGGTTTAAACCCGCTTAGAGGAACCAGACACCTGCTGTCTCTCTCAAAGGTCAAGTTTGTTGTGATACTCTGACCTCAATGTCAACCATGTGTGTAAAAACCTGCTGAAAGTGTCAAGTTGCTGTCATTGAACTGTTTGTGGCCACCAAATATTGCACTAAATATAGAAGGAAACCACAACTAATTATACACAAAATAAAACCATTCATCACACAGCCGAAGACTTCAAATAGGCCCAGCACATTTCAAAGAGTACCTATTATGTAAAATTCACTGTTAAAAGCGGTTTAAACACAATTGTGCAACAACAGTGTGTGAATATAGCCAGCCTCCAATGGCAAACATTTTTTTCATTCAATCACACTTTATAAAAAACAGTCTGCAGAAATACTTTAATTGACATTCTCCCTTTGTACATGTCATCATACGGGGAAAGCCCCACCCATTAGTGACAAGCTCTTTCTCATTCGCATAAACAGCCCTAAGTGGGAAGCAGCCATCCACCATTAGAGTTTTTTCACCATACTTGGCGAAGAGAATGTCAGCATCTTGTCAGTACTTGGCAAAATCATGACGTGCTCTCAAAAACATTATAAATTATTCATTTTAAGATGCACAAAGGAATACTGTAGTCTCCATAGACTACCTTTTGTTTTGAGCCACTTGTTTGACATTTTCAGTTTTTCAGAGAGTAAACATTCCAGTCTTGATATTTGTTGCTCCACACACTTTTGAAAAGAGGACAGGTGCACAATCTCATTTGAATTTAAAGCTACAGTCACCAAAGCGCCGCAATTTTGATTAAAACCTAAAAACAGGCAGTTATTATTTATTATTATAAATTATTTATGGAAAATTTTGAGCTCAAACTTCACATACAAAGACTAGGGACATCAGAGACTTATTTTACATCTTGTACAAAGAGACATGATAGGTCTCCTTTAAAAGAAAACACTGCTTTAAAATGTATTGTTGGATGAAAAGCTGATTTAGCAAGGAAATCTTGCTAGTAAAATAGTTACAAATGGAGATGGCAGCACAGCAGCATCCTGTGCTGGAAATGAGTACCCAAAACACTGCGAATGATGAAGCCAGCTGGTGTTTTCAGCAATGCATCAGTCTGCAAATGTTTCATGTAGTTTCTTATACATTTTTAAACATTTTGAACCTGAGGCAAAATAAAAGCATTATAAATGTTTTGCTGCATTCTTGAGAGCTTTATAGTGAGCTCAATATGATTACTTGCTTCTTGCTAAAGAAAGATTTCGTCTTAAAATAAAAATTTGCTGTTAATTTACTCTTCCTAAAGTCATTGTAGATGAATTTTGTTTTCATTAAATCAGTAAAGTTTTTTTTTTTTTTTTTTTTTTTTGTTAAATGCAGGGACATTTCATAAAGTATGGTGATCCTTGGTGAACCATTTTATTATAAAATACAAGTCATTGGCTTCCAGGGAGTAAAGCAAGTGTAATATTGAGTTACTCTCCCAAAAAGTCTAGTTGCGTTACTTAGTTACTTTTTATGATAAGTAATGCATTGCACTTCTTTTGAGTTACTTTTGTGTTATTCGTTTTGTGTTATTCCCTTACCGGGCTGAGGCTTGACCTCTTTCAGAATTTGCAGACTTTCTGAGCCCAGAGCTCTGCGTGCCGTATGTACTGATTAATGAAAGTTTAAAGCAACGTGTTTGCTGCTTTTGTACTTTTTGTCTTATTAGTGAAGTGCAAACTATTTTCAAGTACAATTCACTTTCTTCCATGTGTTCAAAATAATGAACGCATTCTCTCCATACCTGCCAATATTTGTTTCTGGGTTAGTAATTTGTTTTAACTGGGTTAGTAACTGTACTGTGGTGTTAGAAGCCTTCAATGGAAGGGATCGGGATTTGCGATTGAGATTGGATACTATACCAAATGGTGACCCAGGGGTGTTACAGACTGTACCAAAAAGCAGAGGACTAGGGGCAGGGTGAAATTACGGGAGTTTTCCAGTAGAAAAACAAAATGTGAGGGTGACGGAAGATGGGTCTGAAATACGGGAGACTCCTGTAAAAAACGGGAGTGTTGGCAGCTATAATTCTCTCATATCAATTTTAATTAAGCAATTTATTTTTTAGAAGCTGATTAATTCAACAAAAAAGTCATTCATGTTACATTTAAAAAAAAAAAGAAACTTAAATATAATTACTTCATTTTTAAAAGTAATGCGTTACTTTACTCGTTAAAGTGCTGCGTTAATGCTTGTTAATTTTTTGTGACTTTAACTGCAGTTCGGCAGTTTCACTTTCAATCATGAACATTTTATTCATGCCCCCATGATAAACTGGGGTATTAGACACAAATAAGGAGTAAGGACGGGTGAAAGTGTTATGGAATTTAATAACACGCCAAATGGAAAGAAAAAAACTTCGAAATTTCGCGATGTGTGTTGCATGTGTGGATCTTGTCGGAAAATATGGTGAAAAGTCCTACATTGCGGTAATAGTTTGATCACGGTGTTTACCTCAATAATCCTACTAATATATGCATACTCCACGTCTTAATTCCATTTGTTTAGTTCGGTTATGACTGGCGGATTAAGGTAATAAAAAATCACTGTTTTGAGCTTATGTAGGCCTACAGTTTAAAATTCATGTTTAACTGAATACACAGTTAGTAAACACAAGTACATCTTATTAATCATAATTTATTTTCATCACCAATTATCATAGTAGAACAGTTTCTCAAACAGTTTGTGATGCGTTTTGAAAACGGGAGATGAGCCCCTGGTCTTATGCGCCACCTGGCTTGAGAAACCTGTTCTTAGAGATTTAGTTTTAGTCATTATTTGGGTATTACACATATTCTGAATGCCTTCGGCAGAATTCAAATGAGCCATTTTAATTTAGATTAATCTAGATTAATTCCAAGATTACAGTGAGATTAATCTAGATCCAAAAAATCTAGTTTAGTTTAGTTTAAACTTTATTGTCTGTTTTATTTGACACAGAAAGGAATTTTATCTTTAACACTGGGTTTAAGACAACAGTTGCAAACTGAAAAAAATTATTCAAAGATGATTCCTTGGATTTACTCAATTTTTTTACGTTAAGTGGTTGTAAATAATTTATTTTGGCTGAATTTAAACAAACAAATTAAGTTGAACATTATTAAACTTAATTTGTTTGTTTAAATTCAACACAAATAAATTGTTTGCAACAGTTCTGCATGCAACACTTTTTTCAGTATACATACAACAACCACACAATAACAACACTCATCAAGACAACAACATAAGTTAAAAGTTTAAAAACCAAATTAGCCCCATACAAGCTACTGCATATCATTCTTGGCAACCACCACATTCACTTCAAATTTAAAATAACAACTGCCATTGGGATAAATTACTTTTTATAAGCATTTCTTCGTGCCTTAGGAATTCTAAACCTGCGTCCTGATGGTAACAACTCAAATACATCTATGCCCACTTAATATCCCCACATAATTATTACATAACTTACTAAATACTTAAATAATTGTAATGCATTAGCCCCAACACTAGTGGCTAAAATGGAGAGAAACAGATAAAAAAATAGTTCAGATGACTTGTTGCTGTAATATAGTTTTCTATACAGTTTTCAGAATGTATATGATAGATTCAAATGTTAGGATCTCCTAAGATTTTAGGATTTAAAATATTTTTAACAAATAATTTTTGTAAAGCTTATCAAAAAAAAGTATGAATTTTCAAGAAACAGATGAACAGAACATTGGTGTTGCTTAATGTTTGTTTCATTTCTAATTGTGGCTTCGCTTTATCAGGATTCTTTTATAAGTGACAGTAGTATAGACCGTATTTGAAATGTAATATTTTGTAAAATTATTGTTAGTATTTGATTAGTATTATTATTAGTATTTGAACAGCTTGATGTATCCTTGTTATAATAAAAGCATAATTTTTCTGTAAAAAAAATCTCATTGACCGCAAACATTTGAATAGCAGTGTGCAGTAAGTATTACAGTACATTCATTTATATATTAAGTCATGTGGGGTTTGACGTCTTAATTTCACATTCACTTTAATATGGGGGGAAAAGCATGCTATCAAACATGATGTATCCAGGTCTGTAGCATAGCGTGTAAATTATGGCACAATTACCAAATTTGCCTGAACTATTCTTTAGAGTATTATCATCATGCATGACACCCTGAGAGGAATAAAACTCTCAGGCCTAACATCATTGTGCTCATACTCCGGTTCCTTAAGCTTAAACAATTCTCTTTTATTGAAATAATAGCTGTCTCCATCTGAGTGCTATTCATTCCTTTAAAGCGGCGCTGGGCTCAGCCATATCTGACAGGATAAATGTGCTGGATTATACAGGCGATTTCCAGAGACGATTCGCCGATTACATTGACTCTGCTAACAGAAAAAGATCAAAATGATTATTCTGAACGCGCGTGTGTGTCTATGCATATGTATGACGATACCGATCTCTCTCACTTCTTGTGTTTTACAGATAAAAGGGAGAGAGCGAAGCAGCTAAATAAAGCAGGGAACAAGCCCGTCTCAGGACATCAGTCCAAAGAAGAGGATCTGCTGGCAGAGAGATAAGAGGAGGGAGGACAGGGAACCACAGAAAAGAGAGAGAGAATGGGATATTGCGGCATATGGATCTTCCTCTTGTTCCTGTCTCTCTGCTATCAAAGCAGCACTGCAGAGGCTGAAGGTAGACTGCTGAATCATGCTTTATCTACATGCCATAGGGGCTCCTCAGTCCCCGCTGAACTGCCAATATCCCGCCCTACAGTCAATCACCCTCTGAGAAGGTTGCAGGCATGAGTCAAAATCAACACTACTTCTAAATCTGGGCAAAATTTGGTTGTGCAGTTGGAATTAAGTTACCCTCAGTATATCAAAGAGGAGTTATTTTTAAAATGCTAAAATATAAAGTTATGCTGATTATTGTCAGACAAAGATCCTTAATTATTGCACTGTAAAAACATCTTACTGCTTGAAATTTAGTTGAATCAAATGACAATTTCTAGTCTAGTTCTAGTGTTTTTACAGTGTAGTTATGTCTAAATTATTCCTGGTAGATGAATGCGTTAAAAATATTTTTTTTTTGCTGCTTGCGCAAACTGCTTTTTTTAAATAAGCTGAAAACAATTCTTGAGATTTTTTTTTTTTTTTTTTGGGGACAACTTAATTGGTTTATGTTCAATCCATTTAAATCGGTTAAGCTTGTGTAAGGGCCCCTATCATACACCCCGCAATAAGGCACAAGATGTATTTGGCATAATTTGTTGCTATTTTCAGACCAACGCAACCCTGTTTGGGCAGGGGAGTCGCGGTAGAAAGTGAAAGTGAACACCAGATGGGGGAGGAGGGCGGTTGAAGAGGGGGAAAGGTAAAATGAGGTGCTGGATCAGATTTCCGAGGTGCCTGATCAGAATCCGGCGTGTACCGGCACAAATTAAGCCCTGGTTGTGTGCTCTAAATGCATACACATTGCTTAACACACACAGGATGTACAGAAATACATTAATGTCTTTATAAATAAAAAAATAAAAAATGTAAATATTATAAAAATAATTATTATTACTGCATAAATAAAAAATAAAACACTGCCTCTATGCCGAGGGGCTTTTTTTCAGTTTATTCATGACAATTGGTATTATTTTTTATTTGCATATTTACATTTTTTTTTATAAAAACATGTTATGATTTGTCTACCTGTCGGGTTTTAAAGACGCATGCATCACCATATGGGGCACAAGAACAGGACGTGTGTTTGGATAATACTCAGTTTTTTCATTTATTTGTTTCCTGGAAATTAAAACTGAATTTAGAAATAGTTTTCAAACTAATCATTGCGCTAAACAAGCTAAATTAAATATGCAGGCTAATGGATGTCTTCAGTGGAGTGCGTACAACACTGTTTCCTTATCGATGAAAGTAAAGGACTAAAGTAAAGAATAAAAGTAAAGAGAAAGTAAAGAGGCCAAATGGAGGAGGCTCGTTCTTTATCCTCGCGCTGCAGATAGGCGGTTTAACTGTTTCCTCGCTAGTGAAGCGTTCAGTTTTTCCACTTACAAATCCGCAATGTAAATAGCAAATGCACTATGGAGTGACACAACTGACACCTAAAGGGAATGGGAGATGAAAGTCTGATTGGTTTAATGCACATTATGCTCAAAACACACCTATAGCTCATTAAGAGTATATGCAAAAACCTGTTAGACCATGTGGGCGTAAAGCATATTTTTCTGTCCTTAAAATAGCAAAAGTTAATTCAGACATGCCATTAATACTTTTGCACCATACGCTTTAGACTTTCTGCCTAGATCATTAAAATAGAGCCATTAGTGTTGGATCAACTTGACTAAATTGTGTGGAGCCCTGCAGTTTTTACAGTGTGGTTACTTTGTAGTTGGTCACTTTTGTCAGATTAAATTATATTTCTTTAATAATTCATGTTAATTCATAGTTATTTTTAATTTAAAAAGTTAGTTAGATAAGTCAATATGGTACTGTATGGTAATCTTTAAATAATCAAACAGTTTGCAGTTACAGTTAGATAGTATTTGTTTCAGTTCAGTTGTAATTAGTTGATTAATTTCTTGTAAGTAAAGATAAATTATTTAAACTAAATGTTATTAGTTTATATATTCATTTTATTTTATTTTATTTTTGAATAATTAATCAGTTACGCTACAGACATGTTCTTCAATAAAAGTATATATTATATTTGATATATATTATTTGATCTTATTTAGCTGGAAAAATATTAGAAATTTTAAGATTTTAAAGTCATTTATGTCAGTTCAAATAGAGTTATTTAATAAAAAAATCTAACAAAAGATGCTCAGGGGTAGCTTAAATAATGTGTCTGTGCTCTTTGGGTGTGGGATTCATCAGAATAATAATTTTTTAAATAATTTTTCCACATTTTTCGAGTGCCTTGGAGTATTTTTTTAATAGTTATTTAATAGTTGGTTGAATAATTAATTAAATTTTTTTTTTAGTTATCCAATTCTGTTAGAATCTCCCACATAGCTCACTTTGTACTTTTTCTGACCTGAAATTCCTGACCTGGCAAAATCTATATGGCTTTCTTACGTGGAGCGACTGTCTTCTGTACTAGAGTATTTGAGAAAATCCACCTCTAATGCTGTCCATGTTTGTCAGCTGTTGTCTGTTTGCACACCTGAAGACTCGATACAGGTGGAGCTGAAGTGAACATTGAGTTCTTCCATATGTGTCCTTCTGAATCAGCAACTTCTGCTGCAGGACATCTGCATCCCTCCTGCAGAGCCAGCCTTTAAGATAAATCACTGCACCCTCTCTGATTCCCTCTCTGCAAAAAAGCGTGTATGTGTGTGTTTCACCTTGAGCTGTGTGTGTATGAGGCGAGAATGTGAAACATATTGAATTCATGCAGGATGGTTTTAGAGGAGTCTGTCAGGACCAATTACTGACTGAGGCACTAATGCCCTGAAACACTGTAATTTTCCACACCTCTTCAAAACGGCTGTTTGCAGTGACAGACACTTGACTATGAAATGGAAAGAATGTACTTTGTGAGGTCACGTCCTTGTGCTCTTTCAGCATCGCACTAACTTCTGTTAGGTGTAAAAGCTTGAGCATCTAACCATATAGTAATAAACTCGCATGCCTGTAAATACACAGTCAGGCAGTCACTTTTCATTGCTTTCAGGGCCCTGTTTTCATCGTAATGACCTGCCAGTCTGCTTTTAGATTAAGTGAATGTTTGCTTATTTCTTCGCCGATTTTATGGGTCGGCAGTGAATGGAGCTCTTTAAGTTGTATCGTGTTAAACTACATCATCTTCACAGGCTGATGATTTTAATCTTGCGGCAGATGATTTCAGTTTAATCCTATTCACACGCAAGTGCGCGCTCCGCAAGCCGCAGCTGAGATGCGACTAGAAAGGAAAACTGGAGATTATCCGGTTGTTGTAGTGATAAAGGCTCTGTCATGATATTAGAGGTATTAATGTTAATAAGCATGTTTACATGATCACCGCTTTAATAATCGATTGTCCTAATAATAATAATGACACATAACAAGTTTTGAAAGATTTATCTAATGCTTTTGTAATATGTAGCTCTTTGTCAAAGCCAAAAACTGACAATGTGGGAAAATTATTTATAATATGGTTTAACTTTTAAAATCTCCAGACATGCTAAAGCATTTTAAGAATTTTAGCCTCACATTAATTTTTTGTGTGCCTTCCCAGCAGGCACCGTTAAAAAAAATGCTAATTGATTTGATGTCAGTTGTGACTACCTTGATTTTTAAATTAGGTTAGGTTTGGTTAGGTTACTTTATTTATAGCTGAAGGTACATTTGGAGTCCCCTATTCATAACAGTGCCAAACAAAAAAACTCACATATTAACAACAACATATGTACGAGAAGACATCAAACATAAAAACATTCATAAAGAATAATAAACCCAAGTAGCAAAGATTTCAGGCCAAGATTTGGCATAAAGCTGGCACAGCAGGCATTCATCCGGCACTGGCATATGGCATGTGGGCCAAACATGGCCCGTGTTTGGCACCGTCTTTAAGGTAACACAAAATACTTGGGCCAGAAATCAAATGTAGTATTTGGCCCAGATGCTAATAATGGATTTGTGGGCCATGTAAGTTTGGCCTAACCTGACCCACAGTTAAAATACATTTTTATTATTTCTGAATGAAGGAAAAAAAAATCCACCTATCAGGTCGCTTCGAGAAAAAGAATTCCCATAGCCCACCTAAAGGGCAATGTTTCAAGGGTTCATCAATTTCATTGCAGTCGTGACACATGACCAACATATTTCGCCCAGTTTAGGCCCAGATATGGGTTAGTAACTTGACTGGGACTTGGCCTAGATATGGTCTATGTTTTTAGTTCTTGTCTGGAAGCCAGACTTGGTGTAGTCCTGTACTGTAATTCACCGCAGCATGTTGGCCAAGCAAAAGCTGGTTGTGTGGGCCAGAGATATTTTGCTACAGTATGTGGGAAGTTATAGTAGCTAATACCCTGAACTTTTCTTTTGTAAAGCTGCATTGAAACAATAGATATTGTGAAAAGCGCTATGAACTTGAATTGAATGGTGTAGTCGAGAGGAGAGGAGAGGAGAGGGAATCCTGTTTTTTGTAGTTTGTGGACAAGAGTTTCAGAAGGGGGTAAGGTTGTTGGAATTGAGGACTCTAACAGCTTGTGGAAAGAAGCTGTTGAGTAGTCTAGCCGAGTAGGCTCTAATACTCTGAAACAACCTTCCTCAAGACAAGAACTGGAAGAGACAGCGGAAGGTATAAGTGGAGTCTTTTATAATACTGGAAACTTTACTGGAGCTTCATGAAAGGTCAAACTCCTGAATGAAGGGGAGACTGGCACCAATGATCCTCTCAGCTGTCTTCACTGTCCACTTAAAAGTCTTGCAAGCAGCAGCACTGCAGTTCACGTAAAGCATGGGTCTCAAACAGGATTCCTCGAGTGCAGCAGATCTGCACTGTTTTCCACCAACTCTAATTAAACACAGCTGATACAAATAATCGAGGTGTTCAAGACTACTAGAGACTATTAAGCAGGTGTGAGTTGGAGGTGGTTGGAACTAAAATCTTCAGAGCTGTGGCCCTGCAGAGTTTGAGACCACTGCTGTAAAGGGTGTAGTGAAGGTCTCAGATAGAGGACAGCTGCCGAATTCAGATTTTTCCAGTCCGTCTGTCTTCATCTCTCCCACTGGTTGAATGCCTCTGGTCCGTCAGAGCGAGTATCCTCACTGGACCGTTAAAGTTTGCAGTTAAACTTTTTTTCCTCTCCTAGCATGCTAAAATAAATCACCAAAGTGTGCAGGGTTTCCGTTTTACCAACTTTTCCCAAAATGCAACTGAAGGTTTTATGCTAGATGATCAATAGGTGTTTAATGCATGTACTTTTGTTTCCAGAGCTCTTTTGTGTTCTGATGTTATTATAGCATCTGTCTTACGCTTGTTGGGAAGGTAGAAAAAAAATGAGCATTTCAAAGCTTTCTTCTTAGAAGCGTTGGGATGCACTTGTCTGTTTGGGTTTTATTGTATTTCAGGTGTGGGTGTGTGAAACTATCTTCTCTGATCTCTGGCTGTAAGTTGTCTGCTGTTATTAGGTCTAATCTAGTGCCGATAAGCTCCTGCCTTCAGCAGCTTGTCTTTGGAGAGTGATTTCAGAGGACATCTGCAGTCCACTTAGTAGTGCCGGTGTAATCACCTCACAACCAGTGCCATGTTCAGAGTGAACCAAGACAACAAACAAGTGGGTTTGGTTTAGGGAGTACGGTGCTGGAGATAAAGCTCAGAAAGCATCCTGAGTTTGTAGGTCATATGAAACACAAGCATTGTTTGGCCGGATTTTACTTTTATTCTGTCAGGTCTTATTTTTACACTCTGAAGCTGATGTTTGTGTTCAGTGTAGTTTTTAACGTGTAGGTTATTCTGCTTGGATGTAAGAGTTGTGGTTTTATCTGAGTTCACACTGCCATCTAATGGTGGCTGCACACATTGTAGCTGGATGAGAACAAGAAGGCCTTGTTGCCCAAACATTTACATATCAGCCCCGTAGCCAGCCTGGTTAAAGGGGTAGTTTTTTTATTAAAAAGGAGACCTTTTTGCAGTTATTTACTTCAATTTTTATTTAATTATGAGGTTTAAATACTGCATTTAGTGGTATTTTAAGCACTTTTTTTAGCTGGATTAGCTTGTCGCAGGGTCATCATAGCCACACTTTTTGAAGTACCAAAAACTTTCCTAAAGATTTAGAATATAAAAAAAAAAAATTACATATATCATTAGGAAAAAAAAGGAATATGCTTAAGTTTTAAATTAAAAACTGTAGCCTATTGTATCATTTATTAGGCAAATAAACTAAGCACATTCATCTTTCCTCAATCAGAATTTGGCCAATAATTTTTTTGGCCAGGAATATTGAACAATTAAATAATAATAATAATAATAATAATAATAATAATAATGTAGAGCATGATGATTTTTCTGGTCTCTCTTGTAAAAAGGTACATTTGAAAATATATAGATAAAAACAAAAGCCAAATTAGTATTAAAATTAATTTCCTTAAATAACTGACAGCTTAAAATAACTGAGAGCGCATTACCTAATTCTTGTACCATAATTTAAATGACCAACCTAGATTATAGATGTTTTCAATCTGCCAAAAAAAATTGCATTGTGCATTATTTGACATTTATGCAGCCTTGAGCTGGAGGGGGTCTGGTTTGGGGATCACAGGATCTCATCTCTGTTATTCGCAGACGATGTTGTTCTGTTGGCTTCATTGAGCATGGACCTTCAGCATGCTCTTGAGTGGTTTGCTGCCGAGTGTGATGCAGCTGGAATGAGAATCAGCACCTCCAAGTCCGAGGCCATGGTGCTCCACCGGAAGAAGGTGGTTTGCCAACTCCAAGTTGGAGGAAAGTCCTTACCCCAGGTTGAGTATCTTGGGATTTTGTTCACGAGTAAGGGAAGGATGGAACATGAGATTGACAGGTGGATTGGTGCAGCGGCAGCAGTAATGCGGTTGATGTACCGGTCCAATGTGATAAAGAAGGAGCTGAGCCGAAAGGCGATTTACATGTCAATCTACGTTCCTACTCTCACCTATGGTCATAAGCTTTGGGTCATGATCGAAAAGACAAGATTTCAGGTACTAGAGGCTGAAATTAGTTTCCTTCGCAGGGTGGTAGGGTGCACCATTTTATAGACAGGGTGAGGAGCTCTATCACCCGGGAGGAGCTTGGTGTAAAGCCGCTGCTCATCCACATCGAGAGCAGTCAGCTGAGGTGGCTCGGGCATCTGTTTCAGATGCCTCCTGGACGCCTACCTAGGGAGGTGTTCCAGGCATGTCTCACTGAGAGGAGACCCCAGGTAAGAGTCAGAACTTGCAGGAGGGACTATGTCTCTTACTGGCCTGGGAATGCCTCAGGATCCCCCCAGAGGAGCTGGAGGAAGTGTCTAGGGAAAGAGAGGTATGGGGTTCTCTCCTTAGACTGCTGCCCTCGCAGCCTGGCCCCAGGAAAAGTGGTTGAAAATTAATGAGTTACCTGACCACACTATCTGCAGTCAGTTCTAAATAAATATATTCTCTGCAAATTTTTTTTAAATAATAATAAATAAATAAATAAATAAATAAATAAATAAATAAATAAATAAATAAATAAATAAATAAATAGATAAAATAAGGGAGCACTGCAAGGTAAAAGCACTTATGTAGGCTAAATGTTAACACTCATCTAAAATGATTTTCTTTGGTTAATTGTACCACAATAGATATATTATTATTAACTTCGATAAATTCAATAAAAACTGTAAAAATGTATGGCTTATTAATATTTGTTGTATTGATTAAAGGGAATGTTCACACAAAAATTTTAATTCTGACATCACATACCCTTGTTTCAAACCTGTTTTTTTTTTTTTTTTTGGACAAAAAAATTTGTTATTTTAAAGAATGTTGGAAACCTGTAACCACTGACATCCACAGTAAGAAAAAGAAATGCTATGAAAGCCAATGGGTAGAGGTTTCCATCAGAAAATCTCTTCTTTTGTATTAAACAGACCAAAAAAAAAAAAAAAAAAAGTTTGGAACAAGTGAAGTAAATGACCTTAGAATTGTCATTTTTGGCTGAACCTTCCTTTTAATATTAACAAATTGGACATTTTTGCAATGTGCTACTAGTTTTCATATAATTTAATCAAGTTTTAATTCCCCAGGATGCTTTAATTTACCATAATCTCCAAACAAAACCAAAATAAAAACAACAGACATGAATCAAAGCATGTTCATCAATAAAAAAAGAACTGATTGATGATGTTGTTAATTGTATTATAAACAGTGAGCTGTTAATGATTTTCTATCTGAAGATCTGATCTTTCATCCATTTTATAAATTAATTTCACCGTCAATCAGGTTTTGTACTCCAAAAGTTCTCATTATTAACCATTTTAACAGTTACAACGTTATCAGTCATAATAATATGATATATTTTTCAAATAAATAAATCTCAGTAAGTCAGTAAGTCTCTCTTGTTCTTTTTCAGTATGCCGTACAGCCATGCCTGCTGATATAGTGTTTCTGGTGGATGACTCCTGGTCAGTCGGACCGACCAGTTTCCAGCAAATCAAAGAGTTCATAGCGGACATCATCCGAGCCTTCCAGGGAAATGTGTTCGGACAGGAAGGCATTCGCTTTGGGGTGACCGTCTATTCAGACTTGCCCAGGTCAGTGTCCACAGTCGTTTAGCATTTCTAGCAGAACATTTATGAATATGCGAGACCTTGCTTTATATACTCAACCTTGTATCTTAGTAAGCACAAATAAACTGCTTGAGCACTGCATATGCATCTGCTGGTGTCCTTGTTCAGGATGCGTATCGCTCTGACGGATTATTCCACTCTGGATGAGGTGCTGCGGGCCGTGGAGGACGTGCCGTATGAGGGGGGCAGCAGCCGCACTGGCCTGGCATTGGAGTTCCTGGAGGAGTCTGTGTTCAGTCCTTCTATCATCAGAGAAAGCGCCCCAAAGGTGGGAAGCTTTAATCACTATCCCTTCAAAACCTCAACATTCACATCTGTTAGAAAAACAGTGCATTCATAGGTGGCAGAGTAGCTATATCTAAAGCGGGTAACACTTTTAAATAATGGTCCATTAGTTACTATATTTACTAACTTGAACAAACATTCATTATGATATTTATTTATCTTTGTTAAGCTTAGTTAATGTAATTTCAATTAAGCAATGTTCATGTTAACTCACTTGTGCATTACCAAGCACAACTTTAGATTGTAATAATGCATTAGTAAATGTTGAACTATGATTAATAAATGACCATTTATTTTTAATTAATGTTATTAAATACATTTATTAACATTAACGAATGGATTATTATTCTAAAGTCACCTTAAAGCATTATACACAAGTCAACTAAAGCCCTGGGAAAATCTCAAACACATATTTTATGTGATATTGCGTGATTACTTCACATTCTTTTAAGGCAGAAATGCATCTTAACTCACTGTTAAAGGCGGGACAATCAATTTGAATGTGAAACTGCTGTATGACATGACAGTCAAAGCAATTGAGAAGATGTGTAATGTACATATGGATCATGGATAAAAGATCATGGAGAGGGTGGGCACTCTTAACCTTTAAATTATTTTGCAATCAATTGAACCTTCATTTTAGGTTCCAAACATGCATTGGATGTTATTGAAAATGCATAAATAATTTTGTTAAGGTCAGTTTATTATACAATTTGGATAATGGCTTGTACAAAGACCTAATGAATAAATCATTCAGTCAGTCAGTCAGTCAGTGACTGACCGACCATGTTGACAATGGAATTGAGGAACCAAATGCAGGTTTATTCTAGACCAGTGGTTCTCAAACTGTGGTACATGTACCACTAGTGGTACGCAGGCTTCCTTCTAGTGGTACGCGGAGGAATGAAATATGTCATGTACATGCTACACACATTTCAAAATGTATCAAAAATTATGTTTATAATATGTCATATATGACATATAACCTATATTTCTGATGTAATCTGCCACGTTTTTTAAATGTGCAGAGTTGTAGCTGCTTTACTGGGCCTACTGCGCTACTGTATTTCTATACTGCTCATTTTGGTGGTACTTGGAGAGACAATATTTTTCTGAGGTGGTACTTAATGAAAAACGTTTGAGAACCACTGTTCTAGACAAACAATGGCCAGAGCAGGGGCAAATGGTTACATGCAGGGAAATCCAGAGCGTAGTCCAGGCGAATGATCAGTTTCGGCGGCCAGCAACGCAAACAGCCAAAGCAAGGCAAGGGAAACACGTCGTTAAGTTCACCAAACAGTTGACAAGACTCATCCCAGATGTGTGTGAGTGCTATTTATATAGTCCTTGAATCAGTTCATGAATAGCATCAGCTGTGTGTTTGCAATCAGTGGAAAACAGGAACCAGTGTGTGTGAGAGGTGCATTGTGGGAGTTGCAGTTCTTTAGTGTGGTGTGTGTGTGTGTGTAGTCCTCCAGCGATCCGCAAGAATTTGATTGCTGAAGATTGTGAGAATCAATGAAACAAAAAAAGTGCTTCATGTCTCAGCAACTCAGCAACATTTATTATAATTATTATTTACTAACAACACAGGCACAAAATACGTTAAGACATGCTTCTTGGTTGTAAACAATGGCCCAGATACTCATGAAATAAACCAGTTAAAATAACTTCATTTCTGGGTGTAAAAGCGTTTAAAACTTATTAACAAAGAAAAAAAATTACACAAAAAGACCTGTTTATAAAATGAAAAGGTTAAAATATTGTTAAACGCTCGTCGTGAATCCCAATGAAAACTTTGTAACTTAAATCCTCACCATTAAAAAAAAAGTTTTTAATTGGCATTTACAGATCCATTACGAAATTTGTACATTAATGGAAACTTCACATTCCACAAAATGTTTTTATAGTGGATAAAGGTTGTTTAGATTGTTAAAATGTAACCCTTACTAAGACTAAAACGTGTTCATTGTAGCAATCGACTGAACTGTTCTTTGGGTACTTCGGTTTATCTAATGACATTACTGTGAAAACTTTTTTTTAAATAGAAATAGAAATGAACTTTTCTGTTTAATTGTCCTTTATTATTTTGGCACACTCTCCAAAAAAATTCCATTCTAATCTCTGCATGCCTAAAACTCCAGCAAAGTATTAAAAATGCTACTTTCGCAAATGAAACATTCTGTCACATATTGATAGAGCAAGCTTATCATTTTCTGGGAGAGAGCTGCACCTGCAGTCTGTCATTGATTCTGTCAGGACATCTCGTCCTGCGCTGCAGTACACACTCTCTGCTCCGCAGTGTCCCACCCATCCTAATTTAGGGCTTGATTAGGATTCCAAAGCGCACACAGCTGCCGGTCCTGCCGCCGAGCACCTGGTGTGGAGAAAAGAGCTGGCGTTTATAATGAACTGCAGAGATTTCACCTTTTATTAAAACTCTGGTCACATACATGCACAGTAATGGCACATTAGTGTACGGTGCATAAAGATGAATCCAGCCGCAGCTCCACCAGTGCTGCTGAACTTTAGCTGACCCACGAGATGCTTCTTTTTCTGGTTCCTCATTTGTGAGTGTAAGCGACTCTGCAGGTTTGGATCTGCTGCGGTTGGAGAATTATGTATGCAATGAGATGATAATTCATGCTGCGTGCTTTCAAGGGCATCAGTATCAGCATGATACTTTTAATGGCAGATTGAGTCCTTTAGTGAAGACTCACTCTTTTGGGGGGATTTCATGGAAGCTGACACGAAAAAAGTCCAAGGCATATTTCACAGCAATATCAAAAGAAAGTGATTCAAATTACAATCTGCATGAAGAAAGTTCAGTCTATTGTGTGTATATGTATGTTGTTTTGTGACTTTTTCCATGTCAGTGTAGCGTATTTTTCCCAGAATGTCAGTTTAAAGTTTTTCCCTGTTACTGTAAAATAAAATAATCACACATATTTAGTTGAATGTGCTATATTTTTGAACAATGTTCATAATCTGTAGACTTACAAAAGTCTAATCTCACCTATACATGTTTTAGGTACAAGAAATAATACCTTGACCTCTAGTTGATCATTTGGTATCAGAAAAAGCCAATATAAAAGGCAAATGCCTCTAGATTACGCTTTACAAAATAAAATATGATCAAGCCTTGATTTTTAATTATTTAATTAGGACAGTAAGGTCTGACTTAGCTTAGACAAAAGTATTGTACAGTATAGAATATAAAGTCATGGTGCAGTGGAAAAAGTATTAATATTGTGTATGACTTCCATGAGCTTGGACGACTGCATCCATACATCTCTGCAATGACTCAAATAACTTATTAATACAGTCATCTAGAATGGAAAAGAAAGCATTCTTGCAGGACTTCCAGAGTTCATTAAGATCCTTTGGATTAATTTTCAATGCCTCCTCCTTCATCTTACCTCAGACATGCTCAATAATGTTCATGTCTGGTGACTGGGCTGGCCAATCCCGGAGCACCTTGACCTTTTTTGCTTTAAGAAACTTTGACATGGAGGCTGCAGTCTGAGAAGGAGCGCTGTCTTGCTGAAGAATTTGCCCTCTCCTGTGGTTTGTAATGTAAAGGGCAACACAAATGTCTTGATACCTCAGGCTGTTAATGTTGCCATTCCACTCTCCATATCTCTCGTATGCCCCCATACTGAAAGTAACCCCAAACCATGATTTTAACTTTACCAAACTTGACTGATTTCTGTTAGAATCTTGGGTCCATGCAAGATCCAATAGGTCTTCTGCAGTATGTGATGATCAGGATGCAGTTCAACAGATGGTTCATCAGAAAAATCTTCCTTCTGCCACTTTTCCAAATGATCAACTAGAAATCAAGTTATTATTTCTTGCTCTTATACTTGGGATCAATGACAAGACTTTTGTCAGGTAGTATATTATAATTTAAATGAAAAAATCTACAAAAACAAACAGCATTTAAAGTTATCAGTAGGTAAACATTACAGTAATGAAAATTATAATATTTTTTAGACAAGTAAATGATATAGAAACATTAAAGAATAGTAAAAGTATATGATGACACAACAGTAATAAAAACTGTGGTATAAAAATCTGCACTTTTAGAACCTTTTTAAAAAAATATATATTATACTGTATGTAAAAGTTCTGTCGTACTTGTACATGTTAAATACATACTAACCTTAGACAATGCAAATAAATAAATAACAATTATATTTTTCATTTTTTTCAGCCTTAGTCTTTTTGGGTTAAGCACAGGACCGTTACTTTATTTTGTGCATCTTTGAATTTAGCAAGATGTGTATTTTTTATTAGCATGTAGCGTGTCTAAGGGAAAACTACAACTATGACCCAGTTTAAATATATATATTTAAAATAAACTACAGCCGACTGCACTGTATTTTACTCTATTAGAAAAAAAAATTGGGCAATAAAATGTCCAATTTATATTTCACACCAAAAATGAAATGCCATTTTATAAATTGTTATTTTAGGAATGATTAATATTTCGCACTGTAAAAAAAGTCCATGACAAAAAGTCATGACAGCAAATATTTATATATGCTGGGTTATATAATATATATATAATATTTTTGTCAGTTTGATTAGAAAAGTTCATTTTATTCAACTCTAAAATTTGAAACAGCAATTTTTTTACAGTGTGGCATTTTTATTACGACTAGGTAAAATATTTGAGTTTCATTGTTAATCTATATAAATTGTGCTGTCTCTTTTTGTCTTCAGATTGCTGTCCTGATCACTAATGGCCAATCTGATGATCAAGTGGACGATCCAGCCAAAGCTGTAGCAGACAGTGGGATTTCACTGTTTGCAGTTGGTGAGTTTCAGCACTATTATCAGTGGTGTTGTAGTTTGAACAGGCGTGACGCATATGTGTCTCAAAGCGACTATAGTGCAGCAATTTACGGTTAATGTTAACACTGGCACTTGTGCCAAGGCATAAAACATGCATATGTATTTGTGTGTGTCAGCCTTGTTTCCTTGACTTTCTTACGCTCTTTCTGTTTTGACGCCCAGAGTGCTGAAATAATTATGGCTCATTACCCGGTGGCCAACTAATTGCTGTAATTTTTCATCAGGCTCATTCCTCCTTGCCCCCTTCAACACACACACTCACATAAAACACACACACACACCGACACCATGTCCTGCCTTTCTAATCAGTTTTTCCTGAGAGATGTGAATAAATCAGCCCGTTTGACACATCTATGAGACACATGTACAGCAGGGCAACATGCCGCGACATTCTCCCATCATCACTCAACACCCGATACACCCTCAGATAATACTGGAGAACAGTCTGAGATACATAAGGGTCACTCATTCACACACACAAACACACACTGTTAAGCTAATAATGTGTGTTTTAGGTCTATATGAGCATTTTAAACAGTGAATCTATGGTATAGTGGTAATTGAATAGTTGTGCTGCTCATGTGGGAGATTTAGGTTTGAGCTTGGCCTGCAACCTGCCGTAATTTCTTAATACTGTATGTGATCAATTATGAATAAGTTCTGCATGGAAGTCACTAAATGTGCCTTACCTCCATGACAATTTTAGATGATAAACCTGTGGCATAGTGGTAAATTAATAGCTATGGTGCTCATATGAGAGAAGAAGATTTGAGTTTGGCCTGCAACAGGCTCTAATTTCATAACATGTGACCATTTCTGTATAGAAGCCATTAAATGCATCTGTTAGATTTGATGACAAATTTGGATGATACACCTGCGGTATAGTGGTAATTAAATAGCTATAGTGCTCATATGAGAGAAGAAGGTTTGAGTTTGACCTGCAACAGGCTCTAATTTCATAACATGTGGGCATTTCTGTATAGAAGTCATTAAATGCACCTGTTTGATTTCATGACAAATTTGGATTATAAAACTGAGGCAAAGTGGTAATTCAATAGCTATGGTGCTCATATGAGAGAAGAAGGTTTGAGTTTGACCTGCAACATGCCCTAATTTTAGAATATGTGAGCAGTTCTGTTTAGAATATATTAAATGTGCCTTACATGCCTTCATGGCCAATTTGGATGTGAACCTGTGGTATGGTGGTAATAAAGTGGCTATGGTGATCATATGAGAGAAGAAGGTTTGAGTTTGATCTGCAACATGCCCTAATTTTAGAATATGTGAGCAGTTCTGTTTAGAATATATTAAATGTGCCTTACATGCCTTCATGGCCAATTTGGATGTGAACCTGTGGTATGGTGGTAATTTAGATAGATGTGGTGCTCTTGTGGGAAATGACAGTTTGAGTTTGGTCTGCAACCTCCTCTAATTTCATAATATGTGAGCAATTATGAAGCATTTCTGTATAGAAGCCATTAAATGCGCCCATTTGATTTTGTGACAATTTTGGATGGGAAACCTGTGGCATAGTGGTAATAAAGTGGCTATGGTGATCATATGGGAGAAGAAGGTTTGAGTTTGGCCTGCAACATGTCCTACTTTCATAATATGTAAGCAGTCATATAGCAGTTCTGTAGAGAAGCCATTTTTTTGTGCTTTGCTTGCCTTTGTGATAATTTTGGTAGGATGAATCTGCGGCATAGTAGTAATTGAATAACTGATGTGCTCATGTGAGAAATGGAGGTTTGCGTTTGGCCTGCAACATGTCCTACTTTCACAATATGTGAGCAATCATGTAGCAGTTCTGTAGAGAAGCCATTCAATGTGCCTTACTTACTTCATGACAATTTTGATAAGATGAATATACAACATAGTAGTAATTGAATAGCTGTGGTACTCATGTGAAAGATGGAGGTTTGAGCTTGGCCTGCAACTTGTCCTAATTTCATAATATGTGAGCAATCATAATAACCGTTCTGTAAAGAAGCCATTAAATGTGCCTTACTTACCTTCATGACAATTTTAGTAATATGAATCTGCAGTATAGTAGAAATTGAATAGCTGTGGTGCTCATGTGAGAGATGGAGGTTTGAGTTTGGCCTGCAACATATTCTCATTTTATAATATAACAAAATATGGTACAGTTCTGCATAGACATTCTTAAATGTGACTTACAGCTCTTCTTGACCATTGGATCATGATCCTATGGCATAGTGGTAATTGAATATTATGAAAATGATTAAATTATGTAGCTTACTTGGTCATTTTCCGCTGTTATTTCAGGGGTGAGGAATGCCGATCAGTCTGAGCTGAAGAAGATCGTCACAGAGCCTCATGAGGAACATCTGATGCTCAGTCCAGACTTCTCCTTCCTGGAGCATCTGCTGCCCAAACTCTCTCGCCGCATCTGCTTCACTGCTTCGGAACCACCTCGACCTGTTAAACAAAAGCCGCCAGGTAAATCCTCCATGAGTTCTGTCAATGAAACATAAAGCTTATATATTTTTAAGTGTTTGATGCGTTAATTGGATTGTTAAACTCGGATCTCAATTGGTTAGATGCTGGTTGTTTAAAAGTAAACAAATGAAAATGTGCACATTGTTTACTGTGCCTCAAGTTCTTCCAAACATTAATAGGTTTCTTTATTCTGTTGGACACTAAAAAGATGTTTTGAAGAAAGCTGTAAACTGGTGATTATTGACAGTAAGAACCATAGAAGTCAATGGAAAATACCATAGAAGTCAATGGTTTGAGGTGTCTAACTTTCTTCAAAACTATTTTGTGTTCATGAGAGCTATGAAAGTCAACCCGGTTTGGAACAAGTGAATATGAGTAAATAATGAGAGAATTTTTAGTTTTGGGTAAACCATTCCTTTTTAAAAATGCCTCACAGGAAAAAAGTAAGAATTACTGTAAATGAATAGGTTATATTCATTAAACCCTGCTGAAAAATCCAGCTTAAACCAGCCTAGGCTGGTTGGCTGGTTTTAGCTGGTCGACCAGGCTGGTTTTAGAGGGGTTTTGGCCACTTCCAGGCTGATTTCCAGCCATTTCCTGCCTGGTCTTAGCTGGTCAGGCTGGGAAATAACCAGCTAAAACCAGCTTGAGCAGCCTAGCCAAGTTGGGAGTCCAGCCAAAACCAGCTATATCCAGCTTAAACCAGGCTGGTCAAGCTGGTTTTAGCTGGATTTTGCTGATCATTTTCCAGCCTGGCCAGCTAAGACCAGGCTGGAAATGGCTGGAAACCAGCCTGGAAGTCGCCAAAACCCCTCTAAAACCAGCCTGGTCGACCAGCTAAAACCAGCCAACCAGCCTAGGCTGGTTTAAGCTGGATTTTTCAGCATGGAAATGAACTCTTATATTGATGTTTATTTCTACATACATGTGAAGAAATGATCAACAGCATATAAAGTGTAATTGTGTTTTATGCAGTATGTACATTAGAATTGATCAGGCCCTTTAGTGTAAAGAGTATATTCTGAAACTGAAAAGAAGAATTTATTTATATAGCACTTTAGGTATTACAGATGAGTTACGCAGCTTTGCACAAATGTCAATGTTGTTAAATTGCCCTGCAAAATACCCTACATTCATAATATGTAAGCATTTCTATATAGAAGCCATTAAATGTGCCTGCTGGATTTCATAATTCATTATTCATAAATTTTTTGATTGATAATCCTGTGGCATAGTGGTAATTTAATAGCTATAGTGCCCATATGAGAAAAGAAGGTTTGAGTTTGACCTGCAACGTGCCCTAATTTCATGACATGCCAGCATTTATGTATAGAGGCCATTAAATGCACCTATTTGATTTCATGACAAATTTGGATGATAAACCTGGGGCATAGTGGTAAAACTCATGAATTATGAAAAATTCAACTGCTGTATAAAGCAGCTCTACGGAATTCTCTTAAATATTAGAATGCAACTTTTGGTTGTTATGATGTTTGCATTAATAAATGCTTCAGTTTACATTTTTCATTGTTAATAATACACACTGCAAAAACTATTTGAAGAGTTCAGATGCAAAAATCTCTAAGTGACATCTGAAATGTTCTTCTAAAATTATGTTTTGATTCAGTAATTTCACTTTTATGGCAAAGAATGGGTTATTTTCATTGATTTAAACATGAAATAACTCAACATAAACATAAGAGGCAGAGAAAAAAGCTCATTGACGGAGAAAATTCTAAATGGCACTCGGAGGTCTTTGCATCTGAGCTCTTTATTTATTCAGGTTCCATGTTTAGTGATTCATGAGTATTTTCTTTTTATTTACAGTTGTGAATTGCATCATGGGACCTTGATCTCTGCTCTGTCGGCTTTTGATGTTGAAAATTCAAATCTACATTATAACAAAGTGACTTTTATTGACATTTGAATATATTTGCAATAATATAATGTATAATACGTAATATATAGAGAACTAGGTCTGTAAAATAACAGAAAATGTACTGTCATTTATTTTATTTTTTTTAAATAAGGTTTATAACAACAACCCAGACGGTATATCACTTTCAGCTATTAAAAATGTTAATAAAGTCACTTTTTCTAACTTTTCATGGTTAGAAGCTGTTGGGAGAAAGATCAAGGTGTCTTAATGCAATTCAAAAGCATAAATAAATGTGAGGAAAAAAAAACATGAATCGCAAAATACTGTTAATTTACAAAAAATAAATATTATAGTGCAATCATCTCAAAAGCTAATTATATCACATTCATCCTCATACATCTGTTGTTCTCTCTTCTTAACAGTGGTGGAAAGGATAATCGGGCCTAAAGATCTGCAAGTGAGTGAGCTGAGCTACAGCTCTCTACAGCTGACCTGGAGTCAGGCCACAGGAGACGTTACCGGCTACAGGCTGCTCATCACCCCTGTGTCTCCAAAGGGCCATCTGCTTCCTGCACAGCAGACGCAGGTGAGACAGCTCACCTAAACATATGCACACCGCAGGCAGCAGCGCACAGCAGATGGAGCAATGCACATGGACACGTTTGCGCCGGTGTTGACTATACATTTGCATTCTTATTTTTTCAGATTGATCTAAAGGGAGATATCAGTAGTACTCCAGTAACCGGGTTGAATCCGAAGACTGAATATTCTCTCAGTGTGTACGCCATCTATCCTGGACGCATTGGAGAGTCTGCTACTGTTGCCACAGTAACCAGTGGGTGTCAGATTGTATATAGCAAAAATGTTTCTAAACGTACATGCATGCTACTGTATATCCACAGTCTTTTTCTGGTCAGAGCAGGCGCAATTAATGTCACTTAAATATGTCAGGACTTCTGGTCTCATTTATTTCCATTGATATTTTTAGCCAAGTATTATGTTGCAAACTGGTATTCTTTTTAGCACATTTTTAAATTTTTATGTATATATTGTTATAAACATACTAGTTTGTAGTGCAAGTAGTTTACTGTTTACTGTTTTTGTTATTCATAGTCATCAAAAAAAGTAAAGTCTAAAAAAAAAAAAATCTAAATTCTGTCACCGTTTGTTTATAGATATCTAAACAGATGTCTTGGCTAAAACAATGTGCTGTCAATGAAAGTTAGACATCTACCAATAGTACAAAAATACTGTAGTACTGTAATCATCAAATAGACTTCACATTCAGTTGAAGTTAGAATTATTAGCCCCTCTGAATTATTTGGCCCCCGTTTATTTTTTTCCCCAATTTCTGTTAAACGGAGAGAAGATTTTTTTCAACACATTTCTAAACATAATAGTTTTAATAACTCATCTATAATAACTGATTTGTTTTATCTTTGCCATGATGACAGTAAATAATATTTGACTAGATGTTTTTCAAGACACTTCTATACAGCTTAAAGTGACATTTTAAGGCTTAACTAGGTTACTTAGGTTAACTAGGCTGGTTGGGGTAATTAGTTATTGTATAGCGATGGTTTGTTCTGTAGACTATCAAAAAAATAAATAGCTAAAAGGGGCTAATAATTTTGTCCTTAAAATGGTGTTTAAAAAATTAATAACTGCTTTTATTCTAGCCGAAATAAAACTAATAAGACTTTCTCTAGAAGAAAAAATATTATCAAATATACTGTGAAAATGTCATTGCTCTGTTAAACATCATTTGGAAAATATTAAAATTAAAAATAAAAACTCTTGTTAGACTATTGTTAGATGTGCACAATATGTTGACGACCATATTGATATCGGCTGATAATTGCACATTTTAATGTTATTATTATCAGTTCTCATTAACAAAATTAGACTGTTTTCTATAAGCTAAAGAGTCCTATAGTGACGTGAAAAAAAATAAATAAATAATGAATGTGTTTGTGTTTGTGTGCATGCTATACTATAAACTATACTACACTCAGCAGACACTTTATTAGGTATATCTGTCCAACTGCTTGTTAACGCAAATTTCTAATCAGCCAATCACATGGCAGCAACTCAATGCATTTAGGCATGTAGACATGATCAAGACGATCAAACTGAGCATCAGGATGGTGAAGAAAGGTGATTTAAGTGACTTAAACGTGAACGTGAACGTGGCTTGGTTGTTTGTGCTAAACGGGCTGGTCTAAGTATTTCAGAAACTGCTGATCTACTGGGATTTTCGCGCACAACCATTTCTAGAGTTTACAGAGATTGGTCTGAAAAAGAGAAATATCCAGTGAGTGGCAGTTGGGTGGGCACAAATGCCTTGTTGATGCCAGAGGTCAGAGGAGAATGACCAGACTGGTTCCAGCTGATAGAATGGCAACAGTAACTCAAATACCCATTTGTTACAACCAAGGTATGCAGAAGAGCATCTCTGAATGACGAATCTGCAGCAACTGCGGGATGCTATCATGTCAATATGGACCAAAATCTCTGAGGAGTATATGCAGTACCTTGTTGAATCTACGCCACGAAGGATAAAGCCAGTTCTGAAGGCAAAAAAGGGTCCAACCCGGTACTAGTAAAGTGTACCTAATAAAGTGCCCGTTTGTGTATTTGTACTATATAATACTATACATAGACATACATATCGCATGCAAACGTGAAAGCTTTCATTATTTATTTTATTTTAATTTAAAAAAAAAATTTGCACTTGTCACTTTAGGGCAGGGATGTCAGTCAATTTCTGGAGGGCCGCAGCCCTGCACAGTTTAGTTCCAACCCTGTAGGTTTCAAACAAGCCTGAAGGACTCAATTAGTTTGATCAGGTGTGTATAATTAGGGTAAGAACTAAACTGAGCAGGGCTGCGGCCCTCCAGGAATTGAGTTTGACATCCCTGCCTTAGGGGTTTCGTAATAAAATGATGTATTATTGCTACTGGTTGACTTCTATTAGAGGTCTATTAAACCAAAAATATATATTGCTGGGTACTCAGACCAATTCACCTGGCACCAATAATGACATGTTCACTTAAAACAACCCTTTCTAATGCTCTTTTTATACTTCAGCAGATCTTCTTGCCCATGTCTTCAAGCCTAAATGGATTAAGCTTGTCATATGATTGGCTGATTGGATATTTGCATGTAAACAGTTGAGCAGGTGTACCTAGTAAATTGGCTAGTGAGTGTTTGCTTGGCAGGAATCTGTGTTTTTTTTTTTTTTTTGCACACAATATGCAGTAATCCAGTATGCATTTGTGCCTTTTCTCTTCAGCTGCTCTGCCAGCCGTTGCCAACTTCCGTGTGATTGAAGAAGGACTTTTCTCTTTGCGCCTGGGATGGACGCCTGCACTTGGAAAAGTGGATGGATATAAAATTTATGTTCCAAGAAGTGAGAAACTAACATCGATATTACGAGGCGGTATATGTGATATGCTATAGATAGATGTTCTTCTACAGTATATCTTCTCCTCCTCAGCCGACAGACCCGGACTCATATATGAGCAGATGTTGTCAGGCGACACTTCCTCTCATGTGATCGACACTTTAGAAGAGGATAAAGAGTACACCGTCAACATCTACTCCATCTACCCGGAAGGCCACAGTGAGCCTGTATCTATCACTGGGAAAACTTGTGAGGGCCCATTTTAAATTATTTTCCCTCCTTTCTGCTTTTTCTTTTTCATTCTTTTCATTTCCTTCCATAATAATAGCTACACTGTTCCTTGTTGATGGTATCGCAAATTTCATTTACACTAGCAGAAATCATGTGAAGAATATTGTTGTTACAGCAGCAAAAATAACAAATAATATCAACAATAATAATAATAATAATAATAATTATTATAATAATAATAATAATAATAATAATAATAATAATAATAATAATAATAATAACATTAATAATGATAACAATAATGAGTATGTTAATAGTAATATTAATAATAATAATAATTATTATTGTTATTATTAATATTATAGCAATATTAATAATAATAGCAACAACAACAGTAATAATAATAATAATAATAATAATAACAATATCAACAGCAACAACAACAACAATAATAATTATACTTTAGTGCAATGAATAAATATATACTTCATGTTTGTTTAATGGTATTTATAATTTAATAACTTATTTTTATTTAAAAATATATATTTAATACTTTGCGTTTATATTTTGTTTAATAAAATAATAATAATTGATGATTATTTATTAATATTGATCATGTTGTTGATTTATTAATAATTAAAAATAATACTTAGAATACATTGAAAATACTACTAATACTAATACTTAAATAAATAAATAAATAAATAAATAAATAAATAAATAAATAAATAAATTTTATAATAGCTTGGCTTGAATATTTTGTGTAACTTTTGAAAAGGCAAAAATAAAAACTATATAAACAAAAAACATGTATTGTGTGTTATACTTGTAGCCACAAGATGGCACTACAACACATCTTCTTGAAGACGTTTTTCTCTGTTATAAGTAACTTCAGTAAACTATCTGTAATCTCTGACATGCATTATCATCAAAACTCTTTTCTTACCTTTTTTCTGTGCATCACAGTGAAATTGGTGCCAGTCGGTGATTTGCTGGTGCAGAACGCCACTACAGACACAGTTCAGGCCCGCTGGTCATCTGTCCGAGGCGCTACAGGATACAGACTCACCTGGTCATCCTCAGGTAACAAACACTGAAGAGTTTTAATAATAAAGTCAACCTGTTTGAAGCATAACTACAGATGCAGGTCTCCACTTCAATGTTTCTGCAGAGGGACACATAGAAAATGTGAACCTGGGAGACAACTTTAATTTCTACATGGTGCAGGGGCTTCATGCTGGCACTGAATACACTATCACTATTAACCCTATATTCGGGGACATTGAGGGACCTGTGACCTCTGCCAAAGCCAAGACATGTAAGTGTGCTGCATGTTCACTTTGAGAGCTGTTACAGGGTTTTTTTTCTATTGTAGTAAAAAGTTTGACCATTGGTAATTGATTGGATAGTTGTAGTTTTGTATTGGTTGATATTATTTGATTGACATGCTTGAATTGTGTTTACTGATGCATTAGAAAATGTTGCTTTCCTAAATAAATAAATAAATAAATAAATAAAGCGGGGTTTCAACACAGACACAAAAAAAAAGACTAATGTTAATTGGTATTAATATTTCTTTTTTCCCATGATGAATTTCAAAAAATGTTTTAGCCGAGACAAGATTAGGACAATTTTAGAAATGAAGTCTTGTTTTTCGGAAAATCCATCAAAATTAAACATTTACAACAAGACTTATAGGTATCACTTTATTTTGTTGGTCCTTTTAACACATTTTGTTGCATTTAAGTTACATTGCATCTATATGCCAACTAATTCTCATTAGATTGTAAGTAGACTGTTAGGTTGGGGTTAGTGTAAGTTGACATGTACTTGCAAAGTTTCTCAGAGTCAGTTAAATATCTGTTGAAGGAGCAATATCAACAGATATTAAGCAGACAGTCTACTAATACTCAAATAGGAAGTAATTGGCATGTACACAAGTTGCAATGCAAATTTTAGTCAACAAAATGTGCAATAGGGACCATCAAAAAAAAGTCTTACTGAATTTAATCTTATCTACAATACCTTTCACTTTGAAGCTTAAATTATTGCTCAAGAAATGTGTGTGAAAATGATGATTTAAGAATGTTAGCTCTTTTTTTGTCATGAAAAGTGAACAAAAATACTATTAAATTTTGTTCTTAAGAAAAACTTGATTCTGGTTTGAGAAATGAAATATATAAAACAAATATAAACAGGAAATTTTTATCTGCGGTCAGTTTTGTTTTCCAAACACCACTGATTTATACATTTGTTTTTTCATATATTAGGCATAAACTTATTTAAACTACTTTTTTTCTGAAAACAAGATGTGTAATTCCTTATCATTTTGCTTTTTTAGTATTTTTTTTTCTTTTAGTGCAGTAAAATGTGTTATTTAACTCAATAGAGTGTGTTCAAAATAGCAAGACACTGTTTCAAAGCGATTGATAAGTGGTATGTGAAACACTAAAATAGTTGTTAACTGTCAGAATTCATCAGACTGCTTCTCCACAAACAAGGAGAGACACAAATAGAGAAAAATCACAAGACATTGTTACAGATAATTACAGAAATTAAATTTTGCATGATTTTGACATCAAATTCAAGCCATAGTTATCAGATGTGTATTGCTGCAGGACTAATTTCATATATTTGATTATGAAATGTTTAGTGCTGTGCAATTTTTTTTTTACATTACTTAAGCATCTATAACTTTTTTCACTTTGAGCATTAGAAACTCTAGATAATGGATAATAAAGCCCAAAGTGTCTTCTTTCCAAAGATACATGAACTGTGAAAGTAGACCAAATTAATTTTAGTTTGGGAAGGTCAATTTTAAGAAAATGCCTCTGATGGTAAGAGAGAGAAGGACACAGATATACTGTAGTCTCAGAAATCTTTTTACAGAAATCTCAATTTGCTTGCTATTTTCATCAAATTTGAAATATAAACTCATGAGACACTTGGCTTTCAAGGCATATTTCTAGGACATTACATTAATGTTTTGCTGTGTTTATATATGATTATATATAATGTTATATATAATGTTTATTATATATATATACAAATATTGAACACAACACAATTGTTTTTTCTCATGACTTCATAATGTATAACCTTTATATATTTTGAAACTAGCATGAAACCTTCCCTTTTACCACAGTAAAACTCTGTGTCTTCTTTCCAATGATACCTAATTTGTGTTTGTATCCTACTGGGGTCAAGAACTGTTTATATTTCATGTTAGGTAGGTGTAAATCCCCAAAAGTGAGTGAGTAAACCAATTACAGTAAAATATTCTAGTTGACAAAATGACAAATATTTCTGTTGTAACTGTTCACTTCATTTTAATAATCATACACATGGTTCATTTACTAAATAATTGGAAGGCAATGGATTTACTCACTTTTTACCTCACAATCACCTTTTACAGTGCATTCTTTGCAGGAACTCTGATAATAAATGTTGGTACAGATGATTATAGTGCTGTGTGTGTGTGTGTGTGTCAGTGGAGAGCAGCGCAGTTCAGACTCTGCGAGCGTCAGCTGTAAGCACCAGCAGCGCTGTCACTTCTTGGAACTCAGTACCCGGAGCCACGGGATACAGACTGGCCTGGGGCCCGACAGCAGGTATACTGTACCTCTGTAACTCTTCCCAAACCGTCGTCACTCTCTCGTTGTCCTGCACTTGGCCTTTCTCCACTCTTCAGCTTCACTTTGTTCTCCATTCTCTCTTTTGTGTTCCCTTTCTCTCATTTCCTCTGTGATTTATAGTCCCTTTTTCATGGAAGCGACAGGTTGGTGACAACATGAGGTGTCGCTGTGCTTCATGACTCATGCATCAGCTCTGTGTGTGTAAGTGTGTGTGTGTGTGATGAGTCTTTGAAAGTGAGTCCTTTCCGTCAGTGTGAAGGGCTGCGGTCCACTGTTTTAAAAGAACAAGCTGGATGGAGGTTGTAATGAAGGAGTGCACTGTGACTCATACCACACTCTCTGATACACACAGAGAAATTAGTTTTATGGAGAGAAATGGAGGGCGAGAGGTTATTTTAATAAGATGATGCATTTTATTAGTATTAATATTATTAATAGTATGTTTATTATTTAAATTGTATTACTATCGTAAACTAATAATATTAATATTTATAATTTCTGATCTATTACACAAACAGACACACAAAAAGGAAAAATATCCTGTATTTTTATTCCAATTAATCAAAAATTTTACATAACAGTATTTATTATTTATTTTCTGAATAATATACCAAAAATGTTTATATATAATATAGAAATGTATGTGATATATACCGAGCTCAACATAATTGAGTCCACCCCATTTTCAAAATGAATATTTTTATCTGTTTCTCATTGAATATTGGTAATATATATATATTGGTGCATTTAAACAAAACAGATTTATTACACAAATATATTTATTAAAATAACATTTAAGTCACAGAACATCTTTATATATAGATAATGCATTTAAATTCATGCAAAATATTGGGGAAAAATTACAAACTATGCAATTTCATCAAAAATGTATACATTTTTTGGTTTCTTTTGAATTTTGTTTGCTCTTTTTAAAAAAATGTTAACTTTTTTGCTAACATATAAATTTGAGCTACTAATTTTTGACGGTTATCGTAAGTTATTTTGTTAGTTTAGCTCCAGATTTGGCTTCAGAACTGACTAATCTAATGTATATGCACAAGTATATTATTGTAAAGCTTCCTATGCATAATATTAATTTAAATGACAGATTTGTGAGGAGTGTACTCTTATAGTATATCTTGCAAAAATAACTAAACTATGAACTGTCATCATGGCAAAGACAAAATAAATTAGGGTAACACTTTAGTTAACGTCACAACTCATGCAATTAACCACTGATTTATTACCTGCCTATTATTTAGATATATTTCTGTTCATTAGTAGTTATAAAGTATGATCTTATTCTGCATCCCTAATCCTACCCTCAACCCAACTTTTCCTTTCTAACTTTTAATAAACAGCTAATTAGTCATTCATTAAGCTAGAAGTGTTAGTTAATGCTTTGTTAAAACCGTGTTACCGAAATGAGTTATTAAAACTGTTTTGTTAAAAATGTATTAAAATGGACATTTTGGGAGGTATTTGAAAAGAATTTAAAATCATTTTGTCTTAATTATTTTTGAATTTGGATATTTTTGATTATGAAGAAAAAATGATTTAAAATTCTTTTCAAATGCATCCCAAAATGAAAACTTTAATGCATTTTTAGCAAAATAGTTTTAATGACTAATAACTTTTGTCTTTGTCATGATGATAGTTCATAATAGTTCAATGGTGATTTTGCAATATTTACTTAGAAGTGCAATTTGCAATTATTTGCTTAGTTAGGAAAGTTGGGTTGATTAGTAAAATCATTTGACAACAGTGGTTTGTTTGTTTTTCAATAAAAAATGTAAATTTTAGAAGTGCTAAAAATATACAGTTGAAGTCAGAATTATTAGCCCCCCTTTATATTATTTTTTCTTTTTAAAAATATTTCACAAATGATGTTAAACAGAGCAAGGACATTTTCATAGTATGTCTGATAATATTTTTTATTCTGGAAAAAGTTTTATTTGTTTTATTTCGGATAGAATAATAGCATTAAAAAAAATATTGGCATAATTATATAGCCCCTTTAGGATATAATTTTTTCAATAGTCTACAGAACAAACCATTGCTATACAATAACTTGTCTAATTACTCCAACATGCCTAGTTAACCTAATTAACCTAGTTAAGCCTTTAAATGTCACTTTAAGCTGTATAGAAGTGTCTTGAAAAATATCTAGTCAAATATTATTTACTGTCATCATGGCAAAGATAAAATAAATCAGTTATTAGAGATGAGTTATTAAAACTATTATGATTATAAATGTGTTGAAAAAATCTCTCCATTAAACAGAAATCGGGGGGAAATAAAGAATGGGGCTAATAATTCAGGGGGGCTAATAATTCTGACTTTAACTGTATATTCTAAACCAAACGTAAAGAAATAAAACTTAATAATATTAAATACATCCCAAATTTATCTTAATGTGCCTAGATAAATGCACGTTTTTGTATTTGTTGAATTTTTTTATTATGTACTGTATTTCAAACGCACATACAATAAAGATTAATTTCTCCTTGTGTTTTGTGTGTGTGCGTAGAGTTCACAGGCAGAGATCGGCCGAGGCAGCTGGCTCTGAATGGCAGCACTACTGAATATATTCTGAAGAATCTGGTTCACGACACAGAGTATGTGCTTTCTCTATATGTGCTCTTTGGCTCAGTGGTCGGTCCGGGCATCACTGCTACATTCAGGACTTGTGAGTGACCAAACACATTTTCACTATTCGCTCATTAAATCTGACGTCAAATTTACTGGTCCAAACTCTCTATCAAGCACTATATGCTCACAGTGCGCTGTAATGATGTTGACAATCACAATGTTTCTATCTCAGATGCTCAAATTCATTTACCTTTTTTATAAATTCTTATATTATTGGTGGCTGGGATGCAGTAACTCTATAGTGGCATCAAAAGATTGGTTTTATTTGTAAAAGAAGAATGTCCAGAAGAATGTTTGTTAGTCAGTTTTACACATTTCTTCTCTGCAGCTCCTCTCGGATACGTCTCAAATTTTAAAGTGACTTCATACACCAGCTCATCCATTCACGTGGAATGGAGTCCTATTGTAGGAGCCACCGAATACAAACTCACCTGGAGTTCAGGTAGAAGCTCTTCACCCGTTGGTTCATAAATGAATTCTAATATGGCATATGTAATTAGAATTATTTGGTTTGATTTTGGGTATGTTTGCTCGCAGAATTCATTCGTCCTCAGAGCCGTTATCTGGACCGTAGCGTTTTGAAGCACAGCATCACTGGTCTTCAGCCAAACACACTTTATTCTGTCAGCATTCACGCTCTCTACAGCAACACGGAAGGGCCAGATATCACCCTCTCACAGCAGACAGGTACTGTGAATCAAAAACATGTTTAATTTGATTAAAGTTTGATTAAAGCGTATTAGAGAAGTTTGTTTGGGTTGTTTCTGGACTTCAAGACACCCAAGCATTCATTTCCAAAGAACATTAAGAATTCAGTACGAGTTCAGAAAGATTGATCATTAAAAGAAGATTTTAAACTATTTTTATTTCCAATAAAAATATCTCAAACAACACCTATATTTACAAAAGAGTTTAAAGTGTTGCTCTGCTTTGTTTTGTTTAAACCAGTTCTGAGTTCTATTTTAATCTCTTCTAATCATACAGATTTACAGTGCCATTCTGTTTATTTGTTTTGCTATTCAATACAGTTGAATTCTTTTCTGTTCATTTCTATTTCATTCTGTTCAGACAGTGCACATTTAAACAGAGGAATTTGTCTTATTTGTTTTTGTTTTGTTGTTATTTTTGTTGTTGTTTTTTTCATGTTGTTTTGCCCTTTTCAGTCCTGTTTCGTATTTATTATAATTTTCCTTGTTGTTTTCATCTCTTTTGTTCTCTTTTGTTTTGTTTAAATCAGTTGCATTTAGTTCTATTTTATTCTATTCAATTCAAACAGTATTTTAGTGGCATTCTGTTTTTTGTTTAGTTTTGTTTTGCTATACTATTGAATTCTATTCTGTTCACTTCTATTTAATCCTGTTCAGATAGTATACATTTGAACAGAGGATATAGTCTCAAAGTATTGTTTTGTTATTGTTTGTTTTTGTCTTTGTTTATTTATTGATTTAATTAATTAATTTTTTATTTTTTGTAAAATTTTCTAAATATTCCCATCTAATGTTAATTTAAGAGCTATGGTGACATAGGAAGGTTTGCGGTGTTGGTGATGCTTGTGCGCTCACGCTATGCTTGGCAAACTTCACATCAGAAGCGTAATAATAGGTTTAGCTGCCTTTGCGTTTTCCATACAGTCTCTCACAGACTGTTCCAGACATATGTTCCCCTTTAATGTTCAACGTCCTGGTTATGTACGTAACCCATGTTCCCCAAACAGGGAACGGAGACGTGTGTCTCCACTGCCCCAGCAACTGTTAGCTGTGACTGCTCTTTAGCAGGCAAAAATTCTAATGCTTGCTTCCTAGCCATCAGGTGAAATAGTCTGTTAATGATTAATCACTGACAGCTGTGGAGCTGAGCTCCGCCAATTCATTTGACATTCATTGGCCCGTTTTCTTACTCTTCAGAGTGATTGGTCGTCTGGCGAACTCCCATTTTCTGTTTCAGACGCACGTCTCCGTTCCCTATTCAGGGAGCATGGGTTACAGACATAACCAGGACATTTAGTATTTTATTAAATTTTTAGTTGATTTTTTTTTATTTATTTTTTTTATTTACTGAATCACTTTTGTTCTTTTTCATCTTGTTTTGCCTTGTTTAGTTCGGTTTATGCTCTTTTATGTCCTGATTCTTACTCTTCACTTTTGTTTTGTTTCTTGTTTTGCGCTGTTGTCTTTTTTTTAGTTTGGTCTTTTCTCAGTTTTGTGGTTTTTATTTTGGTTCTGTTCGGTTTGTCTAAGTAATGTCAAATTTTTTTTTTTTCATTCTCAATCATAACGTCAGATTGCAGAATATTCCTTTTAAAGTGCTGTATATTTGCTAACCTTTTGTTTGTTATGGGTTATTGTATACAATGATTTTGTCTAAATACTTATAAATACTTTTTGTCTTTATACTTAAATCTTTTTTTTTTCCTTTAAAATGTTTTTTTACCTTAATTAAAATTCACTTTATTTTAATGCTGTCTTCCACTCTGTTTCTCTTTCTCTCTATGTGATCTGTACTAACAAATCTTGACTCGTTTTAGTCTGCTTGGTTTGGCTCTGTGGACAGGCACATGTCATTTATCAGAGCCATAAGAAGAAAACTGTGCTCAGTTAATTAGACACTTCAGACAGTCAGTGTCCGGGGATATGGAGATCTTCCGCCCATTGTTCCAGTGGGATTGTCGGATATCAGGAGATTGATTGACAGCTCCTGTGTTTGAGCTCCCATGTTTAGGAGCACAGCTGTATAGCAGTATTTTTACTGATGCTCGGTGTATGTGTGTGTGCTTAACTGCTGGCAGCATGTCTCACCATATTCCAGGCAACACCATTAGATAAAAACAGCTGCACTTGATACACATATATAAAAAATGCTGTTTCAAATCACAGCAGTTTAATGCCATATGCATAAAGATTACACTAATTATACTGTAACAGCTTTACAAGGTTTAACAGAAGAATTATAGTAATAATTTATCATGGCGCTATTATATGCACACACAAATATAAAGATTGCCTGTATATGCTATGTTTAATAACATAATATTTATTTGACCCATTTTGACTGATATGCATTTATTAAGCAATTGCATTACGTAAAGAATGGAGAATGTAAGGAAATAAAGAAATATAATAATTAATAATGGGCGTCAAGGGGGCGCAGTGGGTAGCACGATCACCTCACAGCAAGAAGGTCGCCCTGTTTGATCCTCAGCTGGGTTAGTTGGCATTTCTGTGTGGAGTTTGCATGTTCTTTCCATGTTCACATGGATTTTCTTCCGGATGCTCCGGTTTCCCCCACAAGTCCAACCCATGTGGTACAGGTGAATTGGGTGAGCTAAATTGTCCGTAGTTTATGTGGGTGAATGAGTGTGTATGGATGTTTCGTGATGGGTTCCAGCTGGAGGAGGCATCCACTGCATAAAATATATGCTGGATAAATTGGTGGTTCAGTCCGCTGTCGATCCCAGATTGATAAGGGGAATGAATGAATGAATAGTTAATAATAGTTTGTTCAATTATAAACTAATATAAAGGAATTAAAACATGTTTTAGTGTGAAAATTCCTATTATGAATGAAGTTGCATCCAATTTTTATGACATCATAATTTAAAATGACCATTAAAAAATCTGAACAGAATAATTAAGCATGATTTTATACCATTTTAAATCGGTGTAAAATTTTGTATGAAATGTCTTGCTTATGGCAGGTTTATGATTATGTTTTGATTTAAATAAGTTTTAAAATACGTGTTTCATGCTCTTTTATTAATATCTTATAAAATACAATAATGTCATATTTGACTGGTACTCCAAGGCTTATAGCAGACCTTTTCTACCAAATGCCGAACTTGCTATCTTTGGCTTCTTACAAAACACATCTTCTCTCCCTTGAACCATGGCATGGTGGTGGCTAAAAGACTAGTGCTTAATAATTGGAAATCACATTTACTCCCTTCATTCCACAACTGGATTGCAGATATGATATTTGGCCACTTGGGGTCAATTTCTTGATTTATTTGACAAATCTATATCTCAAGAGCAATCCAGTGACCCCTCTAGAGTTTCAGTTATATACCCTCTCTAGTTTTATTTGGGCGGGTGGGGGAGGGGGGGCTTTTTTGAGTTCTTTTATATTGTCTTTTGAATGTCTACAGTACGAGCCGATGTTTGTTCTCTTTCTGTGTGTATACTGTATAAAAAAACTTAAAGTCATCAAAAATGCAATGATGGATAATTGAATAGATTTGACTTATTTTAATAGTAAATTGAAATTTTGTTAAATAAAAAAAGAATCAAACTTAAATTATACACATATTTGAATGAATTTCCTTGTACTCTGTGTCACTATCCGTATCAATTTCCCAGCCTCTTTGACCGACTCCGAGCTGATCGAGACAGTTCGCGAGGTGAAGGTTGTGGACACTGGCGTCAGCTCTTTCAAACTGGCATGGAAGAAAACACCAGGCGTCACTGGCTACAAAATCACCTGGAGCCCCTTCCACGGTAGGCACCGGCCATCCACATTACACTGCATTATAGTCACTCTTCAATCCATCATCCATCTGTTCGTTTTTACTCAGGTGGAGAGAAGAAGAGTGAGGCCGTGTCTTCTTCTGCCACTTCCTTCACCATCACTGATCTGCCAGCCGGTTCTGCCTACAAGATCCAGCTTTCTGCAATGGTCAGAAGCAAAGAGGGAAGTCCAGTAATGGTGACCGCTCGCACTCGTGAGTTTAATATTTCAGGCTGCTTATTTTTTATTTATTTTTATTTTTTTTTGTATTTGCATAAGAGTATTCATACGTGTGGTGTTTTGTTCCAGTGGATCTGCCCAAGGTGACTGGATTCAGTGCTCTGAACACCACAGACAACAGCACTGTATTAAACTGGACGAGTGTGACTGGAGTCTCGGGATACCTGCTGTCCTGGAGACACATATCTGGTAGGAAACATTAGCATTCACATTTACACATAGACTGCATTCACTTTTTTTTAAGTCATATATAAATAATATACTTATAAATACATATATATATAATGTCAATTTAGATATGTACTTAAAATGGTAGCACATTGATATACAAATCACTCTGAAAACTATGTTTATGATTATATTTATATAACAAATAATGCAGGAATACCTGCTGTCCTGGAGACACATATCTGGTGGGAATCATTAGCATTCATAATTCCACATAGACTGCATTCATTTTTATATTTGAATTCATAAATAACAAATAAAATATACTATATTTAGGCTAAAACTCTGTTTTATTTATTTATTTATTTATACATGCCTATTTATTTGTAATTATGTTTGTACTTTCATTTTAATTATCTTTCATTTCGTTAAATCTACTTTTCAATATGAATTTTCATTGCACTTAACAAGTTTACAATGATAATAAAGCTTGTTAAAAAGTTTTTAATGAATAATGAAGGAATTATAATGCTTTGTTTTATTGTTTATCTTTATTTACAAGTAGCAGAGTATTTTCAGCTACTATATAGGCTATTTCTGTCCGTTCGCATCCTTTCCCTGGCGGCATAGTTGCAAACTGCGGTCATACCTAAAAAAAACCCTTACCCCTTTAGAGCGGCGGCGGTACAAGGCATGGCAGTAATGCTATTAAAGTGTCACCTACTGTATAAGTAAATATATATAATGTCAATTTAGATATGTAGGGAAAATGGTAGCACGGTAATATGCAAATCACTCTGAAAACTATGTTTATATAACAAAGAATGTTTATCGCTGAAATAAAGTACACATGGCCATTTTTGTACCTGTATAACTGTAACCTTTCTCAATTTTATTGCAGTTTTACCTTCGTTTCACAACTGAATTATGCCCTTCTCCTGTTTATTTTTCCCAATTAGGTCACAACTTTCAATAAGGTTTCATTAGTTAATGTTAGTTCATCTATATGTTAAGATGAACTAATTATGAATAATACTTGCACAGCATGTATTAATCATAGTTCAACATTTACTAATGCACTATCGACATCCAAATTCATGTTTGTTAACATTAGTTCATGCGCCATGAGTTAACATGAGCCAACAATGAACAACTATATATTTTTAAATAATCTTAACATGAATAAACACTGTAATAAATAATATTGTTCGTTGTTTGTTCATGTTAGTAAATAAATTAACTAACATTAACTAATATGATCCTATTTTAAAGTATTACCTACAAATGTGACTATTTTTTCCTCTCAGCCCTTGCATCAAACCTTCCAATTCACAATTTTTCCACTCTGAATTATGATTTTATTTCTTATAATCATGACCTTTCACAGTTTTGACTTTTTTAACCTCTCAAAATATAATACAAATGTAAAATTTGTAGTAATATTAAATAATAAATAATAACAATTTTAAAATAATGATAAATTATCAAATAAATAATAACAACATTTAAAAATTCTGTTCTCAAAATCTGTGTTTCTACCAAATGTGTATTTCTAGTATAGATATAAACATTATTAATACAATAATATTAATAGCCGACAGTTAACATTGGCACATGCACATTGGATATTCAGGTGAATTAAGTTTGAAAATAATAACAAAGTAAAAACTAATTCTATTTTCTGTATATTACATTTACTGGATCTTCACTCTAATACTGCTCAGATTGTATAGAACAAAGAGGATGACCATTTATTTGTTAATTAGTGTTGCTAAATGGTGGGGCAAAACTAATTTCAGATAAGAACTGTAATAACAGTTCCTCTCACAAAAGGCGTTTTGTCTGATATGCAGACATAAAAAAAAAGAACAGAATAGACAGCGGAGATAATGTCATGAAAGATCTGTGATTCATGCCAGTTATAATGACGTCAGCAGGGCCTTATACTGAGGACGTCCTTTGCCCGAACATGAAGGTTATGAGGGTTTTAAAGGTGGATTTTTATTATTTAGCTTTTGATGCTTATAAGACTGTCAGTAAAATTTTCAGATTCTGAAGTCATGGTGCCCTTTAAGGGTTTTAAACTAATATTGAAGAGTCATTTATTTTGTCATTGTGCAGACAATAGTCTCTCCCACATTTAGTTTTCTTCAGCTGGCACCATTGGAGCCATTATTCAGTCCTGATATGATTGTCTTTGTTGTTGTTGTTTTCTGTAGAGGTGGACGTGTCCACTGATCTGCTGAGCTCTGGCTTCACCTCGTATAAGATCCGAGATCTCCAGTATGGCAGAACCTACATCTTTTCCATCAGGCCACTTTATGGGGAAGTGGAGGGTCCGGTCACAACCATCACCAAAAGAATCTGTAAGGCAGTTTTGCAATTTATAAGACTGCACTCTAAAATAAAGCAACTGGTGAACACCTTATGTACTTGGCTCCATCTTGATGGCTTAAAAGTACATAAATAGTATGTAAATATTATAAAAGCAATAATATTGCACTCTTAAGGTATTCAAATATTAATTTGAAATTTCAATATGGACTCTTTAGGTACAATTGTGACAGCTTGTGTACAGTATCTTTATTTCTTGAAAAATAATTATGATTATCATCATTTTTAACGTGATTTATAGAAGACACTCCCGAACATATAATTCAGTGTAACAACAGATTACATACCAAGAAGATTGTCATTCATATCTAGAACAATAATTGTTTCATGGTATTTTAAAAAGCGTTTATGGCTATACTAAGGAATACTTTTAAACTGTCCTTCAAACCACGAGGTTTGCTTATTGATCAGAAAGTTTTTTATTATTGTACAATATTATAAATCTTGGTATGATCACATAGGCTTATATATTTTTAATAAGTAGACATCTTACTGTTCTCTGTGTATAAGATCACATTTAATTTGATGCTATGCTTTGTATACATGTTTGTTTATATATATATATATATATATATATATATATATATATATATATATATATATATATATATATATAAACAAACATGTATATGTATAACAAACATGTGTGTGTGTGTGTGTGTGTGTGTGTGTGTGTGTGTGTGTGTGTGTGTGTGTGTGTGTGTGTGTATATATATATATATATATGTGTGTGTGTGTGTGTGTGTGTGTGTGTGTGTGTGTGTGTGTGTGTGTGTGTGTGTGTGTGTGTGTGTGTGTGTGTGTGTGTGTGTGTGTGTGTGTGCGCGTGTGTGTGTGTGCGCGCGTGTGTGTGTGTGCGTGGGTATATATATATATATATATTTATATGCCTATAGGAAATCATTGTACCCCTTTAAAATATCTATATTTTTATTTTACTTTATTTGTCATACAGCCTACAATCAAATAACACAACTGTATTCCAGAGGTATTTTGAAACCAGGTTGTAATGTGAATAAAAGTGCAGATTTTCAAAGGGTATGATGATTTTTATTGGCACTGTGTACTCTATATGCCTCAAAATAGCAAACAATCATTTCTATTTGTAAGTTTTCACTGTATTTTTGTTCAAGTCAACGAGGCCTTTGTGAAATTTCTATCAAATACATGAAATCTTAGTAACCCAATATTTTGGTATTTTGTACTAAACCGTGTACTCAAATGTTTGTTTGTGCTGTTTCTGCTTGTGTTACAGTGGGAGAGCCTCGTCTTGTTCCTGTCCAGAGCTCCACACCGGCTCCTGTCTCTGCAAACACCAAGAGCAATGACATGCATCTCCAAACCACAACCAGAAACACTCGTACCCCAGTGGTCAAAGCCCCTGTTACAGCCTCTGCCACCGGCCAAACGGCTTCAGCACTGATTAGAATGACCACAGTCAATGACCAAAGCATCCTGTCTGCTGAAACACCTCCACCTGGACCAGGTCATTCACAATCAATATGATGTTGATCTCTTTTTTTTTCAGGGGGCGTTTGCATAACACCATTTTAAAAACAAACAGATACATTTTTATACATTCATTTACAGGATGTTGGTGTTGTAAGGGCCTGAAAATGAGTTTTAAATAGAGGTTTAAAAATGCAATCATCTTCATATATTGTGCAAAAGTACCCTCAATTTTCAACTTGACCAATATAAAAATGACTAAACTTCTGTTATATAACACATGACCTTTATCCACCCTCTCAGTGACCCCTTAAAATAAAACAGGCTGGTTTTGTTGCTTTCTAAATGCCTTGTAAAGTTTTACATCTGAGCTGAAATTTTCCACACACATTAATTGTTATTCATAGGTTTTATACAATATGAAGCCTATAAGAACTCCACTACAATATTGGGATTTTTCCATGAGTTTTAAATAACCCATATTATTTATTATTTAACATTTAAAGATACTGTTCACACCTAAATTAAAATCATCAATTTCACTTTTATCCAAGTTAGGTCAACTTTATTATTTTTATCTTTAACTTTATTTTTTTCTACTGAATATAATTAAACAGAAAAATAACACAACCTTGGCCAAGTATTTTAGTAAATTTTATTGCATTTACTGAATATTATTGTACTTAATATAAATATTAGGGTCAATCATAACATTTAATAATAGTATAAACATAACTTTAATACAATTATCATATTAACTAATATATAAACTTAAGGGGTTTAATCATATTTGGAAAGACATGAGAAAAAATAAATAATGTTTTTGTGAATTTAAATATTAACTAAATATAAAAAAACAACACTTCAAATTTTTAAAAAACAAAAGAAAACCTGCTATTTATGTGAATGTTTGAATGAATTGTGTTTATCTTTCAGTGTGTGGCAGGGTAAAGGCAGATATTGTGTTTCTGGTGGATGAATCCTGGAGCATTGGTACTAATAATTTTGGAAAGCTGAAGGATTTCCTATTCAGAACGGTCACCTACTTCCCCTCTATAGGACCTAAGGGAACGCAGGTAGGACATGCTAATGTGCTACATCAAATTAATGCTTTTTCACTTATTTTAGGCCATTTTGAATCTTCTTCTCAATAACACCAATCACTCACTTTTGTTAATTTCTAATGCTAATCCAAACTGTAAACTGTACAGCAAATGCTACTATAATAAATCTGTACTGTCTTATTCTCTTGCCTTAGATAGCAGTAGTTCACTACAGTGATCAACCCAGGATCGAGTTCAACTTCAACACTCATAAAGACCGTAACTCCGTCTTAAGAGCTCTCCGAGAAGTCCGCTATGGAGGAGGAAACACAAAAACAGGTTAATTCTTACATTCAGAGGTTACATTCAAAATAGTTAGCGATCATGTCTGAAATGTGCTGATTGTGGATGTGTGTGTGTAGGTCGTGGGATCAGTTATGTCCTCAGGGAGATGTTTCAGGAGTCTTTGGGAATGAGACAGGAAGCTCCTCATGTGTTGGTGCTGTTGACGGATGGAAGAGCACAGGATGATGTGGAGCCGCCATCCAGGATAGCGCACGCTTTGGGTGAGAGACAGTAACATTCATATATGACTAAACACACCAGTCAAGGGGAGAGTCTCATCACGTCTGGATTTATTTGATCACAAATAAAATAACAGTAATAATGATTTATGAGTTCAATTGTTCTTGAGATAAAAATAAAATAGAAACATTATACAATATTTTTGTGTACAATATTTTCACAGCAAAACACAATGGCTAATAAATGATGCCGTAAGTTTTGAGAAAACCATCATAAAAGTATAGATTTTTACAGACAATTAAAAAAGTATTACTGCAACATACTATCAGGCAAACCTATAGCTTGCGAGACACATGTAGCTTCTTGACCAAAAAATAATAATTTAATTAATAATAATTAGAACAAAATGAATGAAAACTTAGTTTACAATAAAAGGATGTTTTGACCAATGGATAAACTTGAATTCCCACAACAAATAAAGGGCAAACATTTCTATGGTCACCTCGTACACATAACTTCAAACAACAGTAATGAGTGGGGATGGCGAGAAGAAAAAATTCTATAAATTGTCTTTTCTTCATTCATGGACTTGCTTAATAGTTAATTTTTGGATTGTGCATGGACATAAATTAAGGTTTAGGTTAAACCTATATAGGTTTATATTATACATAAATTAAGGTTTTGGTTAAATGTAAACTATACATATATCAGATATATATATATATATATAGTGGGTCTTTAAAAAAAATGCATTTGCCAAAAAAGTCTGAAATGGACTTTGCTGAAAAAAAGGCTCCCGACCCCTGCTATACGGACAAGATAGGGCTCAGCGATTTGGCCTAAAATCTTGAGATTATTTTTTTATTTATTAAAAATGTTTGCCCTCATAGTTCACTGACCAGTTTTATATGCCATTTAAATGCATCTCTGGCACATCTTCCATTCATCGTCAATGTAGTGCAAAGTAAGGCTCAAGAATGAGTCCATCTTTCTACTTGACCAAAGATCAGCTGTGGCTGCAAAGTGGCCGCAGAAGTAGAAGTCAGTCACAGCCTTTTAAATGTAAAAATTATCGTCACGTGACACGTCGGGAAATAAATTGAAAAAATTGTCCTGGAAAAAGTAATCAATTATAGGTTTTAAAATGTCAATTTTGATTACTTTTCGATTTATCGCCCAGCCCTAGGACTAAATATATTTAAATATTGGCATTTAAAATAAATATCTTCTATATTAATCTATAATCATTTCTATATTAATAATAAATACAAAAAATTATGTTTTTATTTTTGTCATTTAAAGCTGTCTTTCTAAAGCCATCCAGTCTTAACGTTTATTAAATTATTTATGCATTTTTATTTCAGTAGTTGTTGATTAAGATTTATATTTTTCTACGTTTATTTCTTACAGTGAAGATCTGTTTATTTGTGAAAAAAAATCACAAATTTAAATAAGATTTTAATACTGAACGAAAAGCACATGGAAATCCAAAAATCTAAAAATAACTGTTAACTAAAATAAAATAAAAACTATAATAAAAATAAAAACAAATAACATAACAAAATGTCTACAAAACTATAACGATAAAAACTGAAACATAAAAATTAAAGCCTCCTACCCATGCATCTATAGACCATTCCAATGTGGTCATAACATTGGCCCACAATCATTTCCTTACTGTAACAAGAGGCAATTCAATCATAACTTTGTTAAAACAGCCGTCATAAGATTATTTATCAATATGTGGCTCTTTTTAGATTCTCAGAAGCTATAGAAATGAAAACAAAAGTTTTGTTTACATGCCTCAAAATGGTCTATACTAGGAACTACTATTTATTTGAAGGACCTTTTGGCTAATTTACTGTCAAAAAAATGTCAATTTAATATATCCTTGAAAAAATATATAAAAAATTGTATAAATGATGCATGATCTGATGTTGTCTATGCAAATAGAAAAGATTAGATATACAGTTTGCAGTAATACTGAAAAATTTGGCACTATTTAACAACCCTTCCTCTTACAATTTAAAAGTAAAAATAATAAATAAATGTGTATATGTATGCAAGTATTTAGCTGACCTATTTTCCCTGCCCCTGACTTAGTTATAAATGGAGAGTGTTTGTTTATTTATTTATTTATTTATTTATTTATTTATTTATTTATTTATTTATTTATTTATTTATTTTTATTTTTATTTTTATTTTTATTTATTTTTATTTATTTTTATTTATTTTTATTTTTATTTTTATTTATTTTTATTTTTATTTATTTTCTACTGCTGCACTCTTTGCATATTTGTATTTATATATTTTCAGTATTGTTTGGCCAAATACATGTTTTTTGTTTTTTTTTATTGTTTTCCTTAATGCAAGAATATGTAATTGTATTACTTTATTCAGAGAGAAAGAACATGTTAGCAAATTGTGTTCTGCTGCTAAATTTGGAGCAGTTGATGTCTAATAATTCTATGTATCTGATGCTTTGGCTCTCCGACTTATATGTTTCAACAAACAACAGAGGTAAACTAAAATTGTATGAATGTATTTTAAAAAGTACACTTACTACTCCATCAGCGTAGACTTCAGTATAAGCAGAAGTGAATGCTAAACATCAGTTTCTGCTACTTGTCTGTTAGGGGTCAGTGTGTTGGTCATCGGCATCGCTCACGCCGACATGGAGGAGGTGAGGACAATCGCGTCTCCCACCACATACAAGAACATCTTCTACGCCAGTGATTTTGACGACCTCCCATCCATCGAGAGAGAGTTCATCGGTAGCATTTGCAGCGAAGCCCTGCAGTCCGAATTTAAACAACACGACGAGGTGAGCCATGCAGATAAAAGAAATTATAGCTATAAATATACCCAACACTAATAATATGTTCATATTTTTGTGTAGTCTGCTCAACTGGACACACCTACAGAAGACCCAGAAGCTCTTGCTAAACCAGAAGGACCTTGTCCGCTTAACTGCAAGGTAAATGCTTTCTCTGACAAATGTTATCTCGATGTTACTGTATTTTTTCACAGTAAATTACATTAGCATTACTTTACAGGATTTAACTGTGAAATTCACAGTATGTTGTATTCAGAATTGTATTGCGAAATTAAGGCTGGAAGCATAATTATTGTAAAAGGGGCTATAAATTTAGCTGATTTAATCGTTAATTTGTGTTTTATTCAACATAGAAATTAATACACCTCAACTTTTATGCTAGTGCACACAATTTATTTTTATATTTAGATATATTTACAAAATGTAGGATACTGATGTCATGTTTCATGTGAAACCTAATTCCTGGTTTGTTTTCATTCTCAGGGTCAGAAAGGAGAAAAGGTAAGTGGCTGTTGTGGTGCTGTGTTGATATCGATCGTGTTATTATAACTGATGGTATGATTGCATGTATTTTCTCTGCTGCAGGGCGATGGGTTTGGTCATGGAGGCCTGGTATGTTTCTTCATTTCCTTCTGGTTTTCTATAATATCAATGGATCATCTTGGAATTCAGTTTGACTAACTCACACAGATGGACTTTTTTTTTTTCTTTTTTAGGGTTGTTTACTAAAGTGATATCCATATTTTTAATTAAGTTTAATCAAACCCTTAACCCTACACAGCGAAATTGATTGTCTTAATCATTGCCACAATAAATATTTTTTTTATGTAGATTAAATTAAATAACAGTTCATTAAATAACAAAATTAAGTAAAACTTCCAAGTTACAATTGGTCACATTATTTTTGTAAAGTCAATGGTTTACTCGCTTTAAGTAAAAGTCTCTTTTTTACAGTGTAGAGTGTAAATTGTTGTTGCCTTAAATGTTTTTAGTCTTTAAATAAGTTTAAAGTTTATGTAACTTTAAACTTAACTTGTAAGACTTAAAAAATATTGAAATAAAAAAATTTAATTGGTTATATAAACATAAAAACATGCAGTCGTGTTATACTAGTCGTGTTATACTATTTTTAACAGCGCAGATATTCTACGTCATAATAAAAATATATTACTTTATTTTTTCTCAACAAGAAAAAAAAGATGCACAACCAAAGTGCAAAGCAACACAATTCTTGAGATTTTTTTTTTTTTGGAACAACCTAATTTTTTTATGTTCAATCAACTTAAATTTGTAAAAACTTATAAGTTAGCTTAATTTCTTCATGTTGTCCCAACACAAATGAATTGAGTGAAACACAACATTTTTTTGAGTGTAAATTGTTGTTGCCTTAAATCTTTTTTAGTAATTTTAACTTGCATAACTTTAAACGTAGACTTAACAATTTGTAAAACTTAAAAAAATATATTGAAATGACTAATTTTAATGAGTTATGTAAAAATAAAGACATGCAGTCGTCACATATTGATTATACCATTTTTAACAACAAGTTGTTAAACAAGAAAAAAAAAACGTTGCACAACCAAAGTGCAAAGCAACACAATTCTTGCAATTTTTTTTTTAATTAATTTATTTTTTTGAAACAACTTATGTTTTATGAACTTACATTTGTGAAAACGTATAAGTTAGTTTGATTTTTTCATGTTGTCCCAACACGTCAATACAGTGGACCACAGCATCTTTTAGAGTGTAAATTGTTGCCTGTCATTTTAACTTACATAACTTTAAACTTAGACTTATAACAACTTGTAATACTTAAAAAAAATGAAATGACTAATTTTAAGGGTCTATTTAAATATAAAAACATGCAGTCGTGACATTGATTGTTTTTTTTAACAGTGCAGTACTGCAGATATTCTACATCATAACAAAAGTATCTCACTTTATTTTTCATCAACAAGAAAAAAAAAAAAAAAACATTCCACAACCACAGATATGTTTTTGGATTTTGAAGAAGAAGAATGCTGGCATTTTCAACCACCCATAACACTTTGGTTTACAAACAGCTTCAGTTTTGCCCACGCGATTTCTTCAGAAAATATATAAATCTAATGTCTTTCATGCAGTATTATCTCTACTGTAATTCTCTTTTTCATATATATTTATTTATTTTTCCTGTTGACATAGCGGCTCCAGCAAGGCCCAGGGCATTTTGACTCATTCTCTCTGAAGGTTAAAGGAGAAAAGGGTGAGCGGGTGAGTACATCCAGCATCCGAAGATTGGCTTCACAACACAAACTTAAATAAACATCAATAAAACGCCCTCCGCAATCGCACTTTAGTGTTTGTTAATTACTGAAGCGTTTATTAGCTAAACCAAAGCGTTCTGTTAATGATGAGATTGTTTTTGTGACTCACTTGTTGTTTTACCAGATTAAAGGATTAAATCTAATTATTAATATCACAGATCTGCCTCGGCGAGGGATGACGTTCGTACTTTGCTTTTTTTTTGTTCCTGTTATCTCTTTGAGAAGGCGACACATGAAAGCGCTTGTCATATCAAAGCGACTCTTTTGAATAACAAATGAAATGTGACAGGTCATGCTAACAAGAGCCGCATTGTTGTAGACGTTGCCTTGTTTATTTTTTTTGGCGATACGTATCAATGCGAAGGCGTGGATTCATATTGCTCTATATTTGATTTCAAAGTAATATGCGCAGCTGAAGATGTTCTGATGTTGTATTTTGAGGAGCATCAAACAGCTTCTGTGTGTTATATAAATGTATAATATTGTGATGTTTATTGTTTGCTTGTATATTTCCATTATTCAGGGTCTTCCCGGGACTGATGGTATTCCAGGTTTACCAGGACGGCCAGGCAGAACTGGACCACCTGGTTCTCCTGGACAAAGGGTGAACAATTTATTTTAATTCAATCAAGCAGAATATGTATCTTATTAAGTATAGTCATGTTGAATAAGCAAGAAACAATCTCTTAATGTGATTCAGGGGCCTTCTGGAATTCCCGGAGACATGGTGAGTGTCATTTTTTTGTACACCTTGCTATATAAAAACATAATGTAGGTGGTGATATTCTGGAAACGGTAGTTAGTTCGCTGGTAATGCCCTGACCCTTTGTACATTTTAGTACGAGAATTGGGAAAGGTGTAATTATGATTCACAGAGGGAGTAATGAGGAATGATTATGGCTAGTCGGTATAGTTTCTTTTAAACGTCTCACGTTTTGATACTTCTCTGTGTGATTGTGCCTCAAGACTTTTAGAAAAACCTTTTCTCTCCTGTCTTGCTTTTTCCACAATCTCAGGGGCCTCCTGGTAATACTGGACCTAAAGGACAGAGAGGAGAGAGAGTAAGTTCAGGCACAGACGACCGTGTTATGTGGTGTATAATTGTGTTTACATTTTATTTTATTAAAAAAATAATAATAATAATAATATATATATATATATATATATATATAATTGGAATCATATTGACTTGAATTAGCTTCTTTTTGTGTACTTTTTGACAAGTCTTTAACAGAAATTGACAAAAAGATAGTCATTGAAAAGAACATATAATTTGATTTTTATATCAAGCCTGTTAAAATGTTTTTTTTTTTTTGTATTATTTTGTAAATGCAATAGTTTCCTAAATAAAATGCTATTTAAATTAAGTCAGCTTTTGTATTTCAACCTTTTTCTCTCTTTCTAGGGTGAGCCAGGCTATGTGATGGGAGGTATGGAGGTTCTTCCAGGCCGTAAAGGAGAACCCGGATCCTCAGTAAGTGCTGGTATCATACTAAACTGCTGCTTAGTATACATCAGGGGTGCCCAAACTCGGTCTTGGGGGGCCGGTGTCTTACATATTTTAGTTCCAACCCCAAATAAACAGCTAATCAAGCTCTTTCTAGCTAAAACTTCCTGGCAGGTGTGTTAAAGGAAGTTGGAGCTAAACTATGCAGGACACTAGCACTCCAAGAACAAGTTTGGACACCCCTGGTTAACATAGTATTTTTCTTATCTTAATTATATTGGATTTTAGTAATTTATTCAGATTTTTTCATGTATTTGCTCTCTCAATTATAAGGGCCCTTCAGGTGCTCCTGGGGTCCCAGGGGTATCTGGTCCTCCAGGACTGCCTGGTCTTCCTGGGCCTTCAGGGTCTCCAGGACTCTCTATTAAGGTTAGTATAAAATATTCATCACATGAAATTCATGGACTCTGACATCAGTTTCCCACCCTTCAATCTATCTTCTTTTGTGTTCATGAGAAAAAAAAAAGAATCACATATAGGTGTGGGAAAAGTAACTTTTGGTTAACTGTCCCTTTGTAGTTACAATCCAAGGCCATTTAAGGTTGTATGCATATGTATTGACCTGAATACGTTTTAATGACTTGAGTGGAGTTTCAGCCTTGTTTTACTTCTTCCTCTTAGGGGGAGTCTGGAGAACCTGGTCCTAAAGTAAGTCATCTAAGTGCAAGCAGTAATTTACAATAAAACATGCATACTAAACACACAATAAACAATGTGCAATCTTAATGCTTCTCACACTCTTCAGGGTCCACGTGGAAAACCAGGTCAAAAAGGAGAGAAAGGAGAGCAGGGGAATAATGTAAGTGCATACTATATTAACCCTAATAACACATTCAAAATCATAGAAATGAATATAAATATAAATGCATATGTATGAGCTCTGCATATTTATTTCTAATACTTGCATTACTTGAATAAACATGAAACAAGCTCAGATTAAACAAATTTTCACTTTCTTCAGTTCGTTAGTATCGGTTTCTGGTTTGTCAATAGACATGCATAGCAATGTTTATTAAAAGAGTCCCGAAAGTGTGAGATACTCGATACTCATATATTTCACAATAGTATTTTAAGATCGTAAATATATTGTCACATTGGTATTATATAGTTCTATCTCATACCTGCCAACACTTTTCCCGGGAGTCTCCCGTATTTCAGATCCATCTCCCGTATTGTTCTGTCTCCCGGAAAACTCCCGGAATTTGTTTTTTAAATAAAAAGTCTTAATATAAACAACTTTAAAAAAATCATCCCATAATGTAGATAAGTTGTCATTTAATAAGAGTATGTCAATAACTCCGTTTTTACAAAAATGTCAGATAGAACCTTATAATTCTAAGGTGACGAAATGAACAAAAAGTCTGTTTGACATGTAATTTTACTCCATATATACCCAAAATAAAACCTATACAGTAACCTTAACAGTAATTAATAAAAAAAATGTAAAAGCATAATGTGTATATATTGAGAGGGAGTTTTAAAACATTCAAAAAGTTATACGCTCTCTTACTATCTCCTTGTCAAAACTGAACAGAATGCTTTGTGGGATCTAAAGCTTCATATACTTTTCTTATTTTATTTTGCAAAAGTAGGCTGTATTTTAAATTGTAGATAATTAATAAATAGTTCAGTCATGTGTATGTGTTTATGAAGGGTTTGCCAGGTTTACCAGGACCAGTGGGAGTGGATGGACTTCCAGGACTTGCTGGCCAGAAGGGGGAAAAGGTGGGTGAGAATGAGAGATATATACAAACATCTACAGTAGTATAGTTTCATGTGTCATTATTTGTACTTTCAGCAGTAGTATAAAAGCTATTTTGAGGAATGACTGTCTACAGAAAGTTAAAATACATAAATGCACAAGAAAGTTAAAATGCATCAATAAAATATTCTGGCCCTTTTTTTGTAAGACTCATTGTTGGGAGTGTTGTAAAAAAAATCGCACTTCCTCTCAGTCAGAACTGCATAGTGCTAAAAATAGTACAGCTGGATTTTTTTGATTGAATTTCTTTTGTGTTAAATATAAAGGGACAGGACGGTATTGGAACACAAGGTGCTCAAGGTCCACCTGGACCACCTGGAGAAAAGGTTTGCTTTTCCGATGAACACAAACCACATTCATATTAGCATTTTGTTAAATGTATAAATGTTTTGTCTGTAAAAGGAGTAAATATTAAATAAGTTCTAATACATTCTTAAGGGAAACACTGGACTCTCAGGCTCAAAGGTAAGCAAGTATTTAAAATCAATGGAATTAAATGACTTTCTTGTGGAATGTGTAATCTGTATTGTATTCATCCCAAGGGTGAAGTAGGAATCCAAGGACTCCAAGGGATCGCAGGCCCTCGGGTTTGTCAGACTTTACACAACCATTTCACATTTAAAGTCAATTCATAGTGTTAAATAATGTCACTTTAAAAGTAAATCAGTGTGAATATTTTCACAGATTTGGTTGAAAAAGTGTTGCATAATGGCAGAGGTTTTTCACCGTTTCGTGTTTTTGTCTCTGTTTAGGGGAAAAAGGGTCTTAAAGGAGATCAAGGAGAGAAGGTATTTTACTAAGGAACATGACAAATGTGCCTTTTCTATAAAAATAAAGGGGCACACTTTATTGTGATGGTTCGTTTGTTGAATTTAAATTACATTGCATCTACATGTCAATGCTTATAAGATTAGAAGTAGACAGTTATGTTGGGAATAGGATTAGGGTTAGTGTAAGTTGACATCCTTTGCACTTGTAGTCAGTTAAATGTCTGTTGAAGGAGCAGTATCAACAGATATTAAGCAGACAGTCTACTAAAACTCGAATGGACCATTAAAATAAAGTGTTACTAAATAAAGGTTCAACTAAAGAATATATACTGTAATTAGTTTAAAAAGACAGACCTGCTGTGAACTATCAGTTCCCCTACGGAGAAAATGAATGAGTTTTTTTTTTTTTTTCTCTGGAACCCGACTGTTGCTTTCAATTAAAATAAAACAACAAATATTAATCAAATATATGGTAAATAGTTTTTTCAGTTTAGTCTTGTGGTCATAACTCTGTTTACTCTTTGAAATACTAACTTTTTAAAGCATCAAATAAAATAATTTTTTATGAAAATATTTTCCTTGGAGTACTCTATTCTGATTCATCATTCGTAACGTTTGTTCATTACCAAATAAACTACTTACCCTATTCAACAATACATTTGCTTGACAGGGTGCACAGGGGGAAAATGGGCCGATCGGGTCTCCAGGAATAGCAGTAAGTCCATTAAGTTTCACTTGTTTGTTTTCCTGAAAAATATGAATAGCATCTGAATCAGCTAAACAACAGACTGATGAACCAGTTAATAGACTTAAACCTGAAGAGTGAGAAGTCGGATCCTAAATCATTTGTTAACTCTTCAAACTTTTTTTTCACTCTGTGTGGTACTGAGTTCTTTTCAGGGCAAGAATGAGCTGTAGATCTCTGGGGAAATTAAAAGAGTCGATTAGGAAAGAGGAAAAAAACGCCTCCTCTCAGCTCTCTGGCCAGTGATGGACTCCCAAATACACGTCAAAGCATAATCGACCTGATTAAAAAAAGAAACACCTGGATGGAGTTTCCATCAAATAATTAGACGGCAAGAGAATAACATGTGCGAAGCATTAAGAGTTACCAGATTATTATATCATTTACCTGCAACCTTGCCACCTTGTGTCCATCTCTGCTTAAAAAAAGAAGCTTAAACAGTCATTAGTAAACCAATCCCTTCAGAGAGCAGATCAAGCAAACTCTCTAACGATTCGACTCCTCATTATACCTCGATTCCCAGAGAAACACTATGGTATGATAAAACGTTTGGTTGGGAGCTCTACTGCAGCACTAAAGATGCTCTCAGAGAGCCTGCACTAGACTTCTGACATCTCTCAAAGCACCTGAGGTCATTCGTATTTGCTGAATACTAATTTCATAATTCTTGCCATGATTAGAAGGAAAGCTGACTTTCTCTTTTGAAACTTTAGGGCTTCCCTGGAGCTGCTGGACGAAAGGGCGATGAGGTGAATCTAAACTATTTGCTTCATTAAATCACAGATAGTGCTTCTACACTGCTCAAATTATGTAGGATCTCACTTGTTTTGACTATACCTGAAGTTAGTACACCTAAAACTGCGTATCATGCTCAGCTTCTACCAACATTTATGGAAAAACTCTAAAAATATACTGACAGTATAGAACTTGCAGCAGTTTTTAGCGGAAATTATCACCAGAGGAAGTAAAACACCAACAACTTTAATTCTGTTTATTGCAAATTGTAATTCCAGACCACATTATTAATAAAAAAACTCACTTATTTTGCACATCATTATGTTATCGCCCTTAAAATACATTTCAACGTCTGCATCACATATCTATGTGCTTATGTATGGCTTTTACAATGTAGTAAACTTGCTTACAGTGAGAACTTTGAAAACAAAAGAGCTCAAAGCCATTTCAAAACTGCAGAAAAACCGTTATGCTTCCCATTTAAACACATTTGGTAAGGTTTGAGATTTGTTTAGGTGGCTATAATGCATTCACATTTTTTGTTTTTTGTGCCAATCATTGGTCATTTGATCTCCAAAATGCTGAAATAGAGGCTTGAATTAATATAATAAAACTTTGACACAGCCACGTTTATCTGTTTCTGCCACTAAATGAGTATGAATATAATGGTTATAAAATGCACAAGAAGTAATATAATACATTTCTCCTATAAGGAGACAATAAATGATACCTAGACCTTCATTTTTGCTAATTTTATATCACTATCACATATTTTTCATGCATATATTATCACAAATGTGTAATCAGTGATCATTAATGTTTTAAAAAAACATTAATAGAAGTGGTTCTTCAGCTTGTGTTTGCTAGTAAAATGCCTACTGCAAATTATTTGACCTTGGTAGAGGTTTCACTTGAAATAAATGGATATGTTTCTTCTTAAGCAAGTATTTTCAGACAGTGTGTGATGTGTATTCCTGTGCTTGATTGACAGGGGCAACGTGGCGCTCCCGGCGAGCCAGCTAAAGGGGTAAAAGTGATCTCCCAGAAGGCCAGAATTTATTTAAGAGTATACTATTCCTAATATTTCCCCTAATTTTCCACAGATACTTGGTCCTCCAGGGAAAAAAGGTGCCAGGGTAAGATCAAGAATCGTTTTCAGAAAATGTCTTAATTGTCTGCACCAAAGCCAGATCATCTTCGCATTTTACGTCCCACATGCATGAGTGAAGTCTGGCAGTTTTTCCCATTGGGCTCTCCTCATCTACATTGAAAACAAGCAGTGCATCCAGCACTTGGACAACTTAAACACGGTTAATTAGTGTCATGAGCATCGATATAAAAAATAAGTGCTCTCACAAATCTAGTCTATCATTTTATAGACTACGGAGCTTTGTTCCAGGTCCCAAAACACTCCAGGGCTAAATTGATGATTGGCGCATTTCATTAAAAGTTTTCAGTTGGTAATTCAGACTAAGCTTGAGGACAATTGCGTTATTGATTACTTGTTGGTTTTACATGGACATAATCATATATATATATGAGAGAGATTATCTATTTTTCCTGGGTGTAAAGGGGGATATCGGGCTAGTTGGGCCACCAGGACCGCAAGGAATCAAAGGAGATCGAGGTGATAAAGGTGAAAAGGTAGGTGTTTGTTTGGAGTTTTAGACATGGAAGTACAATTAATTGCATTTATTGATCTGCATGTTCTGACTTGACATCTGCTGGCTTTTTAAAGGGCAATCCGGGATTTGGAATCCCTGGTCAGCCTGGTCCCAAAGGAGAAAGTGGAGAAAGAGTGAGTATTTATAAGGCTTATAGGTTGGAAACGGACAGAAAATGTGCATTATGTTGGGTTATGCAACCACATAACACGATGCAGAAAAATGTCCACACACTAACATTACTGATTCTGATGGTATTCAACAATGTTTTAAGTTTTTACATCTTAATAAGGTGTGGATGAAATGAAACTCATATATATTACTCTTCAAAGGTTTGGGATCCTCTAGATTTGTTAGAATGTGTTCACACTTTTGGCTTCCCAGCAAGCATTTTTTGTTTTTAGAAGATGTCTGATAGATGTCTAAACATAGTCATCCTGGCTAAAACAAGGCTAAATTTGGGCCGTCAGTGAAAATAGACATCTAAAAATAGGCCAAAACTAGACTAGTCATCAAATAAATAGAAATAAATGACTACACATATAAAGTCTGTCTAATCTGTCTATTTGATGACTAGTTTAGTTTTGGGCTATTCTTGGATGTCTATTAGATTTTCACTGACATCCCAAGTGAGGTCTTGTTTTAGCCAAGCTGTCTTCATTTAGATGTCTATTAGACGTCCATTAGACATCTATTAGACATCTTTTGAAAACTAAAAAAAAAGCCTTGTTTTAGCCAAGCTGTCTATGTTTAGATGTCTATTAGATGTCTATATATACACTAAATTGTTTGCTGGGTCAGTTCTCGTTCTTTTGGTCTGCACCACAAAAACTAAATAACACATTTACTCCTGGCATTTAAGCTGTAATTTTTTAAAGACTAAACCTGAAGATAATATAAATAAATAAACATCCAAACCAATGTTAATAATAAAAACAATAATAATTTTTATTTATATAGCACCTTTCCAGAGCTCAAGGACACTTTACAAGGAATGCAACAAAAAGATGAACAAACATACATGAAGTCAAATATAACAAACTGGAATTACACAAACAAGACCTAAGAGACATATGAGTAGAGTGTTAGTGGATCAGATAGAGTAGTCAGTTAAAGTAGTCAGTTTGGCAGATCAGAAGCGAAGCATTCAGAAAATAAGTGAGTCTTAAGTAAGGATTTTAATTCAGAGATATTATTAGCAGAGCGGAGTGAGCGTGGTAGAGAGTTCCAGAGTTTGGGTGCAACAACACTAAATGATCTGCCCCCCATTGAAGAGAGGCGGTACGGAGGGACAGCGAGAAGGCCAGAGTCAGCAGAACGTAAAGAGTGAGTTGGGGTGTAGGGGACAAGCATGTTGCAGAGATAGGAGGGTGCTAGGTTATTTAAGGATCTAAATGCTAGGAGGAGAATTTTGAATTTAATGTGGTATGCATGCGGTATGAATGTTGTATGTATGTGTACATATAATGGTATTTTTTATCAACTGAGAGCTCATAAAATGGATTCAGGAGTCAGAACAGAACCAGAAGGTCTGCTTAAAGGAGGGTTGCATTTAATACATCTGTGCTGAACTACTATGGGCAATTTAGGTTCTATGATGAGAAAACAAATAGAATTGCTTGGTTATTCTGTCCTCTTTGGAAGTGTATTTCATGACCTGTTGCAGTCACAATATTCAAGTACATTTAGAAGTGGGCTGAAACACAATTTTCAGCTGTTTTAATCCACTTGTTTGGTGTAATGTGAGGCTCTGATGGCAGTGTTAACTTATCAATCAAGTCTTAGTTTGTTTCAGCTGAACCGAATTTGCAAGGTGTGAACACACAATTAATCTCTCTGATCCTCACCAAGGCTTTGAAAACAAAATTAAATGCAAAAACACATCAATTTTGTCTCTTTTTTTTTTCTTTTTCTTTTTTTTAAATGTTCAGGGCAATGTTGGACTATCAGGAAAACCAGGGCCTAAAGTAAGTTTTCTTTTATTTAATATAACTCTTACATATTAACAAACATTTTATGAAACGTATGTCACAGAAACACTGACTTTTTTTCCAGGGCAATGATGGGTCCAAAGGAGACAAAGGAGAGATCGGTTTACCAGGCACCTCAGGTTCTCCAGGACTAAGAGGTAAAGATGTAAGTAAATGGAGAGCCCAGAGTGACTGATACCAAAAGTTTAAGAGTGTCAGTGTGTCTATGTGAGTGAGTGTGTGTCTTTTGCATCATTTGTATCAAAGATATTAGAAATAAAAGCGTTATTTTGTCATCAATTATCTATGATTTGCTTTTTAATTATGCTTCATTCATATTTAAATAATTTCATTTGCTTATTTTAAGGGTGTGCCAGGCCTAAAAGGGGACACAGGATCAAGGGTGAGATTTCTATCATAGTGGGCATCCTCTATTGACTTCTATTGTTTTTATAATGAGCAACATGTATTTTATTTTCTCCAAACCAAAGCTGATTTTATTTATGTTTGATATAAATTGTTTATTTTTATGTTTTACTTTTACAATGCAAATAGCCTTCGATCCTACGGTGAATTAAAATGCTTAATTATTATTTAATTTTTTATTGTTACAGGGAGAACCTGGTTCTCGAGGAGAGCCTGGAGATAGGGGTGTTAAGGTATTTCAAGCAAAAATGGAAATATTCTATTGCATCTAAAAGCATAAAGTCTAAAACACACTTTTTTTCTCATCTCCACTATCAGGGACCCCTCGGTCTTCCAGGACGACCTGGTGACCCTGGAGACAAAGGCGAGCCTGGGAAATTAGGCTTACCAGTAGGCAGCATCCTTTATTTAACATTGTGTAAAGCATATTTGATGAAATTCCCCTTTACAGCACTTCTAGAGAGATGCTGAATTATGAACAGCAGATCAGTCAATATCTTTTGATAATGAATGCTCATGTTTTTCAGGGTCCGGAGGGACACAAAGGATTGAAAGGCGAGCCGGTATGGGCTGCTATTTAAAAACCCAGAAATTATTTCATTTTTTATACTACACTTCAATACTTCACATTAAAGATAGCATAACATCTCAGTTGTTTTCCCTCTGGAGCTCTCTGCTGATCAATTGAAGAGTCACTGTATTAATGTTTTAATCCCTGCAGGGATTGCCGGGACCACCGGGAGTTACTCAAGTGAGTTTTTAACCACCCTTACTGGGTGTTACAATCAACATATTTTACATAAATGAATGTAAATGCCATTTCCAGTTGTTTAGTTTGTTACACATGACGAAATCTGTCAATCCTATGCAGCTCTATTGGTTTCTTAGAGGCACTGCTATGTTACTTTTTCATCATTTGTTTGATTGTTTATTGGTTGTCCTTGTTAAAGTGCACCTGTTTAACTTTTTTTCATATTGTCTTTCATGCAGTGTGTGAAATAGCTGTTTGGAATTCTTAAAGACCTGCTGTGTTTTAAAGATTAGTAGTTAGTAGATTAGTGAAGTTTACGAATAATAGCTTTTTTGACTACAGAAATATTCATTCCAAACCATCTGAAATGAGTTGTCAATGATGACCTTGTAGGTTTGTAATACTTTGCATACTTGTTTAATGTAGTGCTCTAGCTAAGACATGAATAAGTTTGATTAGTGTTGTTGGCATGCTAGGCCGATTTAGTTTTCGGTGGTGCAAAAGCAATTTGTCTTTGCTTGCACTTCAATTCATGTCGAAAGATGTTGAGGTAAAAAGGACAACTATTTACCAGTGTGTTTAAAAGTGCTTTAAAACTCAATCAGTTTCTACAGACTGGGTATTCTTACCAATAACAGCCAATTATGCTCTTGAAAAGATGTTTCAAGAGTTCACACTTAGATATTGCTTGACAACTGTAAACAGGTTTGGCATGCTGTCCCAGGAGAGAACCCTGAGCTCGGAGATAGTTGAGCCCAGGGCTCCCGCCAGGTCCATAGAATATGTGAGGGGAGTACGAGATCAGGTGGTTCTCGAGAGCTCCCCTTTTTTGTAAAGAAGAAAAGGAGGAGAAAGGGGGTGGATGGGGGGTTTCTTTGGAAAACGAAGATAAGGGAGTAATACTTATAGTGAGTTAGGATAGATCTGATTGGCTAACTAATGAGTGTAGATAGATGGCCAGCTGCAGTCAATTATATCATGTGCTCCTCTCGAAATTTGTTTAAAAACTTCACTTAGATTAAAAAAACTTAATGCTATGTGCATTATTAGAAATCCAATGTGTATTAAAAGAAAATAAAACCCCTTAAAATAGCATTGTAGGGTCGCTTTAATTTTTGTTGTTAATTCTGCTTTCCTAGTTTACCACATCAGACAACACCGTTCTCACCAGGGCCATTAAGGTACAGTAAGACACCTAAACTGACTGATACACAACAACACCTTTAGTGACCTTCAGTTATTTGTGAATGTGTTTTTGATGTGCTTGAAAGGGTGAACCTGGTGAATCTGGGCTCCCTGGACCACCGGGGGAGACAGGACGTCCTGGACCACCTGTAAGTAAAGCCTCCCATCCAATGAACAAACTAATTAAAACAGAGCAATATGTCTAAATGTTGGATTTATTCTCTATTAGGGTCCTGAAGGTAAACCAGGACCTCCAGGAAATTCACTGGTGAGCTATAAGCCGCATCCTAAACTGCATAATGTATACTACACTGTAAAAAAAATACTGGTTGGCTTATATTTTCAAGCTGAATCAAATTAACCTTAAGAGTCTATTGAACTTATATTGGTAAACCGGCTTAAAATAGCTTTTGTAACTTATAAAATTAAGTTAAGAACCTGATCAACTTAGTTTAACAAGTTACAATGAACTAAAAACACATGTTGACATGACTAATTCATCATATAATTTCTGATAGTACTACTTTTTATACCAATGCAAAGTATGCACTCTATATACAGTTAAAGTCAGAATTATTAGCCCCCCTGAATTATTAGCCCTCTTTTTTTTCTTAAATTTCTGTTTAGATTTATTCAACACTTTTCCTAACATAATAGTTTTATTGACTAATTTCTAATAACTGATTTCTTTGCCATGATGACAGTAAATAATATTTGACTAGATATTTTTCAAGACACTTCTATACAGTTTAAAGTGACATTTTAAAGGCTTAATTAGGTTAAATAGGTTAACTAGGCAGGTTAGGGTAATTCGGCAAGTTACTGTATAACAGTGGTTTGTTTTCTAGACTGTAAAAAATATGGCATAAAGGGGCTAATAATATTGACCTATAAAATAGTTTTTTTTTTAAATTAAAACCTACTTTTATTCTAGCCGAAATAAAACAAAAGACTTTCTCCAGAAAAAAAAAAATATTATCGGATTTTAATTACTGTGAAAATTTGCTTGCTCTGTTAAACATAACTTGGGAAATATTTTAAAAATAAATTAATGATATAAATTAAGACATAGTCCTCTTCTGTGGCCTTATGGGATAGTAAAAAATCCATTATATGCACATTTCAGAATCTCACTGAAAGATTCTTTTAAGAATACTTTGAATTTGACTACTACTACTACTACTAATACTACTCAACTCACATACTTGCATACTATTCTGCCCACCAAAGGCAATGTGCAGTGATTACACATTGGGTCAAAATTGTATTAAGTTCTGATAAGGAGACTTTTATCCTGATTTATCCTGATTTTTCCTAATATGTTTATGACTGGTGTAAAAAAATAAAAGCTTTAAAGGCATTTTAAGGGCACTTTGCCTTAATAGAGCAGTAATGTTCATCTAATATATGGTATGGAATGAGACATCTTTGGACACAGAAATATAATTCCCTTTTGTCTTTTTTTAATAGAAAGTCTGTTGTTGTTGTTGTTTTTTTTATTAGTAGCATAATTATTAGTATTAATGTCTATAACATGACTTGGCTAGCTCTGTATTCTTTCTCTTTTAGTTTGGATCAAGTACAGGGAAAGACGGTCTGGATGGTCTGCCAGGAATCCCTGGATCTAAGGTTTGAGTACTTTCGGTAGCACTTTATTTTGATGGTCCGTTTGAGTATTAGTAGACTGTCTGCTTAATATCTGTTAATACTGCTCCTTCAACAGACATTTAACTGACTATAAGTGCAAAGTACATGTCAACGTACACTAACACAAACCTCAACCTAACAGTCTACTTTTAATCTAATGAGAATTAGTTGGCAGGCAGTTGCAATGTAACTTAAATTCAAGAAATGGACCATCAAATTAAAGTGAGACCGTACCTTGTTTCATTTATACAGCTTTTATGTATACTGTTGATGGCTTTCTTCATATGTATTGTATTAATAATTTATATAAGTTTATTGATAACTGTGGTTGTGTGAACAGGGTGAAGCCGGACAGAAAGGTGAACCAGGATCAGTAAGTAGGCCCAATAAAACTTATTTTGTGGTTACATGATTCATATCTGAAATTTCAAAGGCATTAACTGAATTGCAGGGTGTACAGTATTAAAGTGCTCCAAAATGACTGCTGATGAGTAATACTGTGTGACACCATTTTGCTTAATGTCAGTTAAAATGAAGATTTCTAGCTAAAATGTTTAAAATCTATCATTTATATGCACTTTCATAAAGGTTATTTTTTTTCTTCTGAAGGATAGATTATTATCATAATTAGAGTAGTTGAAGTCAATGATGTCCTTTTTACGTGTTTTGTGTGTGTATGTGTGTGTTCAGGTATTTCCCACAGTATGTTGTGGGTAATAATGTCTGAACAAGGATAGTAATCCCTCAGATGTTTGTGACTGTGGGATTGAGTTCCTATAAGGAGAGCAAGTTTAGCAGCTTATAAATCAAATTAAATGATGACAATTTAAATGGGTTTGGTGATAATATATTCTGTTTGTACATTAAAAATATATTAAATTATTATATTATATTAAAAATATGTCTATGCGATGTCTCATACAGTAAAACACGGAATTCATCATCTTGTGTGTGTGTTTGTTTAATTAATAAGAAAGGAGAGAAAGGAGATCACGGACGTGCTGGGATTACTGGTATGCCTGGTTTACCTGGGACACCTGTAAGTATACAAACATTTACAGCAGTTATAAAACATTACATCTCTATAATCAAGCCTCTAATTTAATTTCTTTTCTTGTAGGGTAAACCTGGTGTTGATGGGAAGCGTGGAGTTTCTGGAAAAGATGTAGGTTTAAAGCAGTTGTTCATCCAAAAATGACTTACTAATCATTTACAGACCCTCTACTTGTTTTAAGCCTGTATGGGTTTATGTTTTCTGTTGATTTAAAAATGAAGATGACCAGTTGACATTAGCCATCGACTTCCATATTAGAAAAAACCCCACAATGGATGTCAATGATTTCCATAAACTTTTTCGTTTCCAATGTTCTTCAATGTCATCTTTTGTGTTGTTCAAAATAAGAAATATACAGTAATCAACATTTGAAGTGCATCAAAAATGCTTTTTAAAATTATCCTAAGACAAAAATAGGTGTTGTTGAAAAGACAACTTTATTGAAAGGTTTTGATCCACTTCAAATGTTGACTACTGTATGTAAAGGAGTAAATGATTACTACCTTAGTTTTTTGGTTAACTAAATCTTATTGTATTTTTACATTTGACCTATTTTTTTTTATAAAAACACATTTTTCCTCAGGGAGAACGAGGACCAAAGGGTGATGAAGGAGAAAAGGTGGGACAACAGACTCAAATAAACAATTAAATTTCAATTTAAATGTATTTAAACAACATCATTTCTTCTTTTAATTCATAGGGTGTAAAAGGTGAACCTGGTGCAAATGTAAGATAATACAAATTATCTATGTAATAATGCAACATTTCTTTCCTTGAATGTTTATTTATATCCATTTTATTCATTATTTTCACTATTTTAGGGAAATGAAGGTCAAAAAGGAGAGCAAGGATCTCCAGGATTGCCAGGTCCTCCTATTGTCCTACAGGAGGTAAAAGTTTACCAGTTTCAGCTTAGACGAACTACTATTTACAACCGCAACTGCTGCTAAATGTGTGTTTGCTCTAAGGGCATGTCGATTGAGGACATGAAAAAGGCATTTCCCTTACCGATGGGACCTCCTGGCGCGACAGTGAGTGTGGAACATTGATAGCATTTTGAACACAGTCAATGTAACCTTACACTTTTGAGGCATTTGGATGCAAAGACTTTTTAGTTACATGCACGCTTCTGTCTTTATAGGGCCCTCCTGGGATGAAGGTAAAGTTGAATTGGCAGAAGTTTATTGGATAAATGAAAAGTCTGAGGTGATATATTTAAGTCTTCCTATTTGCTTGGCAGGGAGAGAAAGGAGAGATGGGTTTGAAAGGAGAAAAGGTATCAAATCTTTCAGCATTGATTGCCTTCACATGTTGCAGAAGGAATGATAGTTCAAACTGTATTATTTAACAGGGGGATGCTGGCGCACCTGGGAGAGCGGTTGAAATGAAGGTCTTCATGGTTACTCAATGCCTTTATATTATTTACTTGATTATAAAACTGGTCTTAGGTGGTTTAAACATTGCTGTGCTCTATTTCAGGACATTGAAGGCTTGTTCGATTCGTATGGCATTAAAGTAAGTGTGGTGTATATTTTAAACAGCTCGCCTTTAACCCTGCAGGCATGAAGTTCGATTTTTCTGGAACACAGGATTAATTTTAAAGTTTTTCGAAAGTACAATATAAAGGAAGAAGTGTGGAGCTGTGAAACAACGGAAAGACGGGAATGAAATGGTTTTATTCATTCATTCATTCATTCATTCATTTTCTTGTTGGCTTAGTCCCTTTATTAATCCGGGGTCGCCACAGTGGAATGAACCGGCAACTTATCCAGCAAGTTTTTATGCAGCGGATGCCCTTCCAGCTCTGGGAAACATCCACACACACATTCACACACACACCCATACACTACAGACAATTTAGCCTACCCAATTCACCTGTACCGCATGTCATTGGACTGTGGGGAAAACAGGAGCACCCAGAGGAAAACCACGCGAAGGCAGGGAGAACATGCAAACTCTATACAGAAACGCCAACTGAGCCGAGGTTCGAACCAGCGACCTTCTTGCTGTGAGGCGACAGCACTACCTACTGCGCCACTGCCTCGCCCGAAATGGTTTTATTTACATAAATATTATATTACATTAAATCTTTTTGCTGATATCAGAATATTAATTGTTTACATAATTGACTCCTACACCAGCAAAAACAATACTGGGTTCTACACAATTGATTTGTGTTGTGAGAACATGCAGGAATTGAGTTACCTTATTTGTTTTTACCCATTTAAGTGGGTTGAACATAAAAAACAATTAAGTTGTGTCCCAAAAAAACAAGAATAGTTGTTTCAGCTTTTTTTTTTATTATTAATAGTATGATGAAACAGAAAACTTCATTTTTTCCTTTGTAAGTTTTACTCATGCTTTAATAATATAATTATTATTTATTTACTTTATTGAAATGAATATAGAAAACTTTAACAGTAATATTTTACCCTAAAAGCAAAAACAGGGTTTATTATTCAATTAGTTATATAAAATAAAGCTGCTATTTTTGCTGAAGGCTGCATCTATTACATTCAACAGCACAAACCCTTTCAAATTACTTTTCTATAACAATTCTTATCCTATATTAAAAAAATTAAACCTACTCAACAACAAACAGTGAATTATATGTGAGTTAATTATATACTTAACTACTATATTTTCTGAGCTAATAAATATAATGTACGTCAACCTGTGAGATCTCTTCACTCTAAGAATCCACTCTGTTTGACAGTTCCACTTGAAATGTTGAGCAGGGGTGCTCAAGCTCAGCCCTGGAGTGCCGGTGTCCTGCAAAGTTTAGTTCCAGTCCCAATCAGACACACCTGGTCTTGCTAATCAAGCTTGTACTAGGCTTTCAAGAAACATCGGTGCAGGAGTTTTGAGGCAAGTTGGAGCTAAAATCTGCAGGACAGCGCACCTCCATGACCGAGTTTGGACACCCCTGTGATAGAGCTTTTTCAGTAGCAGCTCAAAGACTGGAACGATCTTCCACTCTTCTTAAGAACATCTCCTACTTTGGAGTCATTTCAAAGGTCATTGAAAAATCTTTAGCTTTTCATCATGTGTTGTGGGTTTATGTATTTTGGTTCCTTGTGTGCTTGCATGTATTGTGTGTTTTCATGTACAGCACTTTGGTACCCATTGTGGTACGTTGAAAGTGATGTAGAAATAAATTGAGTTGAGTTGAATCATGCAGTTTAAATGATCAGTAGTCTGCCAAGGTATATACAAACTGTGACCTTTCTCACTGGTTTTTAAGCCATCCATAAATCAATTTTCCCTTTGTCAAGCCATACAATTTTGAAATGCATTGACATTACACTACAATAAAATATGAATCACTCTTTCCAGCTCTCTCTGCTGAAGGCTTTGATTGACAGGCTGCTTCAGGATGGAATGGAGGAGCTTCTTCACGAGATCAGCACCAGCAGAAGAGTGAAAGGAGACAGAAGAGATCCTGACTCCAACATCATCACTGAATACACCGTGAGTTCCTCCTGAATTTACTAAACTATCTATGAGAAGGATCATAGTGACATTCTGATTAGTAGTCAGAGTGCACTTACCGTTAGCCTTTCTGAACGATAAAACCTCTAACCCACAGAGCTCAGTAAAGTACAGTCACCCGCAAGAGCCATTACCTGATACAGACTTGATTGAAGAAGAGTCTGATCTTGAAGAAGGACAGATGCCTGAACCCAGTCCTGTAAGCAAACATTAACATTAAACATAACATCACTTAAATACTTTTTTCTTAAATATATTTGACACATTTTGTACTGATAGAATGTTTGTATTGTCTTAAGGAGACTGTGGGTGAACCAGAAGTGCTTCCTACTGTTTGGACTATCTCTACTGTTCGCAAAAATGATGATCTGAGTAAAACCAAGGACATGCTGGTAGATGTAGAAGAAAAGAAACTAGTAGAAACCAACTTCAGTGATGTTACATCTTTAAAGTTTCTCCAAATCAACAGCTCCTCTGAAAGGGTAGGATTACTAGTGGTATTTATAGAGTTAGTAACCAAAGATAGTCATCCATTATGAAACACTTTTGTTAGTAGAACATTAGAGAGCTTTTCAAGCTTAAACCATCATACAGTACCATGTTGGTCAGCAGTTATCGATACGTTGAGAGTTAAATAAAAGCATATATAGTCAAAAGGAAAGTAATACATGTGGTGCCTGATGATACATTGATGTCTTATGTAGTGAAACAATTAGTCATTGGAAGAAATACACTCAGGACAGAGTGTTGTCAGGAGCCACATGTCATTCCTGTCAACATTGGAATGTGAAAATAAGGGATACCCACTGCTTTTATATTTATTTCAGTGTTTTCATGCCTAAATAAAATAAAAGCACAGAACAAATTCAAATTTAAGAGCAATGGGCGCCCCCTGGTGGTTCGGCGGTATAGGTTGCGAATAGGGAGGATCCACTCTTTAATGTTTATTGCCACCCTTCATAGAAAGATTACAAATAAGGGAGAAATATGGGAAAATACCTTTACGGGATGATAGTGGGATAGAATTCCGGAATACGGGAGAATCCTGGCAAAGACGAGAGGGTTGACGGGTATGCCATAGGTATTAATTTAGTTTTGCCTGTGTATATGTGTTTTTTGGAGTCCTGGAAGCCATTGACTTGCATTATATGAACCACCAATAACCACAGTCTTAATGAGTACATTAAAATACAATTTTCATTTTTGATCATTGTTTTTTTATTTAATGTTTAAGTGAAACTTTTTAGAGTGTATTTATATGCATACAAATGAAGTTCATCTATTTAAAAATGCCAAACTTGCACCTCAGCACTTAAGCAGTTATTATTTTAAAGCAATCAGAAAACATTAATTTTGTATTTACGACTGAGTTTATTTTGATTTGGATTGTCTTATTATAAGATTTAGTTGAATAATACTTAAACTTCTGGCTCATTTTAAAGCAGGTCTTAATGGCTTTTTTGTTTGTTTGTTTGTTTGTTTGTTTGTTTGTTTGTTTGTTTGTTTGTTTGTTTGTTTGTTTGTTTTTTGACAGCTGGGTTCTGGAAAGGTTGAGGTAAGTATGGAGACAGCTTTCCACAGCCATGAGGACACAGGGAAGAAAACATCTGGAGAGAAGAAGAAAGGCAGAGAGAAGGGAAAGGTAAAGTGATACAGAAACTAAAAAGTTGCTTGATTAAACATTACTATAGATAGATGTATATATATATGTATAGTAAGTCTCAGTTATATGTTATTCTTACTGTGAATTAACAATTAATAAAAAATATAAAACTTGCCATAAACTGGATTTGGCTTTTAAACAAATAACTTTGTGCTGTTGAAAGTATTCAATCTGGCAGGTAATAATGACATCCTAATCAGACATAATAATAACATAACATTACAGTTAAATAGGATTGCCACTATCTTATTAAATGTCTCTAAATATTTCTGATGATTGTTATTTAAAGCCGTCTCATAAATTATGATGCTTCTCAACTGCTAAACTCTCAACCAGGGCAAAGGAAATAAAGGACGTCAAAAACGGCAAAGGAAACGTTTGGTAAATGTTTCATCACTTCTAACCTGACATTCACACATCATTCACACCCGAGCAAGCTTAACTTTGACTAAATAATGCTCTTTATGACTGTTAAATTAACCTTTATTTTTGTGATTGCTTGAATATTCTGATCTAATTGAGCTACTTTTCTAAATATGTCTAAATATTTCTTTGAAATGGCATAAATCCTAAAATAACAATGAACAAAAATCAAACTTTAAATGTACATAATCATAATGCATAACTAATTTAACAAACACTGCTGCTAAAAAACATTTAAAGTGTCATTGTGGAGTTATTAAAATATATTTTAATTTTTAATTAATTATAGTTTCATAAATTCCTTATAAAGTTCAGTAACTAACACTGTAATGCATAACATGTTCTGTGATTATTGCATTATTATATCTTTTTTTTTTAAATATGTCAAAATATATGTATAAAATAAATCTTTTTAGCTCATCATGTACTGTCTGTTTGATCAATATCAATTATTGTAAGACAGAAATCATATTTTCATACTGTAAATTACAGGAGGGTCAAGACAACATGGAAGAGGAGCTTCAGGAAGCATCATATGACGATGAGGAATACAGTCTTGAATATGAGGTATTTTGTACCTTTTGATCTTGCTAATGAAAGACATCTTGTCACCTTGTATTGTGAATCATTATAATCTTAAAAGATATCACACAATACATCCGCCCAATGATGCTTCTCTTAGCGTTAACATGCTAACTATACAACCTACGCTAATCACCTGATATTTCCCTCACTCACACCCACACTCTAAAATCCAATAACACTATTCACATCACACAAAATGACTACATGTTAATATAATACTCCCAGCCTTAATAAGAAACAGTAATCACAACATTTCTAATTAACATCGAGTAATTATTCTCCTAATCTCCCATTGCTTGCTTTCTTAAATTAAGTCTTCAATCAAAACACTTTTTTTCATGATTTTTTTTTCCCGCATGTTTTGTATTGTGTCAGGACGAGCTGCCCACAAAAGAGCCTTTTCCCTCTCAGGAGGAAGATGGTGGAGGGGAACAGGTGAGTTAGCCATTTTTGCACAAAACTGGGAGGTTTTTGTGATATTTGCTGTATAAACACACACAAAAATGGTGGATTTGATTTTTAAAAAGGTAAATGGTTATGGTTAATAAAATGATCACATTTTGATGTCAAATTTGCTGAAAAATTGAGAATATGAAAATAGAAAGAAACTTTGGAGAGTTACGAAACGCCCACAATAAAGAAAATAAAGCAGACAGCTTCATCAACACAATATGATCAATGAGCTATTTTTTTCTGTTTTTGTCCTCAGCTAAAATACTTAGCAACGACAGCTTTATATACAGAAGAAATTGAGGTAAGTGTCTGTGTGGAATGGTTTCTTTTTAATATTGCTAATCATTTTATATGGTTGTGATTAAAAATGGTCTAATTGTCAAAATATCACACAGGGTGAGACAGAAACGTATAAGATTACACAGTCTCCAGAAGAAGTTACACTGGTGAGAATATACACTACATATATATACACTATATGTGTATATATATGTATATATATATATATATATATATATATATATATATATATATATATATATATATATATATATATATATATATATATATATATATATATATATATATATATATATATATATATATATATATATATATATATATATATATATATATACACACATCAATCAAACTGACTAAAAATATTAAAGGGCACCTATGATTAAATCATCTTTTGTAAGCTGTTTGGACAGATCTGTGTGTAGGGATAGTATGTCCACAGTCATATTGGGGTCATATAAACACAATAAGTCTCTTTTTTTTTTTTATTTCCTGACGTTAAAATAGGATACAAATCCCTACCATTTTGAAGCTCACTGCAATGTGACGTAGTGCGGTTTTCCCTGCCCAATTGATTGACAGCCGCATATTAACATGTCTTTGTAATAAAGCGTGTAATCACATCCACAAAACAGGACATATGCAAAGCAACTGGGATTAAAAGATCAGTTTAACACTCTGCGATCATCAATCATCATCAAATGTGATCAGTAATGAGTTTTACAGGTTTAAAACGTGTTTAAAACAGTGCATGTTTGTAAAAAATGCAGTAAAATCGATGTAATTCATCACCACAGCTGCATAGTGTCAGTACAATTCTAAAAGAAGACAATTTAATCCTGCTTTGTGGATGTTAAATCAGGTTTATTTTGTACATTAACATAAAGGATGTCCATATAGTGTATCCTGTCACATTTGTCGTGCAAAAACAGAGCGTATTTAAACGCAAGCGCTGTGTGCGTGAACTCGGTAATGACATTGTGTGACTCATCATTGCAGAAAGGCTTGAATTTTATTCCACAGCAAATACATCAAATAATCATTGGGTAAGTTCTTACGGTAGTATTTCTCACAAACGTTATGTGAGATTTACTTCCCTCACGTATGTCACTGTGCTGTTTATCTGACGCAGCAAGAGAGATGCTGCGTCCTAATTTACACACTTGTACTACGCCCTAAAATTATGTACTTTTTTTGTAAAGGAAAAGTATATACTTTTAAGTGTGTAACAGAAGAGTATGCAAGCTTTGGGACATACTTCCTCATTAACAGATCATTATGTTGTTTTCGTTCCTTGTCGATCATCTCAACATATCATCCACATTTCTTTCATATTTAATTTCCTACCTTACCGGTGAAAGCAGCAGCAGAATAATCTGCCATTCTCGAGTCTTTCATGCAGAGAAATCTTCTCAGGTGTTTGAGTAATTATGCGTTCAGAAGTTAATGTCCGAACATATCTTGATGTAATTGTTGTTGCAGATGAAATATAACACGGAAAACGCGGTTTAAACATGTAACAGGTGGCTAGATCTTAATTAACTGTCATTCAAACAACTACCAAAGCCTCTCTGCTTAACGGTTGGTCTCACGCGTCCGCCATGTTTTTAGTTTGTTTACACTTTTTACCCGAGCTTGTAGTTCTAAACAAATTCACGTCCAAAGTGTAATGTATAGTGGGTAATAACAGTGGTTAGAGTAAGGACTTTTCTACACTTCGAGTTTTAATCGGAAATAGTAAACCATCCGGGAACCTTTGGCATACACTTTTGGTGGTTTGGGACATATTCTGTTTTTGATTACTATTTAAGATGGATAGTATACAAATTGGGACGCAGCTATGGAGACGCACTCTGACAGGCATGTGGGAATGGTGGGCAGGGAGAGCTACCTCATTTGCATTAAAGGCACAGGGCACAAAAACAGCTACAATGTGCTCAGACCTGAAATCTCCAATATTCATAAAGGTATAATAAACAACCTGATGGGTATTTTGAGCTGAAACTTTATAGACTCATTCCGGAGACACAGAAGATTATCTTAAATCTTGAAAAAGGGTAAAATAGGTCCCCTTTAAGTTCACTTAAAATAGTTGAAACCTGCAAAATGCCTAAAAATTGTCCTCTCAATTTGTTTCAGACGGCTCACACAACAACAGAGAGTCCTCGGGTATTATCAAGCATCACAGTGCAGGTACGTCACACACATGACAATCATTCTGACAGTATTAAACAAAATACTGAAGTTATTTTGTGTGTTTTACAGAAGCCACCGGAAACCACGTTATTATTGAAGCTAAATGAAACACAAACTGGAGAGGAGGTAAAAACCTGTCTGTCATTTTGCTTTCTATCTTCTATCCTGTTTGTTATGTTCAAAACCTCATGCGCTGACGTTCTCTAAATCATTCATATGCTATTTTGCTTGAAGCACGAACCTAACAGAGCTTTCTAAATCTTTCTATTAGCATGTCTGTTGGCCGTTTTGTCCAATTGCAACTAGCGAAGTAATTTATTTGAGTCATTTAACGTGCATGCATTATTTTTTTGTTGCATGAGAAATGAATCCCCTTTATTTCGTCAGTGAATTTCACCAGTGCAAACAATATTTTATGTAAAATGAATGTCAATTTCAAAAATAAAAAAAAGAAATATGATCATACAGTAACACACTGGCATCCCAGCATGCACTGCACCTGATTTTCAAGTCTGGTTTGTGCACTCGCAATGCAAAACAAACCATTAAACGCGCTTCATCGTCCCTCCGCTTCAGGTTTTCTTTAATATATGTATTTTCTTAACACAGGAGCTCCCCTAAACTCTGTAAGAGAGACATTCAAGTGTGTAGAAACTGTGAAGGGTAAAAGAGAGGGGGAGGATCTGACTGGCCGGCATTACTTTGGGAGAGCCTCCTTTCCCGTCGCACAATGATGATGTCATTCGTCCATGCTGCCTCCACCACGACTAGCGTTCAGTATGCTGCAAGTGCCTTTGATAGATTGAGAAGAAACCACCAAATGTGTCTGTAATGTGCTGCCTTTACATTTACGGTACAACCAGAAGCTAAATCGTATATATTATTCACATGACAAACACAAGGCATTATTCTGAATTGTTTAAATAGGTTTTGTTTTTATTGTCCTGACAGCTCATGCAATATCAGTTTGGTAATCAGCTCCATATTTATTAATAAGATCTAAAAGAGATTGTATTTTGTCTGCATATTTACTTTTACACAATGTGAGACCTGTTTTCACTGGTGAAGTTCACTGGCATTTCTTTCATATTTAATCTGTCTGTGCATGTCTGTCAGTAAATGTGCTCTTCCTAAATCTTAAACTGTTTCTGAGTCTTTATTGTGTGTTGTGTGTGTTTCGTGAAAAACTTTGCTTTGTTACATATTTTAATAGGAATGTGTGATATATTGATATCAGAAATTGGCCAGATTTATAGATTTATTTTATTTGTTTTAGCTGCTTTGATTATTTGTACACTGTAAAAAGTGATCAGTTACTTTACCCTAAAACAAAGTGAGTACACCCATTGCATTAAAAGCAACAAGTTGATTTTACTTAAAATAAAATCAGTAAACTCATTGGCTTAACTTTTATAACTACACTGTAAAATGTAAATGTAAAGATAAAATATTTTATGTTGCTTTACCTTATTTAAATAAGTTACCCGGGTTTCAACAACAGTTTTTAAGTTATACAAAGTTTAACTTAATATTTTCAGTCTGTTTAACTGACGTAAGTTGAGCTGAAAAAGAAAAGTTCATTTTATTCATCTAAAAATGTAAGGCAATACAGTGCATGCACATAGTTTGTTGACTCAATAAGCAACTAAAACAGTCAAGTCATCACTTTTTACAGCGTAAGTGTCACAATCAAGCTAGACAGATAAGGAGAAATTGCTGCTTTTTTTCATGATTAAAACAAATAAAATAAAGTACCAAAAATATATAATCTACTTTATAAACCACACGTAATGCTAGATTATTAAAACAATCGGTCACACTTTATTTTAATGGTCCGTTTGTTGAATTTAAGTTACATTGCAACTACATTCCAACTAATTCTTATTAGATTATAAGTAGACTGTTAGGTTGGGGTTAGTGTAAGTTGACATGTACTTGCAAAGTTTCTTATAGTCAGTAAATGTCTGTTGAAGGAGCTGTATCAAAAGATATTACGCAGACAGTCTACTAAAACTCAAATGGACCATCAAAATAAAGTGTTACCAAACAATTGATTATTGAAACAAATTAAATTAAATAAAGTAACAAAAATATATATAATCCACCTTATAAACCACACGTATAGCTAGATTAATGAAACAATAGATCATTGAAACAAATTAAATTAAAGCAACAGAAAAATATAGTCCACCTTATAAACCACACTTAATGCAAGAGAAAACATGACCAATAACGTAATAAATGTAGGGCAAAATATAAACAGGTAGTGGAGAAGGAGAAATATTATAATGTGATGTTCAAATTGTAGAATAGCATAGCAATTCCAGTTGTTTACTTATTTGGTTTGGTAGGTGGGAAGTAAAGTAGTGGAGTAAATCTACATGCGTATGTTATTGTCAGCATGAAACTAGAGATGCTCATAATAACTGTTTAACCGTTAACCGAAAGAATGCGTTTTTAACTGATTAATATCAGTTAAATGGTTAAAATGATTATTATCTGTGACTAGACCTGGCAAAGTATGTCTGAAGATGCATCATTCTATTTTAAGATACAGCTCGATAAAATGTAAAAACAAATCTAATTTTCTTTTTTTTTCTTCTTTTTTTTTAAGCTAATTTAAAAGAACAGACATTCAAAAATAATTTCTCAAAGTTTGGTAGTCCTGATCATTAAGTAATGGTATTTAAATGACTATTAAATGTATGATTTTTATTTAGTTTATTATTTTTTTCCTATGCTGTTGGAAACGCTGCAGGAGCATGAAGATTTGTTGCTGTTCTATGCTATAAATCAATATTTTAAAATGGAATACGTGTTAGACACAAATTGGACACGTCAATTATTTATTTATTAGGTTAATGGTTAATATTTGGTTAATCAGCAGCAGTTGTCAGTTGGGAAAATTAACCGAAATGAGCATCACTACATGAAGCAGCATTTTGCCTAATGTGAATTATATATTAGTAAAGCAAACGAAAAAAAGTAGAATTCGATATTGTCCATCTGGAATTGATTGGCTGATTCAAGTAACATTGACTGTCACACATTTCCCTGCTCTCGCACAAATATTCAGACTAGTACAGTAAAGAAGGGATGTTGCAAGAATACTGCGAATACATTTTAATTGCGGTGTATTAGGCCACAAATCAATGATAACAAATATTGCGATGTTAAAAATCAATAAGATTTGAAATGGTTTTGATTTCAAAGTGAGTTGATTGCTTATAAGAGTGTTTGGGTATAAACAGGGGAACTTCTCCCATAGTAGTGGCCTGGAAGCAGCAAGATATAAAGTGAAGAGAAGCGCCCTCTCACCTCAGTACATGGTAAAACTTCTTGTTCAAAACTGTATTGATTGGAGAATATATCATTTGCACGTAGAAAAAGCAGCTTAATGAAGCACAAATCATGTATATCTTCTCTAGGCCCATATGCCTGGGACACCAGGAGGACTAAACCGATACAGGCAAGGATATAAGGTGATAAAAACTGCTGTATTTAATGCTTCTGATTTGATGAGCTGAATTAGGGGGAAATTATTGGAGCAAAGTAAAACAGCATTTTCTCCTTCTCTTTTAGAGGTCGACCTCAGGTACACAAGGCAAAAATAAGCTGAATGTAAGTATACCTGAAAAAATTAGCAATTTACCCAATTTAAAAACTTTAAAAGTGTCATTATTATTATTGTTTTTTTTTTTTCAAATCCTATCAATTTGCTAACTAATGCTAGAAACCCACGAGAAGCAAGACAAAACATGTTAGCCATGTGTACAAGCAAGCAATAAAAATGTTATTAATGATGCTAAATCATATGCCTTAACTCTTGTGTACTGTTCAAAATTACCACTCTTTGTTATGTTCGGGGTGAAAACATCCACTGAGTTAAACTGCTATAAAAATGCATCAGATTATTATTTTGTCAATTATTTTTGCATGAATCTGTTAAACAACATCAGTCAACTACTAAATTGTTTAGAGATTTCTAGGATTTTAACTCCTTAATTACCAAGTTCACAAATAATGTCACTGATTTGGGGAAAAAACACACAAAATGACTTATAGAATATATAAAATAAGTGTGAACTGGATTTTTTTTACCTTTATTTATTTATTTTTTTTTTACCTTTACGATTAGTAACAAAATTGGCCCTGATGCATTGCTAGATTCAAAACTTTTCTCTCTAATTTACTGTTGGTGGCTGTTTTTGCCCCATTGACTTCCATTATAACCATATTTTGAGAGTGCATAAATACACAGCCTCTGTTTTTATTTACTCTGTGTAGTTCTGAGAGCTGAGATTCATATTTTGATTTTCTCAGACACACCAAGATATTTGCGTAAAGGTCACTAACAGACACATATACACACACTTTAATTTGCTGTTATACACCATATAAAATCGAGAAACTAAGCTTTTTTTTTTGCACAGGCCTATTTAATTAAGGGTAAATGATGCCAACTGATGATCAACAGTAAATTACAAATTTATCCCAACTGAGGAAAACCACAAACAATCAAAAATGTAGGACTATATAGAGTCATGGCTTTATAATTTAAAAAATGTTGTTATAATGGGGCAAAAACAGCCACCAACAGTAAATTAGGGAGAAATAAATGAAAATTAATTAAAAACAAAGCATCAAATGCAATGTTGCTTCTCATGCCCAAGACTTTGAGAAAAGGTTAAAAAAAAAATCCAGTCAATTACTTTTTATATTGAAAATGTCATTTTGTGGATTTTTTCCCCCCAAATCAGTGACATCATTTATAAATTTGCCAATTAAAGAGTCAAAATCCTGTAATTTTATAAACAATTTAGTAGCTTTGATCAGAATTAATGTTGATTAACAGATTTATTCAAAAAAATAAAATAAAATTCCTGGTGCGTTTTTACAGCAGTTAAATTCAGTGGATGTTTTAATCATGAACTTAACAAAAGTATAGTAAATTTGCCCAGAGTGTATCATTGAGGAGAAAAGTCATGGCCGAATTGAGACACAAAATCACTCCAGAGTGGATGAAAACATCCCCAACAGCTTATAAGGGTTAACATGGGTTTAATGGTTCTACTGTAAATTGTATTGGTTTTAATTGGTTCCTGTTGTGGCTGTTTGCTATTAATTTGTGGGATTTAAAAGCTACTGTTCTAATTTGTAATGGAATATCTACCAAAATACACTCGAAAACTTAACATACTGGTTTTAAAGGCTAAAATATAACAAAAGCTTTAACATTACTTCAACCCATATTAATAAGTTAATCAGGTTTCAAATACATTTTTATAAGTTATACAAGGTTAACTTAATATTTTAAGTCACTCTGACTGATGTAAGTTAAGATATGTAGAAAATATTAATTGATTGTACTAAAATATTCAAGGCAGTAAGATTTTTTTTACAGTGTGGTTTTTCTTTTTTTTTTTCATTTATTTATTTTGATAGTAAGCCCACACTGTAAAACCCAACAGTCAACTTTATTAAATGAAATGAATGTAGTTAACTCAAAATTTGCTGAAAGTTAATATTACTCATTTACAGTAAGTTCACAGTACTCATACAGACTCAAATGGAACTCAAATGGAACTCAAATGGTTTGTAGCAATCAGATTCTTCACATGGTTTGAGCTGCCTTAACTTATTGGGTTTTACAGTACTCAGTTAGTTTGAGTTATCCTCATTTATTGGCTTTTAAATTGCTTCGTTTACTCAAACGGATTAAGTTCACAGCACTCATTAGGATTAGTTTGTGAACTTAAATGGATTGTTGCAAACGGTTTCCTTAAATGGTTTGAGTTACGTTAAGTCAGGGTTGTCCAAACTCGGTCCTGGAGGGCCAGTGTCCTGCATAGTTTAGTTCCAACCCCAATTAAACACACCTAAACCAGCTAATCAAGCTCTTTCTAGTTAACTCTAGGAAACTTCCAGGCAGGTGTGTTGGAGGAAGTTGAAGCTCGGCCCTCCAGGAGTTTGGACACCCCTGCCTTAAGTTATTGGGTTTTACAGTGCATGCATTCTACTGTATTTCCAACATGATCTCACAGCAATTCGTAGCTTTTTTTTTTATTTAGTGGCTAATTTTTACAATGTTATTCGTACGATTTAGTTGCTCATGCCTCAATGACGGTTCGAGTTAGGGGTGCTGTTGGGTGCCAATCCGCCTTTTTAAAATAGTAAAAATTTTCCATACGAATGAACTAGTACAAATTTGTACAATTTAGCCACTAAACTGACAAAGCGTAAAATAGTTACGTTTCCTTATAAGATCAAGCTGGTTTACTAATAAACAAAAATGCAGTATCACACATTTAAGAATTATCCTCTAAATTTAAATACAGTTTTTCCAGTGCAAGAAAAAAACAAACTTATATTAAGATAAAAAGTTCTCACACTTTATTTTCTGTCACTTTTGTAGAAAAAGAAACAAGAAAACAAAGAGTCTGAACTTGTGACGGAGACTCACATGGGCACAGAGAGAGAGGACGAAGGCTATCTTGACAACAAGGAGATGGTGACTGAAGAGGAAAGAGAAACGGAGGCACAGTGGGATGTGGAGGAAGAGGATGGTGCAACGGAGAGCAAAGAATACAGCTCAGGCGATGGCGATGAGGAGGAAGAGTTTGAGCTGGAGAGGGAGAGAGAGAGACAGGAGATGGAGAGAGAACGGATGGAGCTGGAGACGGAACGAGAGGAAGAACTGAAAAGCGAGAGAGAGCGGGAGAGGGAGGTCGAGATGGAGCAAGAGGAGAGAGAGAGACAGTTGCAGAGACAGAGACTGGAGTGGGAGAGACAAAGAGAACAGATGGAGAGGGAGAGGATGGGAGAGACGAGCAGAGAAGAGGACATGGGGCCACATATTTCCCACTGTGATTATCTGAAGGTAAGAGAGTGCTTTAAAATGTAAGTGTGCTTTATGCATGTAAAAATTATGTACACAAATACTCTACACATCTGATTTACATACACTCACCGGCCACTTTATTAGGTACACCTTACTAGTACCGGGTGAGACCCCATTTGCCTTCAGAAGCACCTTAATCCTTCATGGCAGAGATTCAACAAGGTACTGGAAATATTCCTCAGAGATTTTGGTCTATGTTGACATGCTAGCATCACACAGTGGCTGCAGATTTGTCAGCTGCACATCCATGATGCGAATCTCCCGTTCCACTACATCACAAAGGTGCACTGTTGGATTGAGTTCTGGTGACTGTGGAGGTCGTTTGAGTACACTGAACTCATTGTCTTGTTCAAGAATCCAGTCTGAGATGATTCACGTGTGTTATCCTGCTGGAAGTAGCCATCAGAAAATGGGTACGCTGTGGTCATAAAGGGATGAACATGGTCAGCAACGATACTCAGGAAGGCTGTGGTGTTGATACAATGCTCAATTGGTACTAAGGGGCCCAAAATGTGCCAAGAAAATATCCCCACATCATTACACCACCACCACCAGCTTGAACCATTGATACAAGGCAGGAAGGACCCATGCTTTCATATTGTTGATGTTAAATTCTGACCCTACCATTCAAATGTTGCAGCAGAAATCGGGACGTCAATGTTTTTCCAATCTAGTATTGTCCAAATTTGGTGTGCCTGTGCAAATAGTAGCCTCAGTGGTGTAGAGATGCTCTTCTGCAAATCTCGATTGTAACGAGTGGTTATTTTTTTGTTGTCTTTCTAACCAGTCTGGCCATTCTCCGCTGACCTTTGGCATCGACAAGTCATTTGAGCACACAGAACTGCCACTCACTGGATATTTTTTTCTTTTTTGGACCATTATCTGTAAACTCTAGAGATGGTTGTGCATGAAAATCCCAATAGATCAGCAGTTTCTGAAACACTCATCTGACTGATCAACTCGTCTGGCACCAACAAGCATGCCACATTCAAATTCACTTAAATCACTTTTGTTCCCCATTTTGATGCTTGGTTTGAAATACAGCAGATCGTCTTGAACATGTCTACATGCCTAAATGCATTGAGTTGTTGCCATGTGATTGGATGAAATTTGCATTAACGAGCAGTTGGACAGGTGTACCTAATAAAGTGGCCGGTTAGTGTATGTAAAATCTTTGAGTCACACTAAATTATATTATATTATATTATATTATATTATATTATATTATATTATATTATATTATATTATATTATATTATATTATATTATATTATATTCCATAATTATAAAACATCTATCTACAGTATCTATCTTTACATAAACATTCAATTCAATTTACGTATATTTCTATGCTCTTTTGTACCCCACTGTAATTATGCACATCCAAAAAAAAAAAAATCGATAATAATAAACAAATTTTGTATATCTGTAACTATTTTCTTGTACAGGGACCTCCTGGTGAAAATGGAAAACCGGGCCCTAAGGTCAGACAAACCTTTTCATTATACTGTAGGTCAGAGCAGTCTGTCCTTTCTAATAAGAATGATAGTCTTATCATGAAAATATATTTTTCAAGCAGTGTTCTCATCAGGTCTTGTTAGTGAATAAGCTCTGTGTGTTCCCAAACCAAAGTCTGTTAGATAATCGTTTCCGCTTCCTGATTGGCCCTCGCCCCTGCCTACGCATATGACATCCCGCCTCCTCATTCTCAATGCTAGGAGATTATTACTGTCAATCAAAGTGGGTGGGCGGAATTTCAGGAGCCCACTTCTACTTGCTTTGATGCCCCCAGAGCTTTACTTGTACTCCTATATGCATGAAATGAGTTTTGATCTGTTTAATAATAATGTACTGTTGAACTTTTTGAGCTGTTTTTGTTTATTTGTCATGTAAAAAAATGGAGTGGTTGTTCTGTTGTGAATTTGTACAGGGGGAGATTGGAGAAAAAGGCCAAAAGGTACACTGGATTTAATCTTTGGTGTCAGTAACTCTGTTATTCTATAATGCTTTAGCCTCCTTTGAGCTGTATATGTTCTGTGCTAGGGAGAGCCTGGAACTGGTCACCGTGGGCCAATTGGACAAGCTGGTCAAGCAGGACAAAAGGTGGTTAGTTCATTAATTAATGCTGTGTAACTTTCAATTTATTCTATTAGTTTAATAATTTAAATATTACATTCCAAAAAGGTTTAGACATGCAACTAGGGCTGCATGATATTGAAAGAAATCTAACATTGCATTATTTTATATGGTAACACTTTATTTTGATGGTCCATTTGAGTATTAGTAGACTGTCTGCTTAATATCTGTTGATACTGCTCCTTCAACAGACATTTACTGACTAAAAGAAACAGCAAGCAAGTGCATGTCAACTTACACTAACCCTATCCTCAACCTAACAGTCTACTTATAATCTACTGAGAATTAGTTGCAGTGTACATTTACATTTAGTCATTTAGCAGACGCTTTTATCCAAAGTGTAACTTAAAATAAAACAAACGGACCATCAAAATTCAGTGTGACCTTTTATATTTCTGCAATATATATTGAGATATGAATATAATTTCAGCAGCTAACTTGAATAGCTCTGTTTGAAATGAGATCATTCATTTTTATGGATTGAGATTATTTTGTAGCGGAGTGAATCAAACAAATTGCAAGCATAAATAAATAAGATGGAGCTAAGGTGAAAGTGAAACAAGCAGTGCTCTGTGGTTTTCCAGAGAGTCAAACAGTAGTCGGATATTCAGGTAGAGTAACTGAATAATCAAATGTAATGTTAAATAACACTGTGCAGACTTCATTGCTGATCAACTATAATCCAACATTGGAGCTCAACATAAACTCAGCATTGCAGATCCTGCGACTATTGCGAATGCACACGTTGCGATATAGATGCTGAAACGATATATTGTGCCATCCCTATGTAGCACAGATGTTAAACTCAGTTCCAAAAGGGCCGCAGCTCTGCACAGTTTAGTTCCAACCCTAATTAAACACACCTGATCAAACTAATTGAGTCCTTCAGGCTTGTTTGAAACCTACAGTTAAGTGTGTTGGAGCAGGGTTGGAACTAAACTGTGCAGGGCTGCGGCCCTCCAGGAATTGAGTTTGACACCCCTGCTATATAGTATAAAACTAACTTTTTCATGACTTTTGCCTTTTGAATGTAATGTGCATAGGGTGAGCCTGGAGAACCAGGACCAACTGGAGCACAGGGCATTCAGGGTATTCGTGGCAACCCTGGCATCCCTGGATCAGTGGGTCAAAGAGGTCAGCCAGGTGATCCCGGAGAGCCAGGCAGACAGGTCAACATGCTGTCAGTTCAGTCATTCATTTTCTTTTCGGCTTAGTCCCTTCATTAATCTGGGGTCGCCACAGCGGAATGAACCGCCAACTAATCCAGCATATGTTTTTGCGCAGCGGATGCCCTTCCATCTCTGGGAAACATCCATACACACTCATTCACACACATACACCACGGACAATTTATCCTACCCGATTCACCTATAGTGCGTGTCTTTGGACTGTGGGGGAAACCGCAGCACCCGGAGGAAACCCACGCAAACACAGGGAGAACATGCAAACTTCACACAGAAACGCCAACTGACCCAGCCGGAGCTTGAATCAGAGACTTTTTTGCTGTGAGGCGAATGTGTTACCCACTGTGCAGCCCCCATGCTGTTAATAGTTTTCTTTATTGTAATAATTGTGTTTATTTATTCATACTTTGCTAGGAAATTAACATTAATGAAATAATTGTTTGTTTGTTTGCTTGTTTTAAAGGGTGATAGAGGGAAACGAGGGAAGAACGGCTCAGCTGGTGCTCAAGGTGCAATTGGTCCTCCTGGACAGCCGGTTTGTCTACTTTAAAGTTTATTGCACAAGTTCAGAAGTTGGTATAGTAAATTTAAGCAGCATTTGCAAAGAAATGTCAAGGTAATGTGTTTAATTAGGCCCAAAGTGCATCGATAAGTGCATAAAACATTTACTACTCTAAAATGCTTTAAATGAATACAAAGATGTTATTTTTGCTCATAACTTCTCAAGACAAAATGAAAGTTTTTTAACACCTGTGTTCACATATGCTATTTAATAGAGCATGCACTAAATGGCTGTGTTTGCATATAGTGTTGCAAATTATGTTGTTTTTTTTAGGTCGTTTTTTTTTAACACAAGGGTCAATGTATAGTGTGAATGATGTTTGTATTTATTTATTTTTATTTCTTTACCAAAACTGCATATTTAAAGTGGCTGTGCAGTCGAATGTGTGCATATGCTAACATACAAGTACAGAGCTTAATGCAATTTTCAAGTAGAAATGATTTTTTATTAACTGCAATTAATTAATTATTATTATTATTATTATTATTATTATTATTATTATTATTATTATTATTATTATTATTATTTTGTAGAGTATACTTCTACCTTGGATTTTGAAAGTTGTGGTTCATTTTACAGGGGCCTCCTGGTCTTGCTGGAGTTAAAGGTGAAAAGGTGAATTATGTTATGCAATGTTAAACCTCAACATCAATATATTAGTTCAAAATGAAGCACAACCAGGAATAAATGCACACTCCTTTGAAGGATTTATGTGTTATCTCCAGGGAGACAGTATCCCAGGGGAACCAGGAGACAGAGGAAATTCTGGACTCCCGGGTCGCCGGGTAATAATATGATAAATGTTATTTTTAAATTGATTTTAGTACAGTTTTTTTCTGTAATAGCATGTTTATTGTGATTACTAACTGCATATGGTGCTATTAAATTGTATTGAAACAACATTTTTTTGCTTTACAAGGGAGCCAAAGGCACTGATGGCAATAAAGGACCACCAGGTCACATGGTACGTCACTATCAATTTAGAAGACACTATATCATAATCAGATTAAATGTTATATATATATATATATATATATATATATATATATATATATATATATATATATATATATATATTCCATTTATTTAATATATATATGTTTTAAATTGTTTATAGCTTTTGTTTCAATTATTTGCCCTAATTATTCTCTTTCTATAAATTGATTAGTTAACTTATTCAGTCTAAGTACACAATTTAAAAAGAAAATGACCAAATTGGTGACAAGAAAATATCTAATATGATTTTTCTAAACAGAAAAGCATAAAACATGTGATTGATAAACAAAAGATTGATAATACAACAGTTAATAAACAACTTCTGTGAAGCTGCAAATGATCTTGTTTTTTATTTCGCATATTTTTGTAGTCAAATATATCAGTCAGTGTTGTTTTCTTATATTAGCTCAATGTATTTTCTCATTTAACATACTTTGAATTAAAGCACTGAAAATCAATAAATCAATGCAACAATGTTTTGTGCGTCCATGCAATAAACAGTACTGAACAACCAGCCAAATATGTGGTTTAATAAAGATGTTATGATTCTATATAATGCCCTGTGTTCTTATGACCTTTATCTTTAATTAAGGGTCCCAAAGGCCTGACTGGTGCGAAAGGAGAAAAGGTGAGTATCTATTTTTAACCCACCCTGGTTTAAATTCCAAACAAGTTCACAACATGGAAGGGCTTTAAATATTAATAGCCGAGCAACCTGTCATGGCCATTTTCTGGCTTGCAGACAGCTTTGACAGAGCTTCACTTCTCTGTACTGACTGGCCAGTATCTATTCTTCGACCTTTAGTGTCTATATTCAAAAAAAATATTTATATGGTGACAGTACAGTCTACTGCAGTCGTGAATTTTCCTCAGCATAACTGTATGACAGGTTCAAATGTACAGTAATCCTTTTCAATTGTTTAATGGTCCATCTCACCTATTGTTTTAGATTCGTTTGTTTAGAATTATCCCACCATAAAATGAATAAAGACAAAACTTTTTGGATTGACAGGGTGACAAAGGTATGTCCGGTCACCGAGGAGAGAAAGTAAGGATTGCGTACACTTATATTAAATACCTAAATGGTGTTTATATAGATTGTTTTACCAGTTGGTTTCGTGTTTGTGTAGGGCAGCCCTCTCTCCATGCCAGGTCCCAGAGGATATAAGGGTCTAAAAGGAGATACAGTAAGATATTTCTGCGCTTTATTTTTCTGTTTCCTCTAAAGGTTGTACCTTATTGTACAATTTTCATAACATTTCTTAGTTAACAGTTCATATCAGGTTTTAGTTAAGAAATGACCAATTTAAGTCAGTGTTGTTGATGTGTAGTCTATATCTTGTATGGCAGGGTGAACGCGGACTTCCTGGATTTGATGGAGATAAAGGAGAGAAGGGTGAAGATGGTCCACCTGGTGCAAAAGTATTTTACACATCATTCTAAGTGAATGTATTTTTTTTTTTAATTAGGGAGTCAGTTTTGTTTTTCAATATATGTTTTTATTATTTTTAGTAGGAATGCAGTAAATTAACCCCATTAAATTGCTTCCTTTTATTTTGTTTGTATAATAAAATGCTACTGGACTCAATTTTTCTTCTTTTTTTCCAAACACATTAAGAGATTTGCATATGTTGACAATGTAAAGTGAATTTTTATCATTTATTTTTATGCATTTTCAGGGGCTCAAGGGTGAAGCTGGTACCAAAGGAGGCATGGGACCTTTTGGTGCACGTGGTCCAGTAGGACAAAAGGTCAAGGATAACACTAATGACATTTATTTACACCACTTTGCTGATAAAAGTACATTTTTAGAACACTGTAGATTATATTGGCCAACCCATTAGCATCAGGAATGTTGCTTCTCTGGACGGTTTTAAGAAACTTCTTCTTTTTATTTACTATTTTTGTTAATTTAATCATCCAATTATACTGAGTCGTTCATATTTTATTGTTTTATTGTGGTCTTTTTTACTTTTTTTTATTGTTCTGCTTCGTTACTGTTTGTCTTGTATGCCTTGTAGCACTTTAGGTCTGAGACAAGCACACTATAAATAAAATGTATTATTATTATTATTATATTATTATTTTGTGTGACATGTTACAGTGCTCAGCATATATGAGTACACCCCCCGCAACTCTCTCATTTAAATTAATGTTTTCAATAAAATGCTTTACAATATTATATTTGTGTATATACTGTACATTAGAATTGTTAGTACTGAAGCCAATACTGGGGCTAATCTATCAAAATAACTTACAATAATGGTTCAAAGATTAGTAGCCCTAATTTGTATGTTAGGGAAAAATATAAAAAAAAACATTTTCAAAAATAGCAAAAATTAAGAGAAACAAAAAATATATTTACAATTTTGTTGAAATGTTGTGGTTTGTATTATTTTTTTTGCATGAATTTAAATGTATTTTCTTTTCATTTCTAAAGATGTTCTGTGACTAAAATATTATTTTAATAAATATATCTGTTTTATAAATGTTTTGTTTAAAGGCACCAATATATTACCCATATTCACAGAGAAATGGATAAAAAAAATTCATTTTCAAAATGGGGTGTACTCAATTATGCTGAGCACGGTATATTGGGGTAAATTCTGAAAGATATTTGATAAACAAAAACCAATATCAAACCAATATCTAGAAAGACATGCTGAAAATACTGAAGATACTACTCTTTGCTTAGGGAGATCCAGGGGAACCAGGTGCCAATGGGGAAAAGGTAACCTTTAGCATAACACTCGTGACTCTTATATATGCTTTTCATGAACTATTTTAAATCTTCCTGATTTTTTTGACAGGGTCGGAATGGAGAACATGGACTGGATGGTGAGAAAGGTGATAAGGGAGACACGGGTGTGCAGGGCCGTAAGGGAGATCAGGTGAGGATATGAATCATCTGCATTAAATATTAAGAAAAAAATCCTGTGAGCAACATTGGTACCTGAGAGGGGGAACACTGTTCCTTAACCTTTCTAACTAACTCCATTATTTAGATGAATGATTCAATAATTAAGTAGGTTTTCCTGTCAGTTTTAAGTTATTTAAGATTGCACACTTTATTCAGAGTCTTGACGCCCATTGGTTTCTGCTTTTAGGGTGAGACAGGTGAACCTGGTTTACCTGGAGATACAGGTATTAAAGGAGAAAAGGTAGGAAAATTCAATCTGATGTTATTGATTTTACTTTTTTATATTCTCAATGACCTTCAAGTATTGCATTGCATGTCTTATTCTTCTGCAGGGCTTCAGAGGTTTCCCTGGTCGAATAGGGAGCCCGGGATTGGATGGAGAACAGGTATTTTTGTCTAAATTACATCTTAAGCAAGAAATTGTTTTAAAAAAGCCTCTAAGAACCGCTCTTTTGAATGTAAAACACAGGGTGATCATGGAGACCCCGGAAGGCCTGGCCTTCCAGGACTAAACGGCCTCCCAGGACGAAAGGCGAGTCTCTACACAGCGAGATATAGATTTTTTTTATTTTAAAGGTGAGTTAATTGTCATTTCTTTTTTCATTGCTATTTGTTAATGTCCAGGGAGAAAAAGGTGATAGTGGGCTGAATGGTCTTGATGGAGCTCCCGGACAAAAAGGAGAGAAGGTAAACTGACAATGTAAACTTATGGAGAATGCAAGAAAAGCTCATTCAGAATATGAATAAAAACCATAAAGGACTCTCCTAACCAAAAACCATAACTACGACAATTAAGATGTAGTTTTAAAGATTGCTGGAAATGTTAAAGAACTGCATAGTCCACACTACATTACCAAAGATGGTGGTAAAAATGAATTATATTGTTGGAATGAGGTGATAGAAGGTAAACACATTGACAACCAATCAAAATCCATCCTGCTTTAACAAATTCAGAACATTTCAAACAGCAGACATCAACACTGAGGTGAACACAAATGTATAATGATAGTTTTAATTCATTCATTCATTTTCTTTTCGGCTTAATGCATTTATTAATCAGGAGTCGCCACAGTGGGATGAATTTATCCAGCATGTGTTTTATGCAGCAGATGCCCTTCCAGCCGCAACCCATCACTGTGGATATAGTTATTATTATGTTTATTGTTGCTGGAATTAATAGATCTAAAATAATACTATTATCAGTGCAAATTCAATTATAAGACACAGGAAAACAATTATTGACACCATATTTGTTGCGTGATGTATCATGATTCATTACCATGTATGTCTTAAGTATGTGTATGTGAGGAAATGATCACCGAATAAGTTTGAGCTTATTCCCATATTCATCGCGTCCTTCCTCAGGGTGTGACTGGATTTGCAGGTTTCTCAGGATTTAAGGGATCTCCAGGCACACCTGGTACTAACGGTCCTTCGGGTCGACCTGGACCAGTTGGACCCAAAGGTGAAATGGGACCGAAGGTATGACCCACATCACATTCAATATATAAAACAATAATAGATGTGCATTCCTATATGTGCGTGTGATTCATCAAACCTCACAAATAGATGGATAAATAGTCAAGCCGGTGTAATTACGGCCAACTTCATACCTCACTCAATCTCATGTGGAGGAGGACAAGACCTAATTAACCCACGAAACGGAGAGGATGAGAGACAGATACAGGGAGGTTGGGGGGTTGGAGCTATTTCTGCTGGGATGAAGATTTGAGCTATCAAACCAAACTCTGCACTGAGGCCGCCTTTAGCCACAATTAGGCAGCTCTTGATGTTGATGGGAAAGGAGAGGTTCAGAAAGCTCCACTCGTGGACTGTTCATCTTAAAACATGGCCCAGGTTTTGTGAAATGGATTAAGGTTGTTGAAATTGAAAGATATGGTCACTTTGTGTACTGTATTTACTCACCCGTATTGGTGAACTTCTTGCCTCTGCCACAAAATGTACATATTTAGACATAAACCCCAATTAATAATATTAATTATGAAGTGCTATTAATGGTGATTGTGATTATTTGTAGTTGTTGTTGATTAATTACAAAAAGGTTATTGTTCATTGCTAGTTCATGCTCGTTTAAATAAGCCAAAAATTATTAGCATAGTGTTAAATTTATATTAATGGTATGTAATTTCTATAACTTTGTATAATAATAATTTTATATAACTTTTTTGGTATTATTGTTGATTTTAATTCTAAACATACAATTGTTCATTGTTAGCGTTCGATTTGAAGTAGTATTAATGTAAACCATTTATAATAGTATTCATAGTAGTAATAATAATAAAAACACACAACATTGCAAAATTATACATGCAGAAATAATAATTGTATATTAAATCATAAATATTGGATATTGTATATATAATACATGTTAATTCATGATATCTACTGCCATGCTTTTCAGTCATCATTTAGTCACCCTTAACTCATTAAAAACCAGTTTGAGTTTCTTCCTTCTGAAAGAGGGTATTTTGGAAAATGCTGGTTGCTTATGGAGCTAATAATATGCCAAAATTATCAGAATTTGAATTGTTTTAAATTGAATTATTGACAATTGTAATTTTAATAAATCAGAATTTTTATGTGCTGTTAAAAATTGTTTTTTATTTCTTATTTGAATTTGAATTTCATAACTTGAATATTGAACATCTGAAATTTAAGACAGCTGAATTTTTTTATAGATGTATTTTCAAACGTCAAATCGTCTACTTGTTTCGGTTGATGACCCCTGAACTGCTTTCTGCAGAATCTGAATTTCAAAATTTTAATTTCTGGTTTTGAATTTTAGAACATACAATTTGATGTTCTGAATTTCCTCACCTTGAATATTTGAAGCTGTATTTTTACAAACTGGACATCTGCAATCTTGGAATTCAGAACACAAAAAAAAATCTCAAGTTTGAAAATACGCCTATAAAAATTCAGCCTTGAAAAATTCAGTTGTTCTAAATTTCAAATATTCAATATTCAAGTTATGAAATTTAAATTTAAAACAACTTTTAACAGCATATAAAAATTTGAATTAAAATTGTTAATAATTAAAATTAACACAATTAAAATCAAATTGTTTTTGGCATATTATTAGCTCCATAGTTGCTAGGACGCACTGACCCCCATATATTATTTTCCCTACTATGGAAGTCAAAGAGTGCCAGCAAAAACAGAAAAAAAGAAAAACTCATGAAGGTTTAAAACAGCATGAAGGAGGTCATTTTCATGTTTTGGATGAACTATAGCTTAAATGACTATAAACTACACATTCGCATTATTGCAAAGTCTTAACTTTCTGCTGTTTTCTTTTCTAAAATTGTCTGTACAGTATTTTATATGAATATATTTCAAGTAAGTAATGATGTAAGAAATCCATTGGTTTAGTTGTACAGTATGTAGCCTCAGGCTGGCCCAGGGTCAGTGATTGTTTAGTGCTGACATGCAGCTTTGATGTTTTCAGGGAGAGAAGGGCAGGAGAGGCAGAGGAAAGGCCTGTCAGCGGGGACCGCCTGGAATACCTGGACTCCGAGGCCTAGATGTAATAAAGCATATACACACAAATAACTGCATCCTCCACCATAACAGGAGTTTATCTGTTCACAAACATTTACATTTCCAAGTTATTCACGCAGCATTCTTTATGCAGGGGGAAGAGGGATCCTCAGGCACAAAAGGAGAAAAAGGAGATCCAGGACTCAGTGTATGTGAACAGCAATACCTTCTATCTAATATATATACATATACATACATATAAGTTATTATGGATTACAGTGTGTTGGAATACTTGTTTCTTTTGTTCAGGTGGAGGAAGTGAAAGATCTTGTGACAAAAGAGGTGGTTGACAAGTGTGGTGAGTATGTGTGTATGACATATGTAGTTTGGCAAATACTAAACACATAATGGACCTTCGTATCTTAAAAATAAAGTTTCCAAAGCGTGTTTTTTTTTCTGGCATCCCATAGAAGAGTTTGATACTTTTGCCTTAAACAGCTATTTTTGTAAATAGTTATTTAATAGTTTGTGTGTGTAAAATAGTTTAACATTTTTGTTTTATTTTGTATTTAATTGTGAGGTTCTGTGAATATTAAAGGGTCTGTAGAACCATTCATGTTAAAATAAAACCCTTATTTTTCCTACGAGTAAGAGTGCATTGAGCACCTCATTATGAATTAACAAAACAAAAAAAACAAAAAAACAGGGATTATCTTTCTTAGTATGCAGCTCTTATAATACTAACTGGTTCCAGTAATACTAACTTAAACAATTAACAGCAAGATGCATTTACATAAAACGTACATGGCTCAAGATATGTCTTATTTCCAGAAAATTGGTTCAAATCAAACTTAAAAAGCATTAAGTTGAAGGTTAATGCTTGAAGCAAGAAATAATATATACAGTTGAAGTCAGAATTATTAGCCTCCCTGAATTATTAGCCTCCCTGTTTGTTTGTTTTCCCAATTTCTGTTTAACAGAGAGAAGATTTTTTCAGCACATTTCTAAATATAATAGTTTTAATAACTCATCTCTAATAACTGATTTATTTTATCTTTGCCATGATGACAATAAATTATATTTGACTAGATATTTTTCAAGACACTTCTATTCAGCTTAAAGTGACATTTAAAGAATTAACTAGGTTAATTAGGTTAACTAGGCCAGTTAGGGTAATTAGGCAAGTTATTGTATAGCGATGGTTTGATCTGTAGACTATGGGAAAAAATATAGCTTAAAGGGGCTAATAATATTGACCTTTAAAATGGTGTTTAAAAAAATGTAAAACTGCTTTTATTCTAGACAAAATAAAACAAATAAAGCTTTCTCCAGAAGAAAAAGTATTATCACACATACTTTAAAAATTTCCTTGCCCTGTTAAACATCATCTGGGAAATATTTTGGGTAACATCTTATTTTTTCTTAGAATTATGTTTACTTTTCTTGCTTTCAGAAAAAAACTTCCTTAATTTTTTATTTTTTTACCACTATTTCAGAAAACAAGGCTTAAGCATTATGTAATGTGTGTGTGTGTGTGTGTGTGTGTGTGGGGGGGGGGGGGGGGTATTATAGTATTATTATAGTACAATTATTATTATAGTATTATTATTATTATCATTTATATTAGTGGACCAGAGGAAATAATAAATATTTTTTTTCTTGAAAACTTCATGCACAAAATAAATTCAAGCCCTTTCAAGGACCTGTATTATTTATATATTTATTATTAAATTTATTTTCACAAACTTTCAAGGAGGTTAAATTAATTAATTTATTATTATTGCTATTATTATTATTATTATTATTTATTTATTTATTTATTTATTTATTATTTTCATTTTACAAACTTTCAAGGGTTTCAAGAACCTGTAGTAACCCTGCATTTAGGAAATTTTAGGTAACTGTACTGAAATCAAAACTAAATAAGAAAATCTATTTTAAAGAGAAAACCGCAAATAATGTTAAATATGCCACCAATCCCCATTAACATCCATTCTTGGTCACATTTTAGTTTTGCTGCTTATTAATAGTCATTAAGTTGTTCATAAATGCAATGTGTCATTGGATTAAGGAATCTGAAATACGCCACCCATAATAAGGCATCAATCAATACTAGTACACTAAATAGCCAATATTAATATTCTTCTGGTCCCCAAACTAAAACGTCACCCAATTCATTTGCATGTTTTACTGCCATTCATTGAACTGAAATGATGACTGAAAAACAGAGCTTCATTAACATGTGTTTGTAGGTGGATAAAGTGTGTGGTTTTGTGTGTACGTGCAAGTTTGTTTCTCTCAGTTTATGCTCCCGTCGTGGAGGCCTGAAGACCTCATGGGTTCCACCATCTGTTGTGTTCTTGTAGATTCTCTTACTGAAGAAAAATGGCAAAGGACTCCATGTTCTAACTCATTCATTAATACCAACACCACACTACTCTCTATAGCACTCTCAGTAATACTCTAATGTAACACTCTTATGACTTCTCTCAATTTAAATGATTGTTTTTCCTTTTTATTTGAATGCATTTGAATTTAATTTGGCAAATAAAGTTGCTCATGTTTTCAACTAAAGGAAAAGAAATCCTCCTGATGGTGAACACCAATGATCCAGATGATGGGAGCATCCTGAGGGAAGAGAAAAGAGTGGATTCTGCCTCTCGCTTTTTGCTCACCCGTCCCAAAGTGTGGGACGAAGAGGTGGAGGATGAAACAACTACAGTTCATCCTGCTGTTTCCGAGCCAACAACAGCATATGGCAACGTTACAAGTAGGTATATTCCCGCTTTGAACCAATATGTTATAGCACGCTCTCTCTGTTATGATATCATCCTTTTGGTTTGTGTTTGGAAGGGTGTGCATGAGGGAAACTCTCGTTTTATTTAACAGTTTCATATTCAGATGAGAATTGATTAAATGTAAATAATAGACATCAGTCCTATTATATTGATATCTGGCATCTTTAGAAGAGCTCATTCATCCATAAACGCTACTTGTTTTTCTTTGCTTGATGGAAAACAGGAAATGGTGACAGGAAATAGATACCGAGGCATACGCAAAGGTTCTGCATGGTCTACTCTGTGTTATTTTTAAGCAAATGAGTCACACACTGTGAATATCACTTGAAATGTTTGTTTTTTTTATAGTTCCAACCATCTAGTAGTTACTTTTTGTAGCCTGATGTGACAGTCAGCAAAGGCTACACATTATTATATGACGTATGCAATCAAAGACAAAGATTTCAGGCAATCAGACATAGCCGAACTGTTCTTTGTCATCAATTAAGTACATCATAGAATAAATTGAGAGAAAAGATTATAGGATCTTCAAAACCAGTGCTTGCTTTAATGTTCTTGTTAGTTTCAGACTTTTGTCTGTATTTGAGTTACAGAGAGAGTCAGACTGTAAACTAGTCAGTGGCTCTTTTTGAAAAAGGGACAATCTTTATTAATCATTTGATGTACAATAATAAAATAGCTTTTTTTCTTTTGTTTAAAGTGGGTATATCTAAAAACTGTCAATAATGAAATGCTGTTTTAAGCTTTGAAAAGCTGAGAACTTCCTAGCCTATTTATAAATTCGTGTAGAGTCAGTTTTTATTTCAAGAAGTCTGGACAATTTTGCCAAAATCAAAACCAAAAGGATGTGCTGTTTGTGCATGATTCCAAGAGTCTCAGTTTCATCCCTGAGACATGAAACGAAAGCTAATGCAACGTTCAGAATAAATACAGAAAGAGCTATTTTCTAGCATAATATCAAAGAAATTGCAGAATCCATAATACACCTGACAAAAGTCTTGTCGTCAATCCCAGTTGTAAGAGCAACAAATAATAACTTGACTTCTAGTTAATCCTTTGAAAAAGTGGCAGAAGGCTGATTTTTCAGATAAATTCCAATCATCAATCAATACTGCAGAAGACCTATTGCAACCCGCATGGAAATGAGTCAAATTTGGTGAAGGAAAAAGTATGGTTTGGGGACACATTCAGTATGGGTGCATACGAGACATCTGCAGAGTGGATGGCAACATCAACAGCCACAATATTAATTCCACTGCACCATGACTTTGTTCTATACTGTATTTCTGTTAAGTAACAAGACTTTTGTCTAAGCTAAGTCAGACCTTACTGTCCTAATTAAATAATTAAAAATCAAGCCATGATCATATTTTATTTAGGTAAAATAAGCGTAATCTAGAGGCCTTTGCTTTTCATATGACACTTCTGATACCAAATGATCAACTAAAAGTCAAGTTATTATTTGTTGTTCCTAAAACTTTTGTCAGGTAGTGTTTATACTACCTGGCAATAAGTATATTTGAGTAAGTATATTTTGAGACCATAGACTATATAAATATAATTTTAATATTAATATTAAGAATATTTATATTGTCTATAATCTCAAATATACTTTTAGCATCCAACCAATAATGAAATGTATTTGTTGCATCTCTCAAAATAATGCTGATAGACTGTAGAGCTTGTGCAAACACCCAGATCAATATGCTTTTATTATTAATTATTTAAAAAAATTGTGGGTTTATTTTGCTCTTGAGAGAAAAACATACAGAACATTTTTACGTTTCATCAAAACGCCACTCTTGTGGATAGGATCCAGACATTCATTGTCAAAATATTGACCTTATTCTTCACGTACGAGTAGGCACAGCTATTTGAATCTTTTTGGCTAGAGACTTCAGGTCTCCTTCATTTGCAAAAAAAATGTAGATGTTGAAAACAGTTTGTGATGTTGCAAACTGATATTATTTCACTTTATGTATTTGCACAAGAATACAATAATATTTGAATAAAACTGAAAAAATAAGCCATAATGTGCATGAAGAGGCAAAAAGCCCAAAAAGCCTCTTTAGAGCCTAAATAATAATTATAAAAAGACAATGACAAAACAATCGCATTACAAAAAATGCTAAATGACAGTGACTAGTGAATAATAATACACACAAATGAAATTACAAAGTCACATACACACATGAAATAAAATTAAATCATGCATACAATAGAATTCTTATAAAATTACAGGACAAAATGAAAGTGATTTCTTATGCATCGGTAATGTAATGTAATGTGTATTTATATAGCGCATTTATTGTGTATGGCCATACACCCAAAGCGCTTCATAATCATGAGGGAGACTCTCCACACCACCACACTTTACAATAAGGTTCATTAGTTAATGTTAAGTAATGCATTTACTAACATGAACAAACAATGAACAATACATCTACTACTGTATTTATTCATGTTAATAAATGTTAGTTAATGAAAATGCAGTTTTTCATTATTAGTTCATGTTAACTCATGGTGCATTAACTAATGTTAACTAGCATGGACTTAAATGTTAGTAATGCATTGGTAAATGTTCAATTATGATTAATAAATGCTGTGTTGTTCATGATTAGTTCATTTTAGTAAATACATTAACTAATGAACCTTATAGTAAAGTGTTACCTACAGTATGCATCTCTTAAAACTTGTTAAAGAGGAACAATTTTTCATTGTATGGTATAAATCATTCCAAAATGTAATACCCCTAAATCTAAGTATTAACTTGTATGACTACTTGTATGAACTTAAAACTTGAGAACAAATTATTTTCTTGTTATATTATTCTGCTTTTTATGTAAAGTCATGCATGCACTTGTTTGTAGAGCATAGTTTGACCGTTTTCTGCCGTTTATTATTCCTAGTCATTTCTCCCATGGCTGACTGAATCAAAAGTTCTAAAACAATTGCAAAAACGAGCGCACTTCCGCATTGAAGATTAAGGTCAATACTGAAGCAATACCACTCCAGGAGTTTGACAGACAAGTAATCTGACCAATCACAATGCCAATATTATGCATTCCCCTTTTGTCCAACAACCATACTGTAGTGTAAATAGATCAACATTAGTAAATTTGATCTTGAAAATGAGTCTATATACCAAATTCATGTCTACTATGGATTGTGCTTTGACGTACTTGGTGTAAACTAAGTCTGAATCTGGCTCTGATAAAAGCTTTTCTGTTGCACTCAGGTGCCAGTGCTGAGAGAGCTGGAGAGCAGAGAGAAAAGAGACGTGTACTCAAGCTCCACTCAGGTGCGTGTGTGTGTGGAGTAAAAGAGGAGAACATCGTCCTCTGCTGACTGCAGCTCCAAGTGCTTTGAACCAGTTTATACAGCTACAATAACTGCTTGCATAAGTGATATTCACAAATTAAACCTGCATCTTAAATTAAAAGGTTCTGCAGTGAAAAAAATTTGGTTTATATCAGGGAAAGTAGTGAGGCAAGTAGTGAGCACCAAAAGCACATAAGCATGAGCATAAGCTATTTCTGTCATATCCACTGTGTAATATGAGAAACAGGGAACCAAAAGAGACAGATAAGACTAGAATGAGAGCGCTGAATAAATACATTCCGATCATCGCTGTGTTGGGCTTCCATTTATAAAATGCATATGTATGACAGAGACAAGAGATAAGCCGAACATTTGACTGATAGAAAGACATGTGATACATTTGATTAAAAGTAAGAGCTGCTGTTAGACAGGATATATGACATATATATATCTGATCATATATCAAATATGATCTATATGATAGATATATGAAGATACAAGTATTAATTGTAGTGATATATTGATGGTATGATGGTGTTGATATTTTAGTGCATTTAAACAAAACAAATTCATTAAACAGATATATCAATTAAAATTATATTTTAGTCACCAAACATAATAAAAAATTGAAGGATAATACAATCAAATTCAAGCAAAATATTGCAAAAATAAATTACAACCTACAATTTTTCTGCTAAATTTCGCACATTTTTTTGCTTCTCTTTTTAAAATTTGTATTTAATGTTTTTCTGAAACATAAATATTGGTGTACTAGATTTTAGACCGTTATCTTAAGTTATTTTGTAAGATAAGCTCCAGATTTGTCTTCAGTACTGACTAATCTAATGTATATGCATAAAAATATGAAGATTTAAAAGATAGATTTGTGAGGAGTGTACTTGTATATGCTGAGTACTGTATATGATTTCAGTTTTTAAAGTTTAATAATTTAATAGTTGTATGTTTCTATATTGATAGTTTAATAAATTGATATATCATATATCATATATGATCTATATGATAGATATATGAAGATCCAAGTATTACTTGTAGTGATATATTGATGGTATGATGGTGTTGATATTTTAGTGCATTTAAACAAAACAGATTCATTAAACAGATATATTAATTAAAATTATATTTTAGTCACCAAACATATTTAAAAATTGAAGGATAATACAATCAAATTCAAGCAAAATATTGCAAAAATAAATTACAACCTACACATTTTCTGCTAAACTTTGCACATTTTTTGCTTCTCTTTTTTAAATTTGTATTTAATATTTTTCTGAAACATATAAATATTGGTGTACTAGATTTTAGACCGTTATCTTAAGTTATTTTGTAAGATAAGCTCCAGATTTAGCTTCAGTACTGACAAATCTAATGTATATGCATAAAAACATGCAGATTTAAAAGATAGATTTGTGAGGAGTGTACTTATATATGCTGAGTGCTGTATATGATTTCAGTTTTTAAAGTTTAATAATTTAATAATTGTATGTTTCTATATTGATAGTTTAATAAACTGAACATTAAAATCATTTGAAAATTCCATTACATTTTAAAATTAAAATCTTTGCAGTGATATATGGACAGCTTAGCTCCAAGATTTCTTATTTGTCTAGTTATCATTTATAGTTCTTGTATTTATATATAATTTATATATATATATATATATATATATATATATATATATATATATATATATATATATATATATATATATATATATATCCCTGCAGCAATATATTGACAGCTCAGATAAACGACTGAATATTTTTACATTTTAAAAATTGTTATTATTTAATAGGTTTTGACTTCTTTTTTTCAGATTCAATACATTGTTTTCCTTGCAGCGGTGTGAATGCATTTCTACTGCCTTGAAATTGATGTAATGTAATATCTACCTGCAGTGAATGTCGACTCGGCAGCTGAACTCTGTCTTGAACCCATGTCCGAGGGCCACTGCACTGAATACGTCCTGCTCTGGTACTATTATGCCGTGTCAGGAGAATGCCGTCCTTTTGTGTACGGTGGCTGTGGAGGAAATGGGAACCGATTCAGCTCCAAACAGGACTGCCAGAGTACATGCATTCTGGGAAGGAGAGGTAAAGAGCCAATCAGAATTCAGACTTCAGGTTTTAAAATAAATGATCAGAGGTGATATTTAAGAAAAATTACAATCAGAAAGTAAAATAAAATAATAATAATTATTATTATTATTATTATTATTAATAATTTAAGGATATCTAAACTGCAATTTTTGTCTAAAGTAATATAGCAGAATATTAAGTTACATTTTTCTGTCTACTTACAGATTCTGGATCCTGAAGAAGGAAAATACATGCTATTTTAACAGCTAAACTGATGTTAACTTTACTGAAAATGCTATTTTTGTACATTTCCCATATGTATATTAGTCCATTATAGCTGTATGCGACAAAAACAATGTTCATAACTTCCTTATTCATCATGTATTGCACTTTTGTTGTAATACAAGGACATCAACAAATTCATAACACATGATCTTTACTTTAAGCCATACAGTTTTGTTGGTATGATTAAATGTGTAAATGTTGATTTACAGTTTAAAAAATGATTAATTTAGTTGTTAAATGCACTATTATTATAAGTGTCCTGTTTACCATTTTGCACTAATGGTTCGGTTTGTAATATGTTCCTAATCTGACTGTTTTTAATATAATATGTGAGATAATAAAAGAATGAACGGAATACATTTTTTGAATGAGCTATATAGCTTTCCCTGTGAGTGAATGTGTGTGTGCGTGAGAATGTTTGCTCATCGTGACCTCTGATTTTGGACAGTGTTCACCGAGCTTGGCCCTGTGTTGTGTATAAGTGCTGCCATGTTGGCTTTTCTTCAGCAATGTTAGTCGAGTCGTGTCTGGACGGCATCTCCTGTGGGCAGGCAGAAAGGCCCTGTGTGCATCTGAGTGGATGAGCTGTATTTGTGGGTGGCTTACATTTACACATTTGTGTATATGTGAGTTGGACAGGATAAGATTTACTTCACTATTTTTATCTGAGTGTGATCAATATAATTTGCATTTATAGTATTACTATTTTGAGTCATTAATTAAAATATGGCTAATTAAATATGTCTTTATTATTAAATTTAATAATAATTCAACCGCAAAATCTTTTCTCCATTTGGCTATTTTTAAGACTGACCGACCACTGACCGACCAAACAACCGCAAAACTTTGTCTCCATTTGGCTATTTTTAAGACTAACTGGCCGCTGACTGACCGAGCCACTGCAAAACTTTGTTTCCATTTGGCTATTTTTAAGACTGACCGACTGCTGACCGACCGAGCAACTGCAAAACTTTGTCTTCATTTGGCTATTTTTAAGACTGACCGATCGCAGACCAACTGACCAACCGCAAAACTATTGTCTCCATTTGGCTATTTTTAAGACTGACCAACCACTGACCGACCGAACAACCACAAAACTTTGTCTCCATTTGGCTATTTTTAAGATTGACTGGCCGCTGACTGACCGAGCCACTGCAAAACTTTGTTTCCATTAGGCTATTTTTAAGACTGACTGACCGCTGACTGACCGAGCAACAGCAAAACTTTGTCTCCATTTGCCTATTTTTAAGACTGACCAACCACTGACCGACCGAGCAACAGCAAAACTTTGTCTTCATTTGGCTATTTTTAGGACTGACCAACCTACCGACTGGCCGCAGACCAACTGACCTACTGCAAAATCTTGTCTCCATTTGGCTATTTTTAAGACCCGCCGATCGCAGACCGACCAACTAACCGCAAAACTATTGTCTCCATTTGGCTATTCATAAGACAAACCAACCGCAGAACGACCAACCAATCGTAAAACTTTGTCTCCATTCTCTATTTTTAAGACCGACCAACCGTAAAACTTTGTCTCTACTTGGCTATTTTTAAGACTGACCGACCGACCGACCAATCACAAGACTTTGTCTCCATTTGGCTATTTTTAAGACTGACGGCCCAATCGTCTGACCGTGGGCTATCCGCAAAACTTTGTCTCCATTTGGCTAATTTTAAGTAAGACAGACCTACCGACCGTCCGCTGACCGACCACAAAACTAACTAACTAATTAACTGACTAACTAACTAACTAACTGTCTGTTTGTCTGTGTGTCTTTCTATCTATCTACAATTTTCACTTAATTTATAAAGCAGATTAAGAGCTACATTACCTTAAAGTAATAACATTGTATTTTCACACCGTAAACTGCCAGCACACGACCCAAAATCAGACCCAGTGTTAAAGTTAAAAGTAGAGTAAACATACCTAAAATCAACCAAATGGAGACAAAGAGTTGCCATCTTGGGAACAAAAACCTGTAAAGCTTTTATTAAGTTTTAGAATTTTAATATGTTTTAAATTATTAAATTGTGCATTATTGCAAAATAATTGAATTTCGTTCACAAATTCCCAAAACTTTGCTCTTTTCCAGTCACATGTTTTGTGTTTCTTTGTTTTTTTGTAACAAATTTTCACAAATTTAACTGCATTTCCTGTTAATTTAAGTTCATGGACATTTTATGTTTGCAAACAACCATAACAAAATACAAAATCAAACCAAAAGTGCTTCAGGGATAATTAATGTGTCTGTGCTCTTTGGGTAAGGAATTCATAAAGATAAACAACGAAATCATAAGTCCAAAGCACTCGAAAAGTAAGTACATTTTTTAAAGCCATTATTAACATGGCTATTCTATAAAACAGCTTAATATACAGTAAATATTTATATCTTCACACAAGCAATTTCCACATTTTCTATCATTCCTACAAAGTTATGATTTTTTTAAAACTGAAAATGCATTCATTTCAGTCTAAATTGACCGAACAACACCAGAGTGTTAAAAATAAATGCACATTGTTGTTAATGGCGACATCTTCCCCCATCTCTTTCATTCTCATTTTTTACCCCTCAATATCTTTCATCCCTTTATCCAGCTTCACCCTCCTCCGACATTCACTGTGTTCTGTCTTATATAAACCCCCAACCTAGCTGCTCCCTGCTGCATCCCGAGGTTTCTCGCCCTTTACATATGTCCCGTCTGCAGGAGGTGCGTGTTTCAGGCTGCGGTCCAATTGAGAGCACATTGAGAAGACTGTGGTACAAGTCAGAACACAGGACGCCCTTTACACTGTGTCTAAGGGGATCCCTGAGTGAACTGCATTGTGTACACTACCGAGCACAGATGCCCTTTACACCTGCTTTAAAATGTAGCCTGTCGTTTTTAAGCTTTAATGAGCTTCCTTTAACGTCATGTGGAATAATGCACAAGTCCAAAGCGCAATGTTTACAATGTTTTAAGGGTGACCGTTAATGAAGTCGCTAAACTTCAGGGCCCTTGATAGCAAAACAATCAATCATTTAAAAGAGGTGCGGAGACAACTCATTAAACTTATGAGCGTGAACTGCACGGCAATTAACTCGCAGGGATGTCTAAAAAGAGACACAAACATTCGAAGTGGTCACTGACCCTGAAAACTGAGGAAACAACATGCAGACTTCCAGATTTGTCAATGGTTTATTGCTCATGCAGTGGAAGTAAGTAAGACACGGCGCTGTCCGTGGTGCTGAATGTTTTTAGATGTGCTGGTAGATTCTCATTATGTTGACTGATTTAAAAGCCTTCGTTTATTACCTTTTCAGTCATAAGCTCTCTGGGGTATTTTTGTTTGCTAGTCAGGTCAATGAGTGGTCAGTTGTTTTATATAATAACTAACAAATTAGATATTTTATTATTTTGCAAAAGGGATGACATGGTGACTAAGTGGTTTGCACTGTTGCCTCACAACAAGAAGGTCCCGGCTTGCCAAGTTGGCATTTATGTGTGGAGATTGGATGTTCTGGATGTTCGTGTGGGTTTCCTATTGGTGCATGGGTTTCCCCCACAGTCCAAAGACATGCACTATAGGTGAATTGGATAAACTAAATTGTCCGTAGTGTATGTGTGTGAATAAGTGTGTATGGATGTTTCCCAGTACTGGGTTGCAGCTGGAAGGGCATCCGCTGTGTAAAACATATGCTGGATAAGTTGTAGGTTTATTCCGTTGTGGCGATCCGTGATAAATAAAGTGACCAAGCTGAAGGAAAATGAATGAATGAATTATTTTGCACATGGCAAAATGTCCAGTAAATAATATCTAATAAATTGAAAACATGCTAAGTTATATATTTCTCATAAGATTGGATTGGTTAACCCCCAAGTAATTTACATAAATATTTAATGTGTGTTTGTTTATCTATGTACAAATGTATGTAAGTTAGCTATTTATAACATCTTTATAATGTACAGTGAGCGGTATATAAGACAAAATCTTTTTTTTTTCACATTCTTCAATCGTCATAATATATTTTGGTTAGAATTGATCCATAATCCTTAAGCAATGTCTGAAAACTGCATAGTTTCAACTAGGGGGACCAAACTGTGCTGTAAATCCATCATCCATAATATCCATCCAAAATAAACATCTTTTTTTTTTATATTGAACTTTTTAACAATTATTTTTAGGCAAAATTACTATTTGAAAATGCACACATCTTGTGATTGGGGCATTTTGGACCCAGGTATGTATGGAAGACTTTTAGTTCTCTTAAATAAAGGTACAAAAGCTGTCACTGGGGCAGTACCTTTTCTAAAGGTAAAATTTTATTCCTTTCAGGTCCACTTTTGTACCATAAAGATACATAGGTATACCTTAAGTACAACTGTGTACTTCAGAGTACCATAAAAGTACACAAGTAAACCCTACAGGTACAAAAATGTTCCTTTAAGGTACCAATGTGCACCTGTATGGTACAAAATATTCCATTTTGAAAAGGTACAGACCCAGTGATGACTTTTGTACCTTTATTTCTGAGAGTGTAAATGTTAGTATAAAAGTTTTGCAAAGCATTTTCCCCACATCTAGCACAATTATATGTAAAAGTCTATTGAGAATACTTTGCGGCATGAAAAAAGTTGGACTTTTTTAATTAGAGAGTGAACATTTAAACAATATTTATTTATATTTTAGCTTAAAACTTCTGCTTTGTTATCAGCGTTTTTGTTACCAATGTTTTGTTATCAGCAAATCAACTTTTGATTAATCATAAGTTATAGATTAGTTATAAATTTTTACATTTTGGGATTCATTCCAGTGCTAAAAACTGGTCAGATTATAACATGCTCTTACACAGGAATGCCAAAACCTTTTCTTATCATGAGCCAAAAACCAAACATAATTGAAGGCTGTAGGCTGAAGGTAAATATTGCAAACTGTATTACAAAATTGCCTAATTACTAATTTAATAATAACAATATTTAAAAATAAATAGAAAGGATTACTTTAATCATATTATGTTAACTATTGCGTTATCATTTTGTATATTTTAAAATTAACTACAATGAAAAGAAACAATTCTATTTATAACACAATGGAGTTCAAATTAGTCTGTGCCATTCATTTAATTTAATTGAAACATTTAATTCAAGCTTGCTTTTTTGTATCTCAACGATAAAAAAAGTTAGAAAATATAAGCTCTAATAAAAGCAACCAACCCCTCCATTTTTACCCTCTTCTCAGATGGAATGGTGGGGCAAATCAAAGGTTGTCATGGGCCAACTTTGGCATCTCTGCTCTTGCATATCATAAATACATGCAAATGTAGTCATTATTCTAAAACTTTCAAATATATATATATAAAGAAGTTATCCAGTAATACCATGGTAAAAACAACCTTAAAACTTTCAAATCTGTTCGCATTCACTCATTAATGAAATGCTGATCAGTATTAAAATAATATAAGGTAGGAATGTTTTATGAATGCACATGCACTGAATGAGAGTCATACATTAAGGCTATATACGCAAATCAGCTTTGTATATTTTATAAGGTGACTGTACACGCGCGTTAGGTGCTCGAGCGCATTAATCACCGCCTCATTTTACTGGGAGGATCCCAATAAATGACGTTATTGCTGGCGTACGACTGCGGCGTAATTGTGCTTATACTAAATGAATGCACGTCCAATGAGCAAACAGTCCAAGCGGATATTATGAGCAGCCAGGGAGATATCAAACCCACTAAATCACTCTTATGATCCAATGCGATATTGAGTTGATAGTGACTCGCTTGCCTTTTCAATAACACTTCGGACTCGAGATCCAAAAGTTCTGGCTGAGCGAGAAGCGCTTCACCTCAGAAGACTTTCCTCATTCAAAGAGTGCAGGTAAGGCACTTTTGCACATTTGAGGGAATCATTCTTTCATCAATAAGACAGTAGCATACTAGATTGCCGTAATTTATACACAGGTTGTTCCAGATATGCATGACTTATGGGGGCTTACAGTGCACATTTTTCTTTATGCAATTACAAAGATGCAGTCAGAAACAGGACACTTTGTTTTATCCAGATGGGAAAAAAGTTATGTTTGGAAGGACACAAGGATGCAGTAATAACATTGTAATTATCAACTTATTTAAGGGGATAGTTCACTCTAAAAATTCTCAAATCATTTAGCTACTCGCTTGTTTCAAACTTTTATGAGTTACATTCTTCTTTATTCACAAAATAAATGATTTGGAAACATGTTGGAAACGTGTAACCATTGCTTATAGTGTGTTTTCCTTTGTGGAAGTCAATGGTTACAAGTTTTTAGCTTTCAACAAAATATATTTTGTTCAACAGAAGAAAAAAGAACCTCGTAAAGGTTTGGAACCAGTCGAGGGCACGTAAAATTATTGTAAATTAAATTTTTAGAGTATAAATATCCCGTTAATGTCACCTTTTACCACAGTATATTCAGAAGCTTTTCAAATTTGCCACTCAAATGTTAACCTCCTCACAAAATATGAAAGTGCTTGCCTTGTAAACAATCTCTCTCGCCTCCGTTCAACAGGGCAGAACAATGTGGCTAGCGCGGACCCTCCTCGCTCTGGCACTCCTTTGCGCACCAGTTTCCAGCCTCTGCTTACCAACATACGACCCCGAGCCCAACTTTCTCTGCAACAACGAGGTGTTTTCCGAGGCGAATGATAAGAGGCAGCCGACGAACTCCCTGCTGGACAGTGTAAACCTCCTCTTCAAGTCAGCTCACGCGCTTTCCTCCGAGGAGCCGCGCGAGAGGAGGACAACTCCCGCGTCCAAATACAGATACTTGAGCCAGACGCAGCTTAGAAGTAAACTGTACCGCAACAGTGCGAAGAGCGACCGACGCAGCCAGGTCACTCTATCCCTCGACGTGCCCACCAACATTATGAACATCCTCTTCAACATTGCCAAAGCCAAGAACCTGCGCGCGAAGGCGGACGACAACGCGCGTCTACTTGCGCAGATTGGAAAGAGAAAATGAACTCTGTGTTCGTGTCACCAATTTGACTTGAGCATTTTTGTATCCACTTGAGGCATGTTATCTCAATAAAGTTTGTTTTTTTCAGGTGCATATAGGCTAGCAGATTAGCAATACTGGACATGAATGGAACTTCAAAAGATTATACAGAGGTGATGTAAATGGGTTTTGATTTAGGAGGTAGGCTGCCCATTACAGCACATAATGGTTTGGTCTTGATACTTACGTTTGTTTGATTGTTTGTGTTGTTTAACCGGAAAAATTGACTTATGACATCATGACTGGATTTTGAAAACACAATTATTGTTTTGAAACTCGATTTCAGTGCTAAATTTGTGAGATTGGAGTATCAATTTGTTTATTTATTTAATTATTTGACTGTTTATTTATTTATGTATTTATTTTAATATTTATTTATTATTATTTTTTTTGCTCTGTGAAAGAAAATACTACCGTTACTATCTCTATTCATCAGCACAATTTACCTATCTCGGATCGGATGAATGTCAATTAATTTTGAAAAATGTCATATGAATAAAAATACACGGCTGAAGGGTTGGATGTAAGTTCAGAAAACTTTCTGTTGATGAAACCGACAGTTGAATATTTTTGTACTGAAAATAATTATTTTATCGTTTAATAAATAAATAAATGCAAACGAAACTAAAGAGTCTATTTGAAGAATATTATTTAAGGGGTTTTCTTTTTTGCTCATCTTTCAAAACATATTCACTTGTCTAGCTTAACCTTTTAAGACCAGAAGTCAAGAAGACAAACTTGCACCTGCATGCAGTTTTAAAGAGATAGTTCACCCTAAAATTACTTACCATTGTCATTACACCCTTCACTTGTTTCAAACATTTATGAATTTTCTTTTTTTTTTTTTGAACACACAAAAAAATATACAATTTAATAGCTCCTATAATATTGAAACAAGTGAAGTGTGAGTAAATAGTGAGTACATTTTAATCTTTGAGTAAACTGTTCCTTTAAGGCCTGTGGCTGTGTGAACATTTCAATAATTAAAATTTTAAAACATCCGGCCACAGTTTTTGCAACTTTAATAAAGCTTAAATAATATACAACGGAGACTATGCAGTGTTGATTATTCAATATCTGTACCTGAATAAATACATGAAAACTATAATTCACTTTTATTTTTACTGTGTTTTATTTTATCTATGCTTGTAATTTATTTGTTATATATTATTCGAAATTCACTCCTCTACAGAATCCCCCCCCCCCCCCCCCAATCAATCCAAATAAACCTGTTAAATCATCATGGTGAAATAATATTCATACGCAATATGTATCACAGAAATACAAAATATGGTAATGTCAGATTATTCCAATATCACACAGCCCTAATTTAAGTATATAGAAATTTGTTAAACAAATTTCCCGGACTTTTCCAAAACTTTGACCTTTTCTGTTTTCCCAAAACGTTTCCATGCGTGGAAAATGCCTTCTCAAAATAATATAGTATTATATTGTATATATATATATATATATATATATATATATATATATATATATATATACTGTATATATTGTATGTATATGATCACACTAATTGAGCCCTTCAGGCTTGTTTTAAACCTCCAGGTTAGTGTGTTGAAGCAGGGTTGGAACTGAAATATGTAGGGCTGCGCCCCTCCAAGAACTGAGTTTGACAGCGTTTCCTGCCACAGCGGAATGAACCGCCAATTTATTCAGCATATGCTTTAGCAGTAGATGCCCTTCCAGCCTTCCAATGTCTTAAAATAGACAGATACATTTAGCTTTGTGGTTTTTTTTTGTCACTGCACCACATCAACCACAACATTTTGGTAAATTACTTCAAATAAACTAGCAAGTTTAAGATATAAATATATATATATATATATATATTAAAATGTGTTTTAATTGTGTGTTCTATTTCTAAAGTACAAAAAGAAACAACATTTTTATAGCAATCGAGACTTTTACGCAGACTTTTAATTTGAAGCGTGGAGCGCCATCTTCACCTCCGCCAGCTCACAACGTACGTCACACTAGTTGACGTGGAGGAAAAGAGCGTGAATGACTGTCTGATCATTTCGCTTACTGCTCTCAAACATTCCGCAAAATGATCAAGAAATTCGACAAGAAGGACGAGGAGTCTGGTAAGATCTTTATTAAATACATCCTGCCACATTATACAGGAAGCTTACTATGAATAACTGCGTATTGCAGTGGCCGAAAGGGAAATCGGCTGCTTTGCTAAGGAAGAGCTTCTGCAGGCCACATCACAACATCTGTAACGTTAACTAAACTATAACACTGAAGATTTATGTGCATGCTTCAGATATATATTCAAATCTGAATTTGATGGCTGATTAGCCAGTGGTTGCTCTGTGCCTTTGCAATGTCATGTAATTTGACTATTTCATTTACACGAAAGAAGCTAATGGATTAGCAATTGCTGTTTTCGTTTGTATTCATCATTTTATTTTTGTGTCAGTGGAAAAGGTTGTACACATGTTTAGTGGTTATTCATCACGAGCTCTCCATTTTTTTTATCTTATAGAGAAATTACTAATAAAATTGGATAAATGGATGAAAACATGCCATGTATAGAAGCTATTCTGTCCTGTCACAACAAACTTTAACTGTTTGATCAAGGCACTTGATCAGATTAGTAATATTCATAGCTCAGATTCAAGTCTGCTAGTATTTTACCTTACATTTAGGGTTAAAATTTTAGATAAGTGACTAATGTTGATGTTTATTCCTGAACACAATAGATTATATATTATATTCCATGCTTTTATTTACTGTTTTTCCACAAAGAAATTACGTCTTATCTTATGATTTATGATTGATTTATTATGTAATCCAAGTTTAAATATATATATATATATATATATATATATATATATATATATATATATATATATATATATATGTTTAAATAATATTTATAGTAGCTGAATGAATGCACTAACCTTTAGCTGATTAACATCTGTATTGTGATGTGTTTAGGAAGTGGCTCAAACCCCTTTCAGCATTTGGAGAAGAGCGCTGTACTACAGGAGGTGAGTTTAATACCGCTGGATATTAAAATGACATGAATGTCTCTTTAGTGTTGTATTTTAAAACGCTTTATATGGTTGTTTCAAAGGCTCGGATCTTTAATGAGACGCCTATAAATCCAAGAAGATGTCTGCATATCCTGACCAAGATCATTTACCTGCTCAACCAGGTATCTGGGCACATATTTTGAATTGATTATTACAATTTCTATATCCTTCTATGTGGACTGATGCATTACTAAGCTGTTTTATTTTTCAGGGTGAGCATTTTGGAACCACAGAAGCCACTGAAGCTTTCTTTGCCATGACAAGGCTGTTCCAGTCTAATGATGTAAGAAATTGACGTTCATTTAGTTTTTTTTTTTTTTTTTTTTTTTTGTTAAGTGATGTTAAATCGAACCTTTTATTTATTTATTTTTATTATTATTAATTATTAAAAAATAAATAAATGGATATCATTTAATGTAATTATTTTTAACATTGAATTATATACACTAATTTTAACCCTGAACTAATGCAATGAATGTATTAAGCTACATTAATATTTAACTATATTAAATGTAGTTCAAAAATCACTCGCATTATTGAGGCTGTTGGTTTTCGAATTGGTCATTAATCAAACATGCTAGCACAGTTTGATCAATAAAAATTGTGTATGTGTGTGTATTTATGTACACCGACCAGGGTTGTTTTCATAAACTAAAGCTATGAAGAACATTGAAATTGAATATAATCTAAATAAAATATTACAAAATAAAAGCATAAAACTGACAAAAATAACAATCGTTATCAAAGAAGTTAACCTAAAATAACTTTGTCTAAGGACTGTAATTACTATGTTTTTATCTGGGGAAAAACAAAACTACAATTAAAATTAAATTAATAAAAAATGAGTAGTTTTTAAATATTTATATAAATAATTTTATTAATTAAATAATTCAATTATTTGTTGTTCAGTTTATTGCAGATATTTAAATGCAAATAATGTTCGTTTCCAGCCACAATATTAAATAGTTTTTTATTATTTCATTTTCATTTTTTAGTTTTGTTACTTAAGTCATCATTTCTTGTTAATTTCCAAGTCATAATTTCTTGCATTGCATTCTTAGCAAACCCTGAGAAGAATGTGCTACCTGACCATAAAGGAGATGGCCAACATCTCAGAGGATGTGATCATTGTTACAAGCAGGTGAGAAGCTCCGGTTGCCATGGCAGCATTTTTAATATTATTTGCAATATACTTTTTATAATGCATGTAGCTTAAAAATACATTATTAAATGAAGAACGGAAATCATTGGACACGCCACATATATTACCTTTAAGAAAAGCGCTGATGAATGTTTTGTTTGCGTCTCAGCTTGACAAAGGACATGACTGGCAAAGAGGACGTTTATAGAGGACCAGCAATCAGAGCTCTCTGCAGGATCACTGATGTGAGTCTCAGCTGCTTGAAAACTCATTTAATTGGCTCTCAGGGAGACATAAAGTACATTAAAACTAAAGGAACTCATATAAATGATCTTTTCTGTTTATGGATTAACTGTTCTTCTTCCAACCGTTCCGTCAGACCACAATGTTGCAGGCTATTGAACGATACATGAAACAGGCCATTGTGGACAAAGTGCCCAGCGTCTCCAGCTCTGCTTTGGTTTCATCACTAGTAAGATCACAATCTAATGTATTATCAACATCCTTATTACGTTGTCAGAAAAGTAAACCAAAGGAGCTAGCAAACATATTAATGAGATGAAATAAAAAGTATGACTATGATATTGACAACCATCCTCTTTTTTTTTTTTTTTTTTTGTATGTGTTTTGGTTTGGTTTATTTACGCAATTTATAAGACAATATTTGTTTTGTATCGTTCAGCTTTTATGTTAATGCTCTGTATTTGATATCATCTGCATATTTTGCAATTAAGAAAACCAATAAAAAGTTTAAATCATAAAAAAACACAAATGATTGGTTAGTTCTGAATGATATATATATATATATATATATATATATATATATATATATATATATATATATATATATATATATATATATATATATATATAAATAAATAAATAAATAATATAGCTCTGTATTTTTTTCTTTAGCATATGGTGAAGATGAGCTTTGATGTTGTAAAACGCTGGGTCAATGAAGCGCAGGAGGCGGCATCGAGTGATAACATTATGGTGCAGGTTAGCAAGTTGTTTGCATTTGTGTTATGATTTAACGGTGTGTCTGTTTCTAATATAGTGGGATCTGTTTCTTCACAGTATCATGCTCTGGGTCTTTTGTACCACCTGAGGAAGAATGATCGTCTCGCTGTGACCAAGATGCTTAATAAATTCACCAAATCTGGTCTGAAGTCTCCGTTTGCATACTGCATGATGATTCGCATTGCCAGTAAACTGCTGGAGGAGACGGAGGGAGGGTATGTTTGTATTTAATGTTCATTTAAAGAGTTTACCTAAAAATTAATTTATGCAATCCATGGTTTACTCATTCCAAATTTGTTTCAGTTTCTTCTGTTGAATGTAAAAGACGATATACTGAAAACTTGACTTGTATGGTATTTTTTTTGTTCCTACTATTGATTTCTATGGCTGCTTTTTTCATATTGAATTTTTTAAAATATTTTTTTTATTAAAGATTTTCAAATAGTACAAACAACAAAGACAAACTAACAAACAATTCCCATGCGCTGCAAATTAAATAAACATTTACAAATGTAAATTTTAAAAAAGAAAAATAATAATTAAACAATTAAACATAATGAAAACAAAACAGAAGAAGCTTAAACTCTTTTAAAATAAAAATTTCAGAGTTTTATGTAGAAAGGATCGGAGAGGTTCCCAAAGTCTCTTGAATTTGTCCTGTTTGTGGTTGAGGTCTTAAGTTAATTTTTCCAAAGGAAGAAAGACTGACAACTGAGAAATCCACATGGAAATAGTAGGAATTTGAGAAGTAGACCATTTTAGTAATGTAATACTAAAATGTAATATAATACTAAAAAGTAATAATTAATATTTATTTTGTCCAAGTCGTTGAATGTCATAAGATCTTTTTAAAATATATTTAAAAATTATTATTGTTATTATTTTAAAAAATTATTTATTTTTTGCCATTTAAAATGTTACTTTCCGTTTATTAAAATGTCTTTATTTTTCACGTTTTGCCTAATGATATGGCTTGTCTATTTTTTCCGTGCCATTTTATTCCTTTCACGTTTGTCAACTGGCAATAAAATATATTAAACATTAAAACAAGCAGAAGAAGTTTAGCTAAAAATAAATGGAAGTGAATAACAGGAAGTCTTTTGAGACATTTTATTTTACAATGGCCATGTCGCTCTTAAAAAAAAAATAAGGTGGATGGATAAGTCATGGAAATTCAGCTTTTTAAGTCAGTGAAAATCAGGGAATTTGACATTTTCTTTAGACTGAGAATCCTGTAAATGCAAACTCATTCATGAACATGATATCCCTTTTAATGTTATTACTTTCATGCAGCTGCTTGTAATAAATCCTGATACTGATATATAAATATGTTGCTTTAACAGGCATGACAGCCCACTGTTTGACTTCATTGAGAGCTGCCTGAGGAATAAACATGAGATGGTTGTTTATGAAGCAGCCTCTGCCATCGTCCACATGCCCAACTGTACTGCCCGTGAGCTGGCTCCTGCTGTATCTGGTTAGTCCCGCTTATTATTTCTCCCTTGTTTTTTGATTTCTAGCTAACACAGAGGACAAATTTTACATGATGTTGGAATTAAGAAATTTGATGTTGATCGTTCCGACAGTTCTCCAGCTGTTCTGCAGCTCTCCCAAAGCAGCACTCCGATATGCAGCAGTGCGGACTCTTAATAAGGTCAGTTATTTGTGTTTTTGAATGAAATGTAATTTGTAGCTATCTGAAGTGTTGCATAGTTCCACATGGAGACACCAGAGCACACTCTTTTTTTTGTTAATGTTGAAAGTCAAACCTAGTAGCTTTCAAATAGTGCAAAAACATATATGATCAAAATACAGATTTTAATTAATATGGGTCTTTAATAATTAAATAGTGTATGAATAGACTCTCTGACATTTTGAGACATGTAGGTCTTTTTTTAAGATGAGAAGACACTCTTTGGTTTTTAAAACATACTTTTTTTTTAATTCAGTTGCATCAAATGTAATGCCATCTGTGTTGGCATTTTAAAGAACATTGTCATTCCAGGAGGTTTTAAATTTGTGGGTATAAAAAAAAACAAAAGCCATATTTTAATGTTGTTTTTAGACGTATTATGGTTTTGATTTTCCCATAATAAACCCCCGTCCCTCTTGAAATGTAATTTATATTTTTAATATAATTATAAAAAGCCTCAAATGTAGTACAAAGTTAAAATACATCGTAAACATTGTAATTTTTTTACATATGTGGTGTTTTATATATTTTTAAATCAAGAGTTTTAACTATTTTTTTAATTTAATATATCAAGTGTTATTAAATGGTAATAACCCTTTAATAAATGTAAAAATGGTAAATGATTACCTGTTGTTGACATAGGTGGCGATGAAGCACCCGTCAGCAGTGACCGCATGCAACCTGGACCTGGAGAATCTGATCACTGACTCCAACCGCAGCATCGCCACCCTGGCCATCACCACCCTGCTGAAGACCGGCAGCGAGAGCAGTGTAGACCGCCTCATGAAGCAGATCTCCTCCTTCGTCTCCGAGATCTCAGATGAGTTCAAGGTGATCTCATCACTAAATTTGAAATTGCACAGTAACCTTAATGCACAATCCCTAAATGAGTCCACTAATAGTCAAAAAAATGAAGACAGAGTGAATTTAAATACTGTGAGTAGGTTATAAACGGACTGATTTGAATTTTGATGGACGCTATCATCTATAAACTAAATTATATCTGTGTGATTTTACCCTGTATATTGGACAAACTACAGAAAAATTCACTTATTTCATGGTGTGTTTGTTTTCTAGGTGGTTGTGGTCCAGGCCATCAGTGCTCTGTGCCAGAAGTATCCGAGAAAGCACAGCGTAATGATGAACTTTCTCTCAAACATGCTGCGAGACGATGTAAGTTCATTTAAGGACGTTTGTTCCTGTGGTTTCTTTTGCCGAATCACACGATCAGATTTACACTGATACCCTTTAATGCCTGCTTTACTCATGACCAGTGCTGCGTTGACTTGGAATTTAAACTGACATTGCTGTAAAACGATGTAAGACAAATATACAAGGGGGGCTAATAATTCAGACTTCAGCTGTATTCATCTATATTGACCTGGTCAAAAAGTTGTTGATAAATAAATATTAGTCATTTCATAGATTGATTTGTGTTTGCATATGCAGGGTGGCTTCGAGTACAAGAGGGCCATTGTAGACTGCATCATCAGCATCATCGAGGAAAACCCGGAGAGTAAAGAAACCGGTCTGGCCCACCTGTGCGAGTTCATCGAGGACTGCGAGCACACCGTCCTGGCCACTAAAATTCTCCACTTGCTGGGGAAAGAGGGTCCTCGTACCCCTACACCCTCCAAATACATCCGCTTCATCTTCAACCGTGTGGTGCTGGAGAGCGAAGCGGTTCGGGCCGGTCAGTGGTCTCACATGAGCTTTTACCTCTTTGTAATGAGCTTAAGATTTTTATTACAATACAGTCATATTTTTTTTTTTTGAGGGCTGTACACGTGTCTCAATAATGGATTAGATTTTTAACAAGCCTGATAATCTATATTTAGTCTGCTTCCAGCAACTGAGCAACATTTAGGCATTCTTTTGCTCTGACTCTCCTCTCACGTTTTTCTTTTCAAAGCTGCTGTTAGCGCCTTGGCCAAGTTTGGGGCTCAAAACGATGACCTGCTGCCAAGCGTCTTGGTCCTGATGCAGAGGTAGGACATATCATTATATTGGTCTGTTTGTACTAATTTGTATGTTTAAGTAAGGAATTAGTGCAGAAGATAATTCTTTATGATTGGCTTAAACAATGCGAAGCTAAAATAAAGTAGGATTTCAATAGTTGTTTATTTCATGCTTTGCATATTTATTTAATGATTAAAAATAGTCAAATAATGGAACTAAAGACGTCTAAATTTAGTTCATTGCACTAAAAATAAATAAATGTATTTCATATTAGCATTGTCACATATAAATATCCTGAAATAAGTCACAATTGGAAATTGTAATAAGGGTAATAACAATAAATCTACCAAAATATAAATAATATTGCCTGTTATATTTTAATACTATATTATTATTACTATAAATCCAAAGAAATATGAAATATTGTCAGAGATGATGTGCAATATAATAATAATAATACCAGAAATTATAATAATAAACGTGTACAAATATTGTCATAATGATATAAATAATAATAATGCTGTGTTTGACAGGTGTATGATGGACAGTGATGATGAAGTGAGAGATAGAGCCACATTCTACATGAACGTCCTTCAGCAGAAGCAGAAGGCCCTGAATGCTGCTTACATCTTCAATGGTGAGTGCTTGTGCTTGAATTCATTTTTCATTGAAAAGCAAATTTCCAGTTGCAGTGGTGTATATGATGTTATATTTGATCTGCTTTAGCTTATGTGAGAGTTACACATGTATTATTTGAACTCAAAGACGTCATGGTTGAACAATAAGGTAAAAAAATGTAGTATTTGTTTTAAAATCACACAGTAATGTAAAGAGTCTGTAAATAAATTGTGTTTGTTTGAATGGTTTTTAATATATTTGTTTTATTCTGAATAGTTTTTGCCTTGAAGCTGACATGCGATTAAATAATCTTACCGTTAAATGATTGTTTGATTGGCAGGTCTGTCTGTATCAGTTCTCGGACTGGAGAAATCCCTCCACCAGTACACTCTGGAGCCCTCCGAGAAGCCATTTGACATGAAGACAGTTCCCTTGGCTACTGCGCCCATTACTGAACACAAAACAGGTGTGAACACGACCTGAGCTTCACCCAGGCTAGTTATAGTAGATATCCACACTGTTTTTGAACCAGAGGCTAATGACATAATCCATTAAAGAATGCTTTCAAAATTGTGTAAACTCAAAAACACTTTTTTTTTTTTTTTTTTTTTTTTTTTTGTTTATGCTCCAACATTGTTTGGCTTCTGATTTGAATGCTAATCTCCCTTTGTTTTTACCCTTGCTTGAGGTCAATCACAAACGTGCTCAATTTTTTTTCTCTTCAGAAATTGCTCCTGTGGCAACAAGCAAACTACCCGAAAAGCTTGCGCCTTCACGCCAAGACATTTACCAAGGTAAGACGATTAGCTAGCTATTTAACCACGATGCATGTGGCACCATCTGAAATGGACCGTGCAACATTTCAACTGGTGCTTCTGATCTCTTAGAGCAACTTTCAGCCATCCCAGAATTCCAGGGCCTGGGTCCCCTGTTCAAGTCTTCCGAGCCGGTGCAGTTAACAGAAGCAGAGACGGAGTATGTGGTGCGCTGCATCAAACATACTTTCGCGAATCACATGATCTTTCAGTTCGACTGCACCAACACGCTGAACGACCAGCTGCTGCAGAAGGTTCTGGTCCAGATGGAACCATCGGAGTCATACGAAGTGCTCCATTACGTACCTGCAGCCAATCTTCCCTACAGCCAGCCCGGCTCCTGCTACAGCCTCGTCCGGTTACCGGAGGATGACCCCACCGCAGGTCAGACATGAGCAGATTGCAATGCTAATCCATGTTCGCACAGGCATGCGCTTTAGCATTGCATTGAACTACTTTTCTGTTATTATTTTTATCTTGTACAAGACTCCGTGTTCTACAGGGTAATATTCTGGAATATTATGCAATTTTAAAATGTCTATTCCTGACCTTTTTTTTTTTTTTGTTTACATCATAAAATATCAGACACTTGGTCACCTTGAATTTTGTTTACATTCATTAACTTTTATTTTAATTTTAACAGGGTGTCCGTAAGGTCTTACAGTATTAAAAGTTGATCATTTAAAGAAATTGAAGGCCCTTAAGATATTAAGGAGTGTTAAATGCTATTTTACTTGATATTTAATTTTGTATTTTGATTTTTAAATGTAAAGTTGTATTCTAAAGTTTGTTTGGATTTAATCTGTGAATATTTGGGATGCGGTGTAGTTTATGATATCAATAATATCCGGCTAGATTTGACTGCTTTGTTTATTGCAGTAACCAATGCAACACCACTAAAGTTCTATAGGCGCCACCTGCAGGATTAGCATTTATATTCATTTAATGTTTTAAATATTAGTTTAGGATTAGTTTCTTTGTCAGTTTAGTAAATATACAATGTTTTAAAGTGTATGAAAAGAGTCTTAAAGTGTTAATTGAAGTTCGCTCTCTAATTTCTGTATGCCATATCATGTTTTTTTTTATCACATTGTTTTACCTATTATAGTTAGGCCCTATTCAAGCACTATTTTGTTCCTTTCCTGCTTGTCAATTGGCAGTCACTTGTTTCTTTCTTGTTACTCCTAATTTATTTTCAAAATTTAAATCTACAAAATGTACTTTTTTTTTTTTTTTTGGTTGGTATTTTTAGTCTTTTTTTTTTTCTATTTAAAAAAATTAATAAATAAAAAATATCTATTTTGTATTGGTATGCAAAAATTTACCTTAATTTAATCTTTGAATATTGAGATGTTGTAGTTTTTCGAAAATCGACAATCCTGCTAGATTTGTCATCACGCTGCTTTGTTTACTGCAGTCACCAGGAAAACACAGTTATTCCTGCTGTTCCTCAAGCGCCATCTGCTGGATTAGCATTTTTATATAGTATATTAATAATGTTTTAGTTAAGGATTAGTTTATTACAATCAGTATTTAATATATGTATGTTTATTATAATTTTTGCAAAGTACGATATCAGCGACGAGGTCTTATTTATTATATTTTGTGCCGATTCACTGCATTATAAATGACTTGATCATCCCAGTTTATCTTAATTAATGAAATCTTTCCAAATAGTACCATTTAAGTCATCTGGTGGATACTTATATTCATATTGCAACAAATATCGCAGCAAAACAATGTCCGATGCAATGTCCGATTTGCTGTCCTGGTTTAAAAGTCTAATTTCTCTTAATGAATTTTTCCATTTTTGTTGTTTGCTTTCATTTTAGTCTCTTGCACATTCAGCTGTACAATGAAATATCTGGTGCGGGATTGTGATCCTAACACAGGAGAGCCTGATGATGACGGTTACGATGATGAATATGTGGTATGTAAAAAGTCAGTTAATTATAACAAATGTCAACACTATCAGTAGCCATTCCTTTGCTCAATGTCATCTGTTTCCTTAAGCTGGAAGATTTAGAGGTGACGGTCGCCGACCACATACAGAAAGTGCTCAAACCGAACTTCGCTGCAGCATGGGACGAGGTCGGAGACGAGTGTGAGAAGGAAGAGACGTTTGCTCTGGCCACAGTCAGAACTCTAGATGGCAAGTGGAATTGGAATCATATTGATGTCCTCTCAATTGTTACATTTGACTATATGGGGCAGGGGATGTAGATTGTGAAATAATGCCCTCTTGATTGTGTTTGTCCTCACAGAGGCAGTAAATAACATCGTCAGCTTCTTGGGCATGCAGCCTTGTGAGCGTTCAGACAAAGTTCCGGAAAACAAGAACTCGCATGTTCTCTTCCTAGCAGGTATGCACTTATTTCATCACTCAATTTTTTTAGAAATGCGCATTTGATATTTAGGTAGTTGAAAATAGGTAGTATCTTTTCTTTTTGTTTAACGTAACAGTATTTTTGAAGAAACAATTGTTATATTTATGTACTTTAAAGTCTTATTTTGAGAAAATATAAGGGGTCACTAAGGGTGCTTTCACACCTGTGAATCAATTCAGTTGTTCCAAAACAGAGATTACAATTGTTACATTGTTGCTCTTTGCTCTTGGAGCGGTTCGCTTTCACATTGCAAAGTTTCTAATCGAACCAAAAGAGCTAAAACAAGTCACAAGCGAGTAAACTCTCCTCACATTGGTCAGAGTGTCATGGTTTTTTTTGCAGCGGCCCGCTCAGCTGTCAGGAGAGGTGGTGGTTTGGTGGTGATTGACAAGGTGCGCACGCGCGACGTGTGTGAGGATAGATGCGGTGGGGAAGGGTGAGAAGGGTGCGCGACGATGCCTATTTGAGGACCGGGAGGGAGACGCGAAATTACCGGGAGATCATCACTCGTTTGCGGTTAAAAGTACCCTAAAAATGTCCTATTGTGGGACAGCAAAAATTTATATTGTACAAATAGCTAGATCATTCATAATAAGATCTAAATAGGATGTGCGGCCAGCCAGAAGTGCGGTATGCACATTAATATAGCAGCATTTCTTAATGACATTGTATAACAATAATTAATGTTTTTACAGTACTGTTACTGTTGGGTTTAGGGTTGGGGTAGGCGTTAAAAAATACAATTTATTGGGTAATTTAATAGATGACATAAATAATACTTGGTACAACTACTGTTTTTACAGTGCTCTGCCAGTTGGGTTGGGGTTAGATGTTAAATAAATACAATAAATGGAAAATCTAATAAATAATACAATTCTCGTTAACTTCCGACCACAACCATTTCCGATCTAGCAACAACCATCATTCGTCTAGTGCTATTTATTTTATATTATTTCCTCGGTGATTTGAACATTTTTAATAAAAAGGGGTTGTCACACCAAAGGAAAACAAAACTCACCAATTTTATAGTGATTCCAAAAATATATTAAATATGTAAAAACAAATACTGCGACTGCAGATTCATGTCACGGGGTTCACACAAGCTTGAGTCACATGATCTTGAATGGGATCCTTCAACTAATTAATATTTTGATAGTGTCACACCAACAGGACATGGTTTTCAGTGACAAAATCTATCAATTTCACATGTTTTAAAAATATATGGATGGAAAAAAAATGACAAATGGCGAGTTTACTAAAAATAACCCCTTGTAATATTAGGTCTAAGGTAGTTATTAATGATTTTACAATATTCTTTTAATTTATACGAGCTGTGGTTTATTGAACTATGCTTAAGGCAATCGTACCATAGGATTTTGGTTTCTTTGAGAAGGAATATTTCACTATTTACTGCATTTTAAACGTTGACAGTATTAATGAAATTCATTTTCATCAAGAAAATGCAATGCCACATCAACAACCCATTTTCTTCCCCATTTTTAACCTGCCTGATGAGATTGTTTTCTTTTCTGCAGGTGTGTTTCGAGGAGGTCATGATGTGTTGGTGAGGGCTCGTTTGGCTCTGGCTGATGGCGTCACTATACAGGTGACTGTCAGGAGCACAGATGACAACGTGGTGGACGTCATCCTAGCATCTGTGGGCTAAACAAGCGATGTTATGATGCCAATCAGTCTCAGTCATTGTCCTTTTATATATGTATCTACATAGAAGCTCTATAATATTTCTCATCACCATCCTCTGAGACATCCTGTTTCTGCATTAAATCTCTTTCGGAGATGTTTCTAAATTATGTTGTGCCACTTTAATTCAAGAGATCTTATGATAATTCCCTCTTTGGCATTTGATGGCAGTACTTTTCATTTATCAATAATAAAAACAGCCCCAAAGAGTACCAAACTTGGAGTATTATTTTTCCCCCTACACAAAACATGACAAATGTATAATAAGAATTATTTATTATTTCCAAAAAAAGCATTCATGTTTGTTACACAAATGTATTTACAAGTTATGGCATACAATATGAGCAAATTCATTAACAAGTACTTGCAATGATTGGGCATTTGGTGCAATACTTCATGCATTCAGTCACATGACTTGCATCAGAAATACTTTGCGGTATATTAATGGGTTTGTATGTTTTCAACCTTATTTGGAACATAATTTCACTTTATTTCTCGCTTCAGAATGATCCGATCATCCCCCGGCTTAGAATGAGTTGATAAAGCTGAGATAGGCATTAAAGAATCCTGTGGGATCCTCCAGCTGTGGATAATGACTCACGTGCTCATCTAGAACAGATACTGTGGATCTCTGCACTAGTTTCCTGTAGATGAGGAACAAGAGAAGGGGAACATTTATTTAGAATGCTGTAGATTAGTGGAGCCTCATTTCTTAAATGTTGTAAGTTTGTACCAGGATCATTGTGTGTAAGTGCGATTCATGGAAAATGAAGTACCCACAAAACCCAAGCATGCATCTCTCTTCCAGATTTGTAAATGGGAAATGATCTTGAGATTGTGCACAGCTGACTGCAGTCAGATCTCCGCCCCTAATTAATATCATTACTATTTAAAAGAGCACAGGGCATCAGAATTGCAATGCTTGAGAATGAGCACAAAGAAAAACAACTATGTAATTTTGGAGCTCCCGCTGGCAGAGGTGTATAGGAACACTTTTCAGGATTTCACACACATTTAAATGTGTGGCATGGCAATAAACAAGGTAGGAGTTACTAACAATTTAATAATGTGTAATTCTTTGAATAAGCTAAAGTTAAAGTTGTTTTTTTCTATTGACTACTACTAACTAGCTACTATTAACTAGCTACTAATTCTAGAAACAACTGAAACAATAATAGTTAAACGATAGTATAAAACCATTAGGTTTTTAAAAGTAACAAACTACGAATCCATATAAAAGTTAAAGTCATTTCATAAAAAGTAATCCTATTTTTTAAATCACTTTCTATGATGCCATATAAAAAGTTGTCTCACAAAAACGTAAAACAATATATGTTCTAGAAATAAAAATCTGACGTTTTACAACAAAAAGAATGCTAACACTATACGATAAGGTTTCATTAGTATTTATTTACTAACATGAACGAAGTATGAACAATACTTATACATCATTTATTAATAATGGTCAACATTTAGTAATGCGTTATTAAAATTGAAACTCATGGTTGTTCACGTTAGTTCATGCAGTTAAAATAAAACATTTACTATAACAATCAGTGTCTTAAAAGGGTAATAAATGTAGAATAACATCAATATACTCACTGGTAAAGCTGCAGAAACTGCGGATGTGGATTAACTGGATCTAGGGGTCCATAAATCATGTGCACTGCAAAGTTATGAATTATTGAATAGAAAAAAGTGTTGTATAAACAAAATACACAATCTTAACTGATTTATCTACTAATGGAAATCACAAAACTTCCAATCATATGAATATGCAGTATATTATAGTAATAGTATACTATAGTACTATTAATATGCAGTATAATGGTTACATATTATATATTGGTAGTTGTGCACCAGACCACTGCACTGAAATATGAATATCACTTATTGTATAGTATGCTGTCAGCTCAAATTGCCTGGGCTACAGACAGGCTAAGCAGCTTCTGCAGTGATTTTCAATGGATTAAAGTACTTAGCCTCAATTGCACTGCCTGAGCTTTCAAGTAAACCAAACCTGTGAATCGCCTGCTAGCATGACTGCTACTACAGCACTTTTTAAAGAGGAATGAGTGGTTTATGTACTCACGGGGTGTTAAAGTCGAAGTTAGAGCGCCCACCCATCGTTCTCTGTGTTTCAGCCTCTGGTTAATGTATTGCAAAAGACTGAGGAAGAGACAAATAATAGTTGGCAATGGTTATGATTAGCACTGCAGATACAATGGAGACATTTGCTCACCTGTCCATTACAAGATTTCCATCATTAAAGCGAATGCCTGTCCACATGTCCCAGACTTCTGCTTCTGTTGGCTGGGTGTACGGTCCAAACACTTCCTTAATTCTGTAGCAGAAAGATATATGAAATAGGCATTCAACCAGCATGACTTATGACTAGGTCCACGCGGAAACTGCACGTGCAGTATTCCACATATTTTTTAGCCCATTAATAATTCTGTTTATTTACTTGAGTAAAAATGTGTGTAATATCTACATTTATTAGTTTTTTATATTAATTACAGTATTATTATTGACTAATATAATAATGTTCATCTGATTTATGTACAATGCAGTTTGTAAAGTAATATTTAATAATAATAATACATTTTATTTAAAGGTGCCTTTCTAGCAACTCAAGGACACCGTACAATCAACAAGAATAATAAAACAACAAGAGAAATAATAAAATATACACAGCAATAGTGCAAATAAAATTAAGTATTAAAAGCCATCTTAAATAAGTGGGTTTTGAGTCTTGATTTGAACAGTGTGAGGGAGTCAATGTTTCTGATGGCAGGTGGTAGTGAGTTCCAAAGCCGCGGAGCAGAGCGGCTGAATGCTCTGTTGCCCATAGTTGAAAGGCGAGAAGAGGGAACAGACAAGTGGAGGGAGGAAGAAGATCGCAGGGTGCGAGAAGGAACAGAAATGTGGATGAGGGCAGACAAATATGGAGGGGCGAGATTGTGGATGGCTTTGAATGTTAACATTAAGATTTTAAAGTCAATTCGAAAATGAACAGGTAACCAATGAAGCTGCTGCAGGACAGGGGTGATGTGATGAGAAGAAGGGGTTCTGGTGATGATACGGGCAGCTGAGTTCTGGACCAACTGAAGCTTACGGAGAGATTTATGAGTGAGACCAAAGAGAAGAGAGATGTGACAAGGCTATGAACCAGAGCAGCAGTGGCATGAGGGGTAAGAGAAGGGCGGAGACGGTTAATGTTGCGTAGGTGGAAGTAAGCAGAATGGGTGATGTTATTGATGTGAGAATCAAAGGACAGGGTGCAGTCAAGGATGACACCCAGACTCTTAACCTGTTTAGAGGGATAAATGGAACAACATCCATTTTCAGTCTTTTAGTAGATATATTATATTAGAAACTTGCCTTGTTTACCAAGTAAAGTAAATCTAATTGGATTTGCATTTTAAACATTAAATAAAAGTTGAAAATACATAATTTTCTATTTTAAATATTAAGGTTTTAGTTATGATACTCCCAAAATAATTCTGCAGATTTTTACCAAAATCGAAATAGCAAAAAAACGTCCGCAGATTCCGTCTGGACCTACTTAAGACCATAAATAACGACTAATAGTTTGAACTTTGTATCTATCATTCCTGACACTCCGCTCACCCTCTGGAGAAAAGCTGGAAGTTCATCAGACGAGTGAGTACAGGTGAAATAAAGCCGGAGTCCTTCAGCACCTGACAAAAGATCAGAAATATTCACTTCTCATATCTGAAAATGAATACAAAAGTGTCTATAAAGCGTCACTCACTTTCTGAAGGAATCTTGGATGATGAGTCTCTGGGAATATACCTTATATAAGTCGAAAACAAAATATGATCTTACAAATCTCTTTACATACACATGTTTATATGCATTTTATTCCGATGTCAAAGAAATAAGCCTTAAATGAAAACATACCTCCATTTGATAGGCAGAGGCTGTTTACAATGATGTGTCCGCTTCTGTTGTGGTCACTCCTGTGTGTTTAACTGCCCGTGAGAACCAGCCATATCATATTGACAGGCACATTACGTTGAATTATGCTAACAGATCCTGAAGGATCCTCACCTGTACAGTAACTCGAGAGCAACAGTGTCTCCGTAGTCGTGTGATAGGATGTTGATCCTCTGCTCTGACAAACCCAAATGGGCAACTAGAGCTTCCACAACACTGGCCTGCTCGAAGATGGAGTACCGGTGCGGCCTCTGAAAAGAAACAATGATTTGGGCTCTGTTAAGTTTATGTCGTAGTACGTACGTATGTATGTGTATATCTATGTATCCCATCTCACCGGTTTGTCAGAAAAACCGAAGCCCAGGAAGTCAAGGGCGATGACTCTATTGAAGCGCTGCGTCAGAGAATCCCAGATCTATGAAATGACAGAAACAAAGTCTTAAACAGGAAAAGTTCATGCAATTTTACACCATGTAAACATGTTCTGCCCACCTTATACCAGTCATAGCTTGACGTAGGAAAGCCATGAAGCAACACAAGGACATCAGAGCTTCCCACAACTCCAACTGACTCTATTGACAAACAGGAAAGCATTGTCATTCTGCACCTGAATAAAAAGAGACGTTGTTTGACAAACAAAACCATGTCATGTACCTTTATAGAAGATGTCATTGCCTCTGAATGTGAAGAAGTGACCGGAAGTGCGCCAGCTGTTAAGCGCAGGTGACAGCTGTGGCGGAGGGATGTGCAGATACACGGCGAGCAGAGGAACACACAACAAACCCACGTGAAGCCACCATTCTCTGCTCACACGACGAGCTGACCCACACTCACTGTCATTCTGCTGAACACATGGTGTGTATTTATTTAATGCAACTCTATTTGACGTTATATGTGCTGAATGTCTGTCGTTAGTGTGTTAGCATCGCTAGAAATGTCTTTTATACACTGCTAAATTAAAGACACCGTCAGAAATCATGACACATTTAAATGAGCATCATTATCTTACTTCAAGTGACTCTTAGCTAAATCCGACACACAAAGAAGCGAGTTAACCTAATAACGCACTAACCTAAATGTGGAAAGTTACTTACAGGTGAGTCGCCTGACATTCTCGATCTCTGCACTTTATCGCAGTGTGAATCGGTTGTTTATCCTGATGGGCTGAAACATGTGCTGTTGAGTGACATTAAGAGTCTGTCACTCAGCTGTCATTCCTTAAAACTGGCTGTGAGCAGGCGTCGGGTTGCTAAGGATCCAAAGGTCTCAGGCTGAAAACAAAGCTCGCTCGCACACCTAGCGGAGCGGATGGCAAACGGCGCTTGGGGAACTGTTACGCTTGGTGTGTTTGGTTAAAGATATCTTGGTTCTCAAAATGTGTAAACTTAGCCTGTTTGACTCTTGTAAAAGCAAGCAAAGTAGCTGTTTAGTATGTTACAAGTGGGACACGTTGAAAACCAGGTGAGCACCAAATGCTTCTTTGTTTAGTAAAGGTGTCACAGCTAATTGCTTTTGCTAAATGCCAAACTTGTGTACAGGGTTTTGAAGGTGTGTGTGAGAGAAAGTAGGCTATATTTAGATCTAAGAACCAAATATTTAATTTAATAAAAATATATATGGTATCCAAAAGTGTATTAAAACAACTTTGTAAATAAAAATCTGGCATAAAATAACATTCAAATGAGAAATAATTAGGGCCAGACAGAATCTGCGGACATATTTAGCTATTTCTGCTGAGAATTTTGTAATAAAAAAATCTGTATTTATGCAGAATGATTTTGGGAGTTTCATAACTAAAACCTTATATTTGAAATAAAAAATAGTAGCTTTTTAACCTGTATTTAACGTTTACAATGCAAATCAAACTAGATCCACTTATTTGGTAAACAAAGCAAGTCTTTCATATAATATCTTTACTAAAAAACAGAAAATATTACTTTACAAACTGTATTGTAAATTATTCATAGGAACATTTTCGTATTTGTCAATATTATAACTGAAATTAATTTCAAAACTGAATAAATATAAATGTGCACACATTTACACAAGTAAATAAACAGACTCAATGCTGGGCTAAAAATCTGCGGAAATCTGTGTGTTTCTGCGTGTGCGCAAATTCTGTGTGGGCCTAGTAATATGCTAATCAAATATGGAACTAAAAATATGCCAATATCTAGTCTATGAATTAATAGCAACAAAAGTCTGAAGTTTGTAAAGATGTCTATAAAATCTGACTCTTAAATTTCAGAGGTTTAATATTCAAGTTAAGAAATTCAAATAAAAAAATAATGGCATGTAATATTCAGTTTTTTAATATACAATTGTTAATAATTCAAATCCAGATTGTTTTGGGTTATTTTAAGCTCCATAATCAAATAAAAAGCTAATAAATATGTAAATAAAGAGTGAAAGAGTTTCACACCATGAGTTAGGTTTATATAAGAAAATATGGATGCTTTAGCATTTTGGGATGGGGTCTTTTAAACACAATTATGGGTCTTTGGATGTCATACATCTATTTTTTTACCGTCTATGGTACACATGTATACACCCCTTGATTATCCTACACAATGTCACGGCAATTTGTAACTTTTTTTGATAAAGTGGCTAATTCGTATGATCTCATTCATACAATTTAGTACGGTTTGCTTCTCCCCCAATATCGCTTGGGTTTAGTGGTGGGGTTGGGTGCTACGCCTCCTTTTTAAAATTGTACATTCTCTTATGATTGAACTAAACTGACAAATAGTAAAATACACTTGCGTTTCCTCTAGATCAGGCTGGATTAACTATTAATCAGCCCACATTTACTGGATGAAATATACATATTGTATATGACAAATTATCTTTTTATTATTATTATTATTTACTTCTCAACTGTATTTTTGCTGTGCTTTTGTGGATTTTTTTACAATTCCATTTCAACCTGAAATCTCAAACTGGATTTTAAGACATTTTTAAGACTCGATTTGATCAAGTGATTTTTACCAGATGTCTTATCGAACCTACAACATTAACTCACGCCTTTTTACTTAAAGTTGAAGAACCCAATCAATGTTTGTACTGCAAAACTCCCCTTAATGTAAAACACATTTCCCTGAAAGACTTTTTTATGAAATGAACTCTCTTAAGTACATTTTTAGCAAAAAAAAAAATGAATTCTTATCATGTATTTACACTAAAAATCTTATTTAACTTGTGTATTCATTTGTTTGTTTGTTCTTGCCATAAAAACAACCTTGGTTGCTGACATGGCAATAAATAAAAAATACATTACATTACATTACTATGCCATTTAATAGAACAAAAATCTGAATTGATAACAAATTTAATATAAGAGCTTTCTGGATTTGTGGCCCATATTTAAGATATTGAACACTGCCATCTACATGTTAAAGGAAAAAAAAACATTCTTGAATTATTGTTAAGAAAAGAAAGTGCAAAAACCACATACATCCAGCAGATTTCCACCGAGACCTGTTCATTGTCATTTATTTTTCTTGCTGCTTCAGAAAACTTACAGCTTATATAAATATAATCATTATATATAATCATTCTAAAATGCATAAAATCTGTAATCGTTTTTTGTTGTTTGATTTGTTTTGCAAATGTAACAATTCACTACTAGGATATGACTGTAATCACATACTACTTGTTTCAGAATATTATTTATCATTTTTTAACAAGTGATGAAATTGAAATAAAACCAATACAATACAAACAAAATTATCAGACGCCCTGTGACCTATTTCCCAAGTATAATAGTATAATATTATACATTTGTCCAGCTTTCACTTTCAAGCAAAAATATGCCTTTGTGCTTGGCAGAAATGGAGAGCTGATATTTAGCTTGGCAATTATTGAACTTGACTGTAATAAAAAAAAAAAAAAAAAAAAGAATTTCCAATTAATATTGAGACTGTACTATATTAACCCTACTTGTTTTCTTTTTATTACAGCACTGTTTAACTTATTTTTCTCTTCCAGTAGCAGGTTTGACTGAATCTTTCTCTGTGTCTGATGAGGAGGATGTGAAGCTCAGGACTGGTCATCATTTCAACACATCAATCTACAGACAAACATCACATTTAATAAAGATTTAATGAAGAAAGCCTGATCAATGTGTCAATGTTGTGCCCACTTGTGGAGGATTTGTGCATCTGCATGAAAACAGCAAGAGGACAGGAAATGAAGAGTGTGTAATCCTGCAGCTGTAGAGCAGTTTAAGCCTCATTAAAAACACCTGAAGCTGCTAATCAAGCTCATCAGCACTGATAGAAATCTCCTGACTCAACTCTTTTCTTTTATTCCAGCAGAAATTAAGATTAAAAATTGATGTAAAAGTTATTTATTTTCAGTCAATTACAGGCTGAAATGAATTAAGTTTTTGGTGACTATTTTTGTGATTGTTTGCACATTTTAAACAGAAATATGTTTCATGAATGCTGACATTTTTAATTAAAAATAAGAAGTTTATGTGTGACAGTATTGATCCCACTGCTGATATTTTATATCATATGAAGAAAACCTCTAAACACAACTGTCCAAAGCACATGTTCACAGCACAAGCTCAGGTGATAAAGTGTTGTGAGCTCATATTTCACTACTGTTTACATTAAAACAATCAAATGATGATTTACTCAAGATAAATTCATAAAGGCACTAGTGGCCTTAAACTGATTTACAGGAGGAAAGTCATGGATTTAAATCATTTGAGTGGAAAAGTTGTTTGATCAAATACAAATCCCTCAGTAAAACTGCTAAACAATCATGTGCTTCATTAGTTAATTTGCTCGTTACCTAAATTGAAACCACACAAAGCTTGTGTTAATTCTAGTGCATTGTTTAAAAACTGAAATAATATTAAATATTCAATGAGCAAAATCCCATCCAAAACACAAATAAAGTTTCTCAGACTCAGCGGCTCGGCTGATCAAACAAACTGTTTTAATCTGAGTCCTGAGGTCAAATCCAATGACCGCTGATTTCAATTTGAGAATCCTGTTGATTTAATTAGAAACACAATTACAAATGAAGGTCATCAAGAGCGAGGTTTGAACCCGGGTCTCCAAGATTAAAAAAACGACACTTTAATAAGCTGAGCCACAGAGTCTGAGGAGAACATAATAGCTGTAGATTGTCTTTTATTGCACAATTTTATCATATTTTTGGACAGAATCATCACGACACACAAATACTTCAAAGCACACAAACTCTTTTTGGTTTCAGTAGCTCAATTGACTAAACCCCTGTGCTTTAATCTGAGAGACCTGGGTTCAAATCCCGCTGTTGCTGATCTTAATGTCTAAATTTGAGTGCTTTATATCAATTTACTGAATTAAAACATGAGGTGTGTTCTCAGACTCAGTGGCTTAGCAGGTAAAAACTTCGTGGATAATCTTTGAGGTTGTGGGTTTGAATCCTGCTTATGCCGAAATCAGTGAAAAACAATTTTTACCAATAAACTGCAAAAGATATCAATGTCACCCTGTCAAAAACCCTCTTCTGCTCGTCTGACTGAGTAGCTCAATGGATTAAAACATTGTTTTAACTTTGGGGTTTGTGGGTTCAAATCCTGCTTATGTCACAATCAATGCAAAGTTTTTTTTTCAGTGATGAAGTGCAAAAGATTTCAATGTCACCCTGTCAAAAACATTTCTTTGCTCGTCTAGCTCTATGGCTCATTTGATTTAAACACTGCTTTTTAACTTTGGAGTTGTGGGTTCAAATCCTGCTTATGCTGAAATCAGTGCAAAATGTTTTTTTAGCGATAACGTGCAAAAGATTTTCAATATCACCCTTTCAAAAACACTGTTCTACCCATCTGGCTCAGTGGCTCAAATGATTAAAGCGCTGTGTTTTAATCTGGGAGTTCTGGGTTCAAATCCTCCTTAAGCCAAAATGACTGAACATTTTCACCAGTACTAGAATAAATATCAATACAAGCATACAAAACACACCACACAACACAAGCCACAGTGGTGTAGTGGTTAAAAACATAGACTGATGAGTCTGACGCAGTAAAGATATGGGTTCAAATCCCAGACATTATGTCTTTTGCTGAATTTGTCAGGAAACACTCTTTATATTCCACCTGAAAAACCCAGCATTCTGGATTGACTCAGTGGCTCATTTGGTAAAGCATTAGCCTTTACTCTTGGAGTCTTGGGTTTGAATCCCACTATTGCTTATTGCTGTCATTAAAAAAACCCCAACAACATGCGCCAAACACCATCACTCAGTGTGTAAGCTACGATGGCACTAGTGGCTAAAACACCGTTGGTTGCGGACAAGGTGACGGTCGAGACATGGGTTCGAATCCCACCTAAGAACCTACCTGGGGCGGTAAGGCAAACATGAGGGCAAGTACCTGAAGCTCAAGGGGAAGTGAGCACACCGTGAAACACGGACTGGAGCATGAAGTGAAACACGGATCAGAGCAAAAGTTCACCTGGGGCAGTAACACAAGTGAGAATGGCGGACACACCCGGCACGATGAGACAGACATAAGTGAGGAAGGCTGGACTGAGATGAGAGATGGGCGCACCGGAGAAGAGAGAGGCGGATTGGAGATAAGAGGGGCGGACCAGAGAGGCGGATTGGAGATAAGAGGGGCGGACCAGAGAGGAGGAGAGGAAGGTGTGGCGGAGCAGGAAGAGGAAAAAATTACTTTTTTTTTTTGGAAAAAATACCTTTTTTTTGGCAGGAATGATAAAATTCTGTAACACCGTGGTGATTCGAACCCCAGTCTCCTGTGATCAGTTTAGCTTTCACACCATGAGCACTGACCACTAGGCTACCAGGAACTCACACTAACAATTGTTCATTTGTTATATTTAAAGATCACGCATGATCACGCAGTTTAAAAAAAAAAAATTAAGAAATAATTATTTTATTTAATTAATTAATTTAAAATAAATTTAAATTTAAATCTTAAAAATGTCCAAACATTTAAAAAACACTCAACAGACATAAATAGACTCACCAGCAATGGCAGAATAAACAGAGAATGGGGAAATGGATCTCGTGTTGCTCCAGAAATCACACTATAAACTGTTCAAAATTAATTCTGCATAAAGAAACAAACAAAACTGAAGTTAGAGCACATTACACAGCCTGACACGGTGCAAAGACACGAGTGAAAGACTACCTAAACTACAGAGTGAAACAAATACAGCAGAAATCATTGCACTTCACTATTATAGTGTCAATCATAATATTTTTAAATTTAATACATTACAAAACTCTTCAATTAGGAAAAGGTACAGAAAAAAGACTGAGCATTAGGAACTGCCTAGATGTGCATTATCTCAAGCGTTTGCACTTCCCCCATACAAAAGATGATTTAAATCAAGCCATGTAACTTTTAAAATTTGTTTAAAGTTTAACTTTAATGCTAGAATTGTTATTTTGCATCCGCTTTGTGCACTTTGTGTTAGCAGCGTATCTCTGTTTGTCAAATAACAATGTTAATCTTACAGACAAATACTTATGCATTACCTGTCACTCAGCAGATGTCCATCATTACAGTCAATGTCTGACCACATGCTTCTGCTGGACCAAACACACCCTTCATTCTGTAAGGAAAGACACAAATAAATAAAGTAAAAAACACTTCATATCAAAGTTAAATTTACATGTTTATGTGACATGCTCAAAAACACCACTTTAGGTTAGTTTGTTCTAGATTTGTTCTACATTATAAGCTTTAGGAGAATCTCCATCCTTAATTTACATGACAATAACAGGAGTTCATCAAGAAAGCAACATGTAAACAAAGTGTTTGTTAAACCCTTATAAAGGTGAGACTGCCTTCATACACAATAATTTCATTACATACTATCTTTTTCTCCAGAGTTAAAATTATATTTGAACAGAGAATGACAAGAGCAGCATCACCATACTCCAGCAAACAAATGAAAACACCTATTCTACATGCCAACAATGATTTAAATACAATTTAACACTGATATATGCCATAATATATAAAATAACTGATATATAATGAGCACTAACGACTTTTAAAGAGGAAAATCACTAATTAAGTGTGGATACTTACAGGTGATCAGAGTGACATCCTGGATGCTTGATAAAACAGCGTGTCGTTCGTTATTATTGATGGGCTGAAATATGTGCTATTGAGTGACAGAGTCTGTAAATAAGCTGTCATCTGCAGTAACTGTACTTTAACGGTCTTAAAACATGAATAATCAGTCGTGTCGAGGCGGCTGTCATCAGTGTCATTTTGTTGATGAGGGTCTAAAGGTGTCACAGTCACGCTGAACGTCAAAGCCGCAGACGCCGCCTAGTGGAGCGGAAGTGAATCAGTGTCAGTAGTTTTAACGCATGAAAACAAACTAGAAGTGTGTCGTTGGAGACGGGATGCGTTTTTAGTTTTATTTATTTTAAATCACATCTGTGATCTTCTTTAAATGGTCTCGAGCAGCAGATAAACATGGCATCTAACGGATGATCAGCTTCCCAACTGAAGGGGTAAGAAAATAATAATGAAATGTCCAATGTGTTGAACTGCAGTTGGCATATAGCACATGGCCGAAATATAAACACAAACAGTAGAAGAGACAAGAGGTCCTACAAATATAGTGTTTTACAATTTGTTTATGCTTTAAATATATTTTTTGACCCAAAGTCATCTTCATTATTTAAGTTTAGAGTTAATAATTTATTTCATGTTATGATATTTGCAGACTCGTAAAGTCTATTGTAAAACGACTCATTTTCCAGCTCCTCCTTGTGGACATTAAGCATATCTTACAGAACTGAACCACAGAGGGAAAATCACTCTTACTGACTGACTTAGATTGCATGGGGAAATGCAGGTATCATCAAGTTTATCATTAGTGTCGCAAGTTTCTCTTAAGAAGAAGAAAATTTAAATACTTTGATAAAAGTTTTATTACAAGCACATTTTTAACCTTTTTAAATGTTTTTGTCAGCTGTTTTTTTATAATTTCATATTTTTTTTATAGTCAGCTGACTTATTGCAAAAGGGAATTTGAGCACTTTTAACAGCAGACAGCAGCAGAAGGGCATTAAGTTGTCTGAATGTTGCAGTGCTCACTGGAATCAAGTGTGCATCTCTGTTCACTATGCAGGGCCGCTTTCCTCTTCAACATTCTGAACTCTAAATCAATCAAAATACATGTTACTGTAGATGTCACAGGACAGCACACACGTTTCAATACATTGAACAGCAAATACTGTAGTACTGATAGCTAAATATTGTCCTATTAAAAAACACATCAATGAAAAGCTTATTTATTCAGTTTACAGGTGATGTATAAATCACAATATTAATAAAAGTGAGTCCAGGTCACAAATGTCAGTCCATGGTTTACAATATGATCAATCAAGGTTGCTTGAATTGCGTCTAACAAATTTGTTCCTGTTTTTTTTTTTTTTTTTGTCCACATGCTCCTCCAGATCTACCTCTGCCTTTTCCTGTGACATTGCCTTCCTTACTTATTCAGGTAAACTCAGCTGTGTTTTTTCTAGTGCTTTTAATAATTACAATAGGTTTAACCAATAGGTGGCGACAAACAGCCATCAAAAATATTTCACTGAATAATTCTTGAGAAATGACACATCTCGTAATGAAACATGAAGTTTTATGAGTGAATTATTGAGTCAGTAATTGAGAATGAGGCTAAAAATAAATATGACGTGCTGTACAAGATTATAAGGGTACATTTATACATTTAGCATTATCAGCAACAGTAGCAAAGATTTGTCCCATTATTTGACTATTGAACTTTTTTATTCAGCTGGTTATTATTTTATTTATTTATTTTTTATTAATATTACAGGTTATGTTTGTTAAAAACCAAAAGTTTCTTGCAGTAATGTTTTTGTAATAAATGGAAAGCAAATGACAGTTCATACATGAATACATTAGGTTTACTTACTATTATATTCCCCTCACCATTTCATTTCCATTTCAATAGTCACAAATAGCCGCTGAGAGAAAGTGCGTGTTGACAACAACAAACGCGTTTCGTCAAGATGTTTGGCACCGTACGCCTTCTGTAGTAGCAGGTGGATAATAAAAGGTAATGTTTTACGTCTGTTCAGCAGGCAGTTCAGCAAGAGAGCAGCACGTAAACAAGCTGCTGGCATATTTATATTTACAATTACAAGCTTAAATAATAATCAATTCATATTTAAATGTGTACTTAAAAGTGCTAAGCTAACAATTTTGCACGATAAATGACCTTATGGAAACTAGACGTACAGGTGAGTCGCGTGACACTCTTGATATTAGTGTATGTGTGTTCAGTTGAGTGGCATCACTGTAACATCATATGCGGGGACTGTAGTGCAATAATCTGACTAAATACTACTGAACTCATCCTGCTAAACATGTTTAGGAAAATTCAAACTTAATATTTCAAATGAGTTTATTTGATGTAGTTTTATTCTGATAATGACAACTTGAACTGTAAAGCACAACATATTTTTATTTGTGTTGTGTTATTAGGAAAACACCATATACATGAGAAAAAGTGGGCTCAATGTAAACCAAACTTTTCCCATTTTGTGAATGACTTCAAATCATATGAAAAACTTTTAGAACGACAAAACAAAAAGCACTGAAAACCTAATGATCTGAAAACATTTCATTTCATGTCAATGTATACATTTTTATATATCTGTCTCTTTCAGAAAACTATGTAAATATGTAATACCTCCTCTTCTTGTGGCACTGAATTAATGATAAAGTGAAATAATCTGCAAGTGTTGTAGACTAGAGTTTTCATGTTTGTCAGACTGAACCTGAAGCTTGGAGGAGCAGGTGGGAAAATGCTCTGTGCTTTCTAACAGATGAGTCGTTAGTGACAAAAACAAGCTGAAACTTCAGACTGTCAATGAAACTTGTCTTTTATTTGATAAATGTGCACAAGGCAGATGACAAACAGCTGCTCCACAACTCCCTCTTGTGGCCAATGAGTGTAACCATATAAACGACATCAAATAAACAAGAGGTGACTATTTTATTAATCTGAATATCCAATTAATGATTTAAGCTTAAACCACTTTAAAGATTAAGTTTGAGGGTAATTCTCTTACAATGTCATTTTCCACACAATTATGTTTGAGGTAAATTATAATAACAACATTTTCATTCATTCATTTTCTTGTCGGCTTAGTCCCTTTATTAATCCGGGGTCGCCACAGTGGAATGAACCGGAATGAACTTATCCAGCAAGTTTTTACGCAGCGGATGCCCTTCCAGCTGCAACCAATCTCTGAGAAACATCCACACACACATTCGCACACACTCATACACTATGGACAATTTAGCCTACCCAATTCACCTGTACCGCATGTCTTTGGACTGTGGGGGAAACCGGAGCACCCGAAGGAAACCCACGCGAACGCAGGGAGAACATGCAAACTCCACACAGAAACAAAGACTGAGCCGAGGCTCGACCCAGCGGCCTTCTTGTTGTGATTAGCACTACCTACTGCGCCACTGCTTCGCCCATAATAACAACAATAAATTACAATAATAATATTAATAATGTAAATATATATTCCAACTAAAATATATTACCATTTTTTAAAAATAGTATATTTTCTCGTAGAGCATTTCCTGTTATTGATTTATTATTTCTCCTGGATGAAGTCTTTACACCTTCAAATGACACTAAGCAGATGACCAATATCTTGCAAAATAACTAATAAAATATGATGCACTGTCATCATAACAAATGATACAGAAATTAGTTTAATATGACGTAACATAACGTTGCATTTTCACAGTCACACATGACTAAAATGAATTTAATTAGTATTGTCATCATTTAAAATGGAGTAAATGGTGAATTCCTTTGTGTATAACAACTGTTGTGTTATTAAATGTTTGACTTTTTTTAAGCTAAATGTGAAACGTTTTCTATGGTGTGACCGTCTCAATCACGGTTCAGTAGATTACAGCTCTTATAAATTAAAAAGAGCATTGTGAAATCATTAATACACACCTCAGACTAGGGGCTTGGACAATAAACCATAATATATTGGATCCTGATAACAATAACATGTCAATAACAACGCTAAGCGCTGCACTTTTTTATTCTATATTGATCTAAGAGCCAATCACACAGCAGAAGTGTGCAGCAATGGGAATCTAAAAGTGTGTTGATATTAGAGATGTACTGAATGTACTAAAATATGGAAAATAAATATTGAGATTGCATTTTTCCATTCCTCAGACCTAATTTTACAAGTGTATATATATTTTAGTAAATGGCAATCATTTTTTTCTGGCCATATATTTCTAAAAACAGGAATTTTACACATTTTGGCACTGAAAACCATGTCATGTGGTGTGACACTATATGATAACTTTACAATTTGACTCAATTACACAAGAAGATTTTCCATATTTCACTTTTTTCATATTTAACTAGAACATTTGTTTCATTGTGTTGTCATTTGCTGTGACACCCCTACAGTGTTCAGCATAATTGTGTAAACCCCATTTTGATAATTAATATTTTAGAAATTTCTCAGTGAATATAGGATATTTATTTTGATGCTTTTAAACAAAACAGATTTATTAAACAGATATATTTATTAAAATGATATTTTTTTCACCAAACATATTTATATATTGAAAGAAAATACAATTAAATTCAAGCAAAATATTGCAAAAAGTATTTTTTTATATATTGCAACAAAATTTCAACTGAATATTTAAATTTTTTTGGTTTTCTTATTTTTTTTTTTCTCTTTTTTATTTGTATTTCATATTTTTCTATAACATAAATTTGGGTTAGCTAGTTTTTGGACTGTTATCGTAAGTTATTCTGTTAGATAAGCTCCAGATTTGGCATCAGTATTGACTAATCTAATGTATATGCACAAATATAATATTGTAAAGCTTCCTATTAAAATATGAATTTAAAAGACAGATTTGTGAGGGAAATACTCGTATATGCTGAGCTCTGTATATATTGAAAATGTCCAAGTTTGACAAGTTATGGAGAAAAAAAAATAGTATAAGCACTAATTAAAGATACGATTCCAACAATTAAGATAAATCCTATTATTAAGAGTTGTTTTCCTTATTTTTAATTTGTTGCACCATTGGGCATGTTTATGATACAGTTCAACTAAAAGACAAAAGGGAAAAAAATTACTGTGAAAGAAATTAATAAGGTTACTGACCGCTGATATTTTCTCAAACATAAAAAAATCAAACTACATAAATATAAATTAATCTTCCTCTGTGTACATTTATTTGCCAACTATACACACACACACACCCTGTTTCATACTGACCCTGTATCCTCTTATATTAGACATGTTTAACTTGTTCATCTTTTTGAGATTACAGCACTGTTTGACTGATTTTTCTCTTCCAGTAGCAGGTTTGACTGAATCTTTCTCTGTGTCTCTGATGAGGAGGATGTGAAGCTCAGGACTGGTCATCATATCAACACATCAATCTACAGACAAACATCACATTTAATAAAGATTTAATGAAGAAAGCCTGATCAATGTGTCAATGTTGTGCCCACTTGTGGAGGATTTGTGCATCTGCATGAAAACAGCAAGAGGACAGGAAATGAAGAGTGTGTAATCCTGCAGCTGTAGAGCAGTTTAAGCCTCATTAAAAACACCTGAAGCTGCTAATCAAGCTCATCAGCACTGATAGAAATCTCCTGACTCAACTCTTTTCTTTTATTCCAGCAGAAATTAAGATTAAAAATTGATGTAAAAGTTATTTATTTTCAATCAATTACAGGCTGAAATGAATTAAGTTTTTGGTGACTATTTTTGTGATTGTTTGCACATTTTAAACAGAAATATGTTTCATGAATGCTGACATTTTTAATTAAAAATAAGAAGTTTATGTGAGACAGTATTGATCCCACTGCTGATATTTTATATCATATGAAGAAAACCTCTAAACACAACTGTCCAAAGCACATGTTCACAGCACAAGCTCAGGTGATAAAGTGTTGTGAGCTCATATTTCACTACTGTTTACATTAAAACAATCAAATGATGATTTACCCAAGATAAATTCATAAAGGCACTAGTGGCCTTAAACTGATTTGCAGGCGGAAAGTCATGGATTTTATTCATTTGAGTGGAAAAGTTGTTTGATCAAATACAAATCCCTCAGTAAAACTGCTAAACAATTATGTGCTTCATTAGTTAATTTGCTCGTTAACTAAATTGAAACCACACAAAGCTTGTGTTAATTCTAGTGTATTGTTTAAAAACTGAAATAATATTAAATATTCAATGAGCTAAATCCCATCCAAAACACAAATAAAGTTTCTCAGACTCAGCGGCTCGGCTGATCAAACAAACTGTTTTAATCTGAGTTCTGAGGTCAAATCCAATGACTGTTGATTTCAATTTGAGAATCCTGTTGATTTAATTAGAAACACACAATTACAAATGAAGGTCATCAAGAGCGAGGTTTGAACCCGGGTCTCCAAGATTAAAACACGACACTTAAATAAGCTGAGCAACAGAGTCTGAGGAGAGCATAGTAGCTGTAGATTGTGTTTTATTGCACAATTTTATCATATTTTTAGACAGAATCATCACGACACACAAATACTTCAAAGCACACAAACACTTTTCGGTTTCAGTAGCTCAATTGACTAAACCCCTGTGCTTTAATCTGAGAGACCTGGGTTCAAATCCCGCTGTTGCTGATCTTAATGTCTAAATTGAGTGCTTTATATCAATTTACTGAATTAAAACATGATGTGTGTTCTCAGACTCTGTGGCTCAGCAGGTAATATCTTTACAGTTTAACTCTGAGGTTGTGGGTTTGAATCCTGCTTCTGCTAAAATCAGTGATACACGTTTTTTTTTACAATAAACAGCAAAAGATCTCAATGTCACCCTGTCACATACTCTCATCAGCTCGTCTGGATCAGTGGCTCAGTTGATTTAAACAATATGTTTTAACTTTGAGGTTATGAGTTCGAATCCCGCTTATGCTGAAATCGGTGCAAAATAATTTTTACCAATAAAGTACAAAGATCTCAATGTCACCCTGTCACAAAAACTCATTGAGCAGCTCATCCAGCACAGTGGCTCAATTACCTAAGACACTGTGTTTTAACTTACAGGTTGTGGGTTTGATTCCTGCTTAAACCAAAATAAATGCAAAATGTTTTTAAGCGATAAACTGCAAAAGATCTCAATGTCACCCTGTCAAAAACCCTCTTCTGCTCGTCTGACTCAGTAGCTCAATGGATTTAAACGCCATGTTTTAACTTTGGGGTTCGTGGGTTCAAATCCTGCTTATGCCACAATGCAAAGTTTTTTTTTTTTAGTGATGAAGTGCAAAAGATCTCAATGTCACCCTGTCAAAAACACATTTCTTCTCATCAAGCTCAATGGCTCAGTAGATTAATTCACTGCATTTTAACTTCAGAGTTGTGGGTTTGAATCCTGCTTATGCTAAAATCAGTGCAAAATGTATTTTTAGCGATAAAGTGCAAAAGATCTCAATATCACTCTGTCAAAAACACTTCTTTACTCATCTGGCTCAGTGGCTCAAATGATTAAAGCGCTGTGTTTTAATGTGGGAGTTCTGTGTTCAAACCCTGCTTATGCCAAAAGGTCTGAACATTTTCACCAGTACTACAATAAATATCAATACATAGCATACAAAACACACCACACAACACAAGCCACAGTGGTGTAGTGGTTAAACACACAAACTGGAGAGTCTGATGCAGCAAAGATATGGGTTCAAACACCAGACATTATGTCTTTTGCTGAATTTGTCAGGAAACACTCTTTATATTCCACCCGGAAAATACAACACAACGGACTGACTCAGTGGCTCAGTTGGTAAAGCATTAGTCCTTCCATTTGGAGTCTTGGGTTCAAATCCCATTATTGCTTATTGCTGTCATTAAAAAAACCCCAATAACATGCGCCAAACACCATCTCTCAGCGTGTAAGCTACGATGGCACTAGTGGCTAAAACACCGTTGGTTGCGGACAAGGTGATGGTCGAGACATGGGTTCGAATCCCACCTAAGAACCTACCTGGGGCGGTAAGACAAACAAGAGGGCAAGTACCTGAAGCTCAAGGGTAACTGAGCATGAAGTGAAACACGGACTGAAGCATGAAGTGAAACACGGACTGGAAAATCAAGTGAAACACGGATCAGAGCACAAGTTCAACTTGGGGCGGTAACACAAATGAGAATGACGGTCAGGCCTGGCACGATAAGACAAACATGAGTAAGGAAGGCTGGACTGAGATGCGAGCGGCGAAGGAGAGGGGTGGACTGAAGACGAGAGAGGTGGAGTAGACAGGAGGAGAGAAAGGTGCTCCGCAACAGTAAGAGAGAAAAAAAAAAGCTTTTTTTTTTTTTTTTCTTTTTTTAATCGTTTTTTTTGACAAAATGATAAAATTCTGTAACACCATGGTGATTCGAACCCCAGTCTCCTGTGATCAGTTTAGCTCTCACACCATGAGCACTGACCACTAGGCCACCAGGAACTCACACTAACAACTGTTCGTTTGTTATATTTAAAGATCACTCATGATAACTCAGTTTAAAAAAAAAATTAAGAAATAATTATTTTATTTAATAAATTAATTTAAAATAAATTAAAATTTAAATCTTAAAAATGTCCAAACATTTAAAAAACACTCAACAGACATAAATAGACTCACCAGCAGTGGCAGAATAAACAGAGAATGGGGAAATGGATCTCGTGTTGCTCCAGAAATCACACTATAAACTGTTCAACATTAATTCTGCATAAAGAAACAAACAAAACTGAAGTTAGAGCACATTACACAGCCTGACACGGTGCAAAGACACGAGTGAAAGACTACCTAAACTACAGAGTGAAACAAATACAGCAGAAAATATTGCACTTCACTACTACAGTGTCAATAATATGTTTTTATAAATGTAATACAATTCAAGACTATTAAATTGGGAACAGATCCTAAAAGACAACGCATCTTTGTAAACAGTTACAGAAAAAATCATACACTGCCATATTTTAAAATAGTTACAATGCTTCATAGCTATAAATCCTAATAAAATTGGGTCAAAATACTGTATAATATAAAATAAAGTATTGCTTTACAATACAAAATACTATTCAACAATATCTAATATATTCACACATGAAGATAAAGAAAACTGTTTCCCTCATATAGCAACATTTCTTTAACTCTTCCAGATTATATTACTGTCTTATTGGCAACAAAACACCCTTTTTCTACTGTATCTGAATATAAGGATTAAAAGTGAAGGATATAAATAATACAAATCAATTCTGCTAAAAAAAAAAAAAAGAGTGAGATATTTCTCCTACAACATTCTTACTGATGAGATTTCATGTGTAGTCCATTGGAACTATTGATGGAATATAATTAAAGTCAAGGGAAATCAATGGGCTATATGCACAGCAAGTGTTTTTCAGCCACCAATAAACTTCCGGCAGCAGATGAGCACAGAAACTCTATTAAAAATACTGTGGTAAAACTATTTTCCATTTTTAATAGCATAATGCACAACAATGAATTTCAATGCAGTGCTTCTTGAATGGTCTAAGACCCAATTATCAGGTGAAGTTTTTTTTCCCTCTCCGCTGTCGCCACTGCCTCGCATGGTTCAGGATTGGTAGAGCTACGCATCGATGAATTTGCTCTTCAGTGTTTAAACTCTCATTAATGATTAAATCACACTGAACTGAGCTAAACTGAACTGAACTGAACTTAAACACTAAAACCTGAACCACACTGTTCCAGTTACTATGACCATTTATGTGAAGCTGCTTTGACACAATCTACATTGTAAAAGCGCTATACAAATAAAGCTGAATTTAATTGAATATTGTATCTTAATCAGGCAGTGAAGAATCAATCATAAATGATTTGTGTCACATAAATGATTTGTGTCTAATTTTTGTGTCAAGTAGTGGTGTTATAAGTTTAGTGTACATCTAGATGGTTGTTCTCGCTGAATAAAGCCTGACAAGTTTATTAACAGACTTGACAAACTTTATTCTGCAAGAACAACCGAATAGCTGTGCATTATCTCTTACATACGCAAGGGTTTGCACTTTACTTGTACAACAGATTATTTAAGTTGAGCCACTTTTTAAAATTAGTTTGATTAAAATTTATTTCGATTAAGAATAGGATTAAATTTGTAATAATTGAACTGATTTTTTTGTGCATATGTGTCTTAAATTAGCAGCATATCTCACCTTTTCTCAAAAACCAAAGACAACTTATGGACAGATACTTATACATTACCTGTCACTCAGCAGATGTCCATCATGACAGTCAACCACATGTTTCTGCTGGACCAAGCGCATCCTTTTATTCTGTAAAGACAGAAATAAACATACATTTAGTTTTACAGAACAACAGTAAAGCTCAATTCACACTGTCATATGACATGCCCAAAACACTATTTTAATTGAGTTTAAAACAGGTCATATTAACATTAAGCTCATAAATAAAGACAAAGATGCAGAAGCATTAGAGATTCCTACATTAGCCATGAAGACTGTTGACAAAAACTAATCCAGTGGTTTTTTTTATTGCCAACATCACAATAAAACAGCAAAAGATATAAACACAACAGCTCATTTGTTCAACCTAATAAGCTTTAGGAGAATCTCTATCCTAAATTCACATGACAATAACAGGGAGTTCATCAAGAGAGCAACATGTAAACAAAGACTGTTAAAAGGTAAGACTGTCTTAATACAAATTGAATTATTTATTTATCTCTTTCTCTATTTCTATTAATATTTATCCATTTCTCCAGAGTTATAGTTGTACTTAAACGGAGAATGACTGACAATAGCAGCATCACCCATACACCAGAAAACAAATAAAAACGCATTACAAAACGAAATTAATGATTTAAATACAATTATAAGGATGATTATATACTATAATATTTAATATAACTGGTAAATAATGAGCGCTAACGACTTTAAAAATTAAAACGCACTAATTATGTGTGGATACTTACAGGTGACCAGAGTGACATTCTTGATGCTTCACTTTACAGCGTGTCGTTTGTTATTATTGATGGGCTGAAATATGTGCTATTGAGTGACATAGTCTGTAAATGAGCTGTCATCTGCAGTAACTGTACTTTAATGGCCTTAAAACATAAATAAACAGTCGTGTCGAGGCGGCTGTCATCAGTGTCATGTTGTTGATGAGGCTCTAAAGGTGTCACAGTCACGCGCGCTGAACGTCAAAGCCGCAGACGCCGCCTAGTGGAGCGGAAGTGAATCAGTGTCAGTGGTTTTAATGCATGTAAACAAACAAGTGTGTCGTTGGAGACGGGATGCGTTTTTAGTTTTATATATTTTAAATCACGTCTGTGATCTTCTTTCAATGGTCTCGAGCAGCAGATAAACATGGCATCTAACGGATGATCAGCTTCCCAACTGAAGGGGTAAGAAAATAATAATGAAATGTCCAATGTGTTGAACTGCAGTTGGCATATAGCACATGGCCGAAATATAAACACAAACAGTAGAAGAGACAAGAGGTCCTACAAATATAGTGTTTTACAATTTGTTTATGCTTCAAATATATATATTTGACTCAAAGTTATCTATTATTTGAGTTCAGGGTCAATAATTTTTCATGTTGTTATGATATTTGCAGACTCCTAAAGTCTATTTTAAAACAACTCATTTTCCAGCTAATCCATGTGGACATGAAGTGTATCTTACAGAACTGAACCACAGAGGGAAAATGACCTATAGTATCTCTTACTGACTTACTTAGATTGCATGAGGAAATGCTGCAAGTATTGATGCATAATTCTGATTTGGATCTCCTCTGTGGTCTCCTAAATGCTGTGTCCACTGTCATGCACAGGAGTGTGTGTGTGTGGACTCCTCACTGCTGTGTTAAACCAGTTGCTTCTTGAGCTCATTCTGACAATGAGCTTTGTGTAAATCTAAGCCGGTGTTTTCTCCCTAAGTGTAAGGCTTTGTTCCATTTTGGAAAAAATTGTAATTTTAGTGTGTCCTAAACATTAACAAGCATCATACTGTCCTGATGTTAGTTAATAGAGTACGTGTGTGAATCTGCACTGTTTCGGTTCTCATGAAAACCATCAGATATAAAAAGATAATTGCTTAATGTTTGTCTTTGCTCTGCAGGATAAGGTTGTTTGGAGCAGCACACTCATCCAGCAGAAGCATGTGGATAGAAATTGACAGTAATGATGCTCATCTGCTGATGGACCGGTCAGACTTTTCACTGGGCGTTTTTCACACATGTGGTACAGTGATTGCTGTGTATCGGTACTTCTGGCGTAATGCATTAGGCGCTAGCTTTCACAACCTCTCACAACCTTACCAGCATTTACAGTACAGTTTTTGTCTTGTGGATTTTTTCAAATTTTTGTATTTGTGCATAGTGTTTTTTGCGCCTTATCACACTCCTTGAACACCTGCTTAACCAGAAACATTACTCAATTTCTACTAATGTATTTTCGTTTTTTTACCTGTGTATATTCGGTAGAGTGTGGATTTGCAAACACTTCTCGGATTGATTCTCATTTTTTCAAAGCAGTGATTTTAGTGTGAATTTTGTGCAAATCTGATACATCAAATCCTGTTTTGAAGATAACCTCTAACTGTTTATATGATTTAATGCAGCAAATGGGTCAGAACATAGTACTACATCTGTTGATTGTGTTTCCTGACATTCTGTCGTATGGCACTGCGAAAGGGGGCGGGATTAAACTAGATTGTTAGACATTTTAAAAAAAGCGAGCGATTGCTCCATATTTAAAATTTCTGGTCAGAGAGGTCGTGTTTTGATCCTCGAATGGTCTCAGGAAAGTCAAGTGATGCGATTTCGCAGGTCAGAGTTCACCAAGCTTAAACTTTGCATCGCAGCGAACTGCAAAACTTGACTCATGATCTTGCATTTCCCGTCTGACGCATCAGCATGCGTATGAAGTGGTTACGAATTATTAGAAATTAAATATCCAAGTTTATTTGTCTTTCTAGTCTGTACACTTGCATTTTATTAAGTAGAAAATAGAAAATAAATATTGTAAATTAATGTAATGTAATGCTATGATTTACATTTTTCCGATTGGCTACTTCTACTTCATACCTAATGAGGGGGAGGGGCTTGCTGCTCAAACAATACACAGACTCTGACGTGAAGCAGCAGCAGCTCCGTGTTTCCTGTGTTTTTATTAACATTATTGTCCCTCATCAGGTATGAAATATTGAAATTGTTATCAAAATGTGTTGAATATACTTTAGAGATATAAAAGCAACAAATGTCATCTATTAAATTAACCTGATAGTGTATATTAATATATATAAGAGTTTGTATTAACTGTATATATATACGCTCTGCACTGTAATTCCAACGGTAACAGTGATGATTTAAATGCCAACTGAAGAAACGGTCAAGTGAATGTATATTATATGTATCAACATAACAACTAACAAAGTGAATATTGTTACAAAAGTAATTATAAAGTCACAAAGTGCTATTATTTCCCATAGTTGGTTACAATGTATATATAAAGAGAGATATATGTGTAGGTCGGTTATATGCCTTTGTGTGTGTTATAGAATAATTAAACCGTGAATAGTTTATTTAGGAAGAATCATATAATTACTTTATAGTAATTTATAACAGTAATGTGCAGGGAATATGCATGTGATTATTTTGTGATATGTGTATATATATAATATCTGTGAAGATGTTTACATATGTTGTTCTACAATGTGAAAGTATACTTTTAAGTGCATTCATTTTAAAAAACAATACACAGACTCTGACGTGAAGCAGCAGCAGCAGCTCTGTGTTCCCTGTGTTTTTATTAACATTATTGTCCCTCATCAGGCGGTGAGGGTGCTACATGTATGAATGGAAGTCTATGGGGAGAAAAGTGCAGTGTGCAGTGAGAGCTTGAGGCTTTCCGGAAACATCCTTCAGTTTAGAGTCAGTTTGGTGTGTGAATTCACAGTGTTCTGCTTCTTACGAAAACCATCACATATCGAAAGAAATTCACAGCTTTATGTCTGTGTTTGCTCTGCAGAGAAAGGGGCGTGTTTGGTGCATCAACACTCATCCAGCAGAAGCATGTGGACAAGAGCAGAACTACTGCTAGACATGATTTGGTTGCTCAGTGGGGACGCCCTGATCCCCCACACCTTCTCACTCACTGTTCAACTGTTATGTTCCCTGTATTTATACTAAAAACTGCTAAAGTTACTAGTCTAACAGGGTCTTGAACCCTTTGGACCACAACACAACCTTGTCTTCAATACCCAGCGGAGCCAACATGGCCAACACGAGACCCAATCTGAAGTGTATTTAAGTACACTGGCGCTAATTACAATTCATAAAGTGCAGTCTTTAAGCATAATCAAGCTTTCAATGTTTCTGATGCTTAAGTGACAACACAACTCACCTGTAAGTCTTCCTTGCTTATATATATATTATTTAAGTATAATGCTGCTGCAGAGCTCATTTAGACTTTGTTTTCATGCTGCTCTATTGCTGAATTGTCAGACTTTCAGAAAATCAAACACATTGCTTGTTGTTCCCTAACTTATAATCTCATCATCATATTTCCAGTCACACAAAAAAAGACATCAATCCATGTGTCTTTAGGAGAAATGCTGTTTAACATTTATATACTATTCTAGTTGACTTTATATCACTTAGACTGTAAAAATATCTATAAATTAGCAGATTTTTATAATTTGTGATTCATGTTTTTATTTTTCCCCATTTATTTATGTTTTTGAATAGCATTATGGGACATTGATCATTCCTACAACAACTTTTACCCTTTGAAAATTTAAAAAAAGTGACTTATCGGCATTTTGAATAGTTTAAAGTGACTTACCAGTACATTTTCTGTCTTTTTACAGACTTATTTCTCTATATATTATTTCTTATATTCATTCAAGACTACTAAAATGTCAATAAAAGTCACTTTATTAAACTTTAGAGTTGAATTTGCAACATCAAAAGTGGACAAAGCGGAGATCAACATTCCATAATGCAATTCACAACTGAATACAGAAAACACTTGTGAATCGCTAAATACTGACACTGTTAATTAACAAGTAAGGTGCTCTTACTTGGGAACCACACATCTCATGTTCGGACACATGAAGGAACTTTATTTCACCTGTCAGTGGCCTGAGCTCACATAATAAAGCAGTAAAACTGACTTGTTTGATACTCTGAACTGGGGTTTGAACATGTGACTCCATCACAGCCTTGTCTTTAAGTAAGATGTGCTTAACCAATGGAGCCAGAAAAGAAATCATCATGTTTTCTAACTTTGTTTTATGTACTAATAGTTTAATAAAGTTTTAATCAAATATATAAACTTATGTTTTTTGTGCTTAACCTCATCCTTGCTCCATAACAGCCGTGGCTTCTTGTGACTGATAGCCAGGGCACAGTGATAGAAGGGAGAAGTTAAATTCTGAGAACTTGTTCTCAGCAAAATGTTACAGCTCTTTCTTTTAGAATGTGCTTGTTTTTTTCTTTTTTTAAACAGGAATGAAGGAAGAAACACTGATGGGATGGGTGCAGGCTCACTCTCGTGTGCTCTGATATGTGTGTGCGTGACTTTGTTTTGCCAGAGTAGCTGTTCTGCCCGATATGTGGTGATTGGGCTGAACTGGATGGAGGATCTTTCTTACTGAAGCTGAAGATTGATGATAAATATAGGCTGCAGTGCAGAAAATGTGTTTTGACAGTAGCTGGCCACCTGTGCTGTGTGAAGCCATTGCAGCTCAGAGCTCTATGATGCTTTATTCAGCTAATTAATTAAATTAATTTAACTTATTTAAAGCCTCTGACTGATGTTTTAACCTGGGAAGACTAGGACAAGTCCAACACCAGCCTAACTTTATTGTCCAGGACTGCATTTGCAGACACTTTGATTGGGTTCAACATAAGATATCAGGTTTGAACTCAAATAAATTGCTGCTCTTTTTATTATTTCATAAATGTTGAGGCAAATTGGGATTTGAACTCTGGGTTTCTTGTTGCAAGGTAATGAAATTCCCACTGCGCCACCAAGTTTAATGTTTGTGTATGTTTAGTTGCCTATGATAAACTGCTATAAACATGATTTTTCCCCCCTCAAAACAATGATCAGAGGACTGTATTACTAAATCTACTGTTTTTGTGTGTGTGTGTGTGTGTGTGTGTGTGTGTGTGTGTGTGTGTGTGTGTGTGTGTGTGTGTGTGTGTGTGTGTGTGTGTGTGTGTGTGTGTGTGTGTGTGTGTGTGTGTGTTTAAAATGAAAATAAATTCAGTCCTCACCTGCAAGATGATGTTTAACTTTAATTATTTGCTCATACTTTCACCGGCCACAAGAGAGCGCTGAATGTTGTTGTACTAAAACTACTGCAAACTAAGAATAGGTAATAAATAGGGGATGAGTATGCAGATAGTAAAGACACCTATACGTTTTCGACTGAAGTTATTGACCAATAAATTATTATTTGTAAGTTTTTTACATTACAACGCGACTTGCAAAGTGAAAGCGAAAGTGCAGATCTTCATCCGCTCCACTAGGCGGCGCGAGCGGCTTCGCGTCCAGTCTGACTCACAGCTTCAGGTGTTTGTTTGACAACAAGGAGCGCGTGATGACAGACACCAAAACAAAACGCGTGCAGTTTGATTTAAATACACAATTTACAGATGACAGCTTAGCGACAGACTCTTAATGTGTTTAAACAGCACATATTCCAGCTCAACAGCGAATTAAAGCAGCGGAATCTGCGATAAAGTGCAGGAATGGAGTGAAGAGACTCACCTGTAAGTGTCATTTCTCTTTAAGTCATTGCTTTGCTTGTAAAGTGACTGACATGAGCTGTGGAACAGTCTTTAAATTACTATAATAATAATTGGTATATATTTACTGAGATGTTGTGAAAGACTCGTCTGTCAGTTTATTTATATTTACATTATGATGGATGAAATATGTTGAACACTGTAAGATTTTAAATGATTTTGATGGTGTCTTTAACCTACACTATATTACAAGGGGGATTTGCTATTTCAACATGAGCTTGACTGAAGGTTGTCTCAGCTTACATGATGATTATCAGACTTTGTTTACATCTTTCTTGCTATTGTCACTGTCAGACTTTGTTTATGTATTTTTTACGAGTAGAATTAAGATATTTATATTGTAAAGCAGCAAAAATCTGGACTTATGCTTGATAAAAAGGTCAGTTAAAAAGATTTTGTAGAGCCGCAGACAGTGTTTAATACTGTACCTGTCAAATAGACAATATCTATATATCTGTACATGTGATCTTCTGTTTATGAGCTGTTACGTTGATGATGAAGTGATGAACTCTGGTGTTTTAGATGTGTTTTCTGCTGTTAAGTGTTCATTTGTGTGTTTCCTCTCCAGAGTGAAGGTTGTGTTTGGACTGTTCAGCCAACAGAATCAGAGCTCTGGGACAGTTGACAGCCATGGACTGTAAGGATGGACGTCTGCTGCAGGACAGGTGAGACCCGCACCTTGTGTTTGAGGTTTGGTGTGTCGGTTACCATCATTTTCTTTCTGGAGGGTCGTCCCTCTGGAAAGGAAATGATGGTAACCGAAACGGGAGGAGAAGGGACGGGGGTCCAGATTTTTATACAGCTAAATTTATTTTTTGGTAAAAAGCAGCATAACCCCTGCTGTACATGGCCCCGTAGGTCAGGGTGGGACCCGACCCATCCCACCCCTTCTTTCACACCACATTCACACATATCGCAGTGATCCAGCTGGGATTGAACCAGCGACCTCTTAACCCACAAGGCATTGCTCTACCACTGAGCCACAGATCACATAAAGAAAGATGTGCTGGAACTCATATTTGACTATTCAAGTGAACATGAAAACATTTAAAGCTTGAGTGAAGCTTGAACCCAGATCTCTTTGATGAGAGCACAATGCTCTACCACTGAGCCACATTTCTCATTATACATCACCTGCTGGGGCTCATATTTGACTAATATTTCACTGCCTGATGTGCAATAAATGAGCAGAGCCGGGCTTCGAACCCAAGTTTTTACGACAGTCTTCAGCATGGAGAACATGTGTTCAGCCAGTAGCACCACTGTGGCTTTCACACTTGTTTGAGGAATTTAGCAAAGTTTGTCAGATATAATGCCACTTATTTAACGTATACACTAATGTGATTTGAAGCCAGCGTTCCTCGATAACAACACTACGCTCTACCCACTGATCCACAGATCTGTTTCCAGGTCATGTGCTGGAACTTTTATTTCACTCTGATTTTACAACAAGCCTGTGAAGAAAACATCAACATGCTGCAGCAGGATTTGAACCCAAGACTCCATCATCAGAGCACATGTGTTTTACTACTTGCACCACTGTGACTTCACTCCTAGCATTGGTGTTTTGGACACTTTGTTGATTTATTTACATCAGTTTTTCACAATCTAAAGAGGGATTTGTACTCTAGTATTGAGTGTAGAAGTTGCAGCTGATTATCCACTGAGCCACAGAGCCTGTGAGGAGCGTCAGAGACTTTTAATGCATTTATTTTTCATGCACGACTCATTTTTGGATTAATTTAAAATGTCTCATGCAGAAATAATCATTAATTAAATTGATGACACGAACGTCATTTGTATATACCATTTGTTTATTCAAGTTATTTGAAATAAAGAGTCTCATTCACCTTGAAGCTTCTTGTGATCTGAAAGACTTTGATTAACAGCATCAGGTGTTATTGATCAGGCTGGAGGTGAAATACTGAAGTGGATCTTCAGGATCAGGATTAGACAAACGCTCGAGACAAGAAAAAGCTCGATTTAATTAATTTTTGATGTGTTAATGCAGGTCCTCTTACTGTCCACAAGATGGAGCTGAAGGACTGACCTGCTCTCAGAGGAATTCACTATTTAACAGATTTATTTGTCCAAATATGCTGTATGCACTCAACAATCAGTCAAACTCTACTAGAAATGCTGCTTGGGTTTGCAAACAGAACTTAAAGTAAACTAAAACAAGTGAACATCACTTAATACAGATGTGAAACAGATAAACTGCACAGAGATACAGACTAAACAAGCCTCTGGAAATATTTTGTCCTGTTTTGAGTGTTTAAACTTGAGGTTTGGCCATTTAGCACTATCTTTACCCCATCAGCGTGTTCAGCTCCTGAATAAATCACTGATTCGTTTGCAAATGTACATAAATCAAGCCCCAGTTCAAAGTCGTATAATACCTAAAGTCTATCGAGTACACAGAAGCGAAAGTGCAGATCTTCATCCGCTCCACTAGGCGGCGCGAGCGGCTTCGCGTCCAGTCTGACTCACAGCTTCAGGTGTTTGTTTGACAACAAGGAGCGCGTGATGACAGACACCAAAACAAAACGCGTGCAGTTTGATTTAAATACACAATTTACAGATGACAGCTTAGCGACAGACTCTTAATGTGTTTAAACAGCACATATTCCAGCTCAACAGCGAATTAAAGCAGCGGAATCTGCGATAAAGTGCAGGAATGGAGTGAAGAGACTCACCTGTAAGTGTCATTTCTCTTTAAGTCATTGTTTTGCTTGTAAAGTGACTGACATGAGCTGTGGAAAAGTCTTTACATTATTATAATAACCACTGATATATATTTACTGAGATGTTGTGAAAGACTCGTCTGTCAGTTTATTTATATTTACATTATGATGGATGAAATATGTTGAACACTGTAAGATTTTAAATGATTTTGATGGTGTCTTTAATCTACACTATATTACAAGGGGGATTTGCTATTTCAACATGAGCTTGACTGAAGGTTGTCTCAGCTTACATGATGATTATCAGACTTTGTTTACATCTTTCTTGCTATTGTCACTGTCAGACTTTGTTTATGTATTTTTTACGAGTAGAATTAAGATATTTATATTGTAAAGCAGCAAAAATCTGGACTCATGCTTGTAAAAAGTGTCAATTAAAGAGATTTTGTAGAGCCGCAGACAGTGTTTAATACTGTACCTGTCAAATAGACAATATCTATATATCTGTACATGTGATCTTCTGTTTATGAGCTGTTACGTTGATGATGAAGTGATGAACTCTGGTGTTTTAGATGTGTTTTCTGCTGTTAAGTGTTCATTTGTGTGTTTCCTCTCCAGAGTGAAGGTTGTGTTTGGACTGTTCAGCCAACAGAATCAGAGCTCTGGGACATTTGACAGCCATGGACTGTAAGGATGGACGTCTGCTGCAGGACAGGTGAGACCCGCACCTTGTGTTTGAGGTTTGGTGTGTCGGTTACCATCATTTTCTTTCTGGAGGGTCGTCCCTCTGGAAAGGAAATGATGGTAACCGAAACGGGAGGAGAAGGGACGGGGGTCCAGATTTTTATACAGCTAAATTTAATTTTGTGGTAAAAAGCAGCATAACCCCTGCTGTACATGGCCCCGTAGGTCAGGGTGGGACCCGACCCATCCCACCCCTTCTTTCACACCACATTCACACATATCGCAGTGATCTGGCTGGGATTGAACCAGCGACCTCTTAACCCACGAGGCATTGCTCTACCACTGAGCCACAGATCACATAAAGAAAGATGTGCTGGAACTCATATTTGACTATTCAAGTGAACATGAAAACATTTAAAGCTTGAGTGAGGTTTGAACCCAGATCTCTTTGATGAGAGCGCAATGCTCTACCACTGAGCCACATTTCTCATTATACATCACCTGCTGGGGCTCATATTTGACTAATATTTCACTGCCTGATGTGCAATAAATGAGCAGAGCTGGGCTTCGAACCCAAGTTTTTACGACAGTCTTCAGCATGGAGAACATGTGTTCAGCCAGTAGCACCACTGTGGCTTTTATACTTGTTTGGGGAATTTAGCAAAGTTTGTCAGATATAATGGCAGTTATTTAACGTATACACTAATGTGATTTGAAGCCAGCGTTCCTCGATAACAACACTACGCTCTACCCACTGATCCACAGATCTGTTTCCAGGTCATGTGCTGGAACTTTTATTTCACTCTGATTTTACAACAAGCCTGTGAAGAAAACATCAACATGCTGCAGCAGGATTTGAACCCAAGACTCCATCATCAGAGAACATGTGTTTTACTGCTTGCACCACTGTGACTTCACTCCTAGCATTGGTGTTTTGGACACTTTGTTGATTTATTTACATCAGTTTTTCACAATCAAAAGAGGGATTTGTACTCAAGTATTGAGTGTAGAAGTTGCAGCTGATTATCCACTGAGCCACAGAGCCTGTGAGGAGCGGCAGAGACTTTTAATGCATTTATTTTTCATGCAAGACTAATTTTTGGATTAATTTAAAATGTCTCATGCAGAAATAATCATTAATTAAATTGATGACACGAACGTCATTTGTATATACCATTTGTTTATTCAAGTTATTTGAAATAAAGAGTCTCATTCACCTTGAAGCTTCTTGTGATCTGAAAGACTTTGATTAACAGCATCAGGTGTTATTGATCAGGCTGGAGGTGAAATACTGAAGTGGATCTTCAGGATCAGGATTAGACAAACGCTCGAGACAAGAAAAAGCTCGATTTAATTAATTTTTGATGTGTTAATGCAGGTCCTCTTACTGTCCACAAGATGGAGCTGAAGGACTGACCTGCTCTCAGAGGAATTCACTATTTAACAGATTTATTTGTCCAAATATGCTGTATGCACTCAACAATCAGTCAAACTCTACTAGAAATGCTGCTTGGGTTTGCAAACAGAACTTAAAGTAAACTAAAACAAGTGAACATCACTTAATACAGATGTGAAACAGATAAACTGCACAGAGATACAGACTAAACAAGCCTCTGGAAATATTTTGTCCTGTTTTGAGTGTTTAAACTTGAGGTTTGGCCATTTAGCACTTTCTTTACCCCATCAGCGTGTTCAGCTCCTGAATAAATCATAGATTCGTTTGCAAATGTACATAAATCAAGCCCCAGTTCAAAGTCGCATAATACCTAAAGTCTATCGAGTACACAGAAGCGAAAGTGCAGATCTTCATCCGCTCCACTAGGCGGCGCGAGCGGCTTCGCGTCCAGTCTGACTCACAGCTTCAGGTGTTTGTTTGACAACAAGGAGCGCGTGATGACAGACACCAAAACAAAACGCGTGCAGTTTGATTTAAATACACAATTTACAGATGACAGCTTAGCGACAGACTCTTAATGTGTTTAAACAGCACATATTCCAGCTCAACAGCAAATTAAAGCAGCGGAATCTGCGATAAAGTGCAGGAATGGAGTGAAGAGACTCACCTGTAAGTGTCATTTCTCTTTAAGTCATTGTTTTGCTTGTAAAGTGACTGACATGAGCTGTGGAACAGTCTTTACACATTTACAATAATCACTGGTATATATTTACTGAGATGTTGTGTAAGACTCGTCTGTCAGTTTATTTATATTTACATTATGATGGATGAAATATGTTGAACACTGTAAGATTTTAAATGATTTTGATGGTGTCTTTAATCTACACTATATTACAAGGGGGATTTGCTATTTCAACATGAGCTTGACTGAAGGTTGTCTCAGCTTACATGATGATTATCAGACTTTGTTTACATCTTTCTTGCTATTGTCACTGTCAGACTTTGTTTATGTATTTTTTACGAGTAAAATTAAGATATTTATATTGTAAAGCAGCAAAAATCTGGACTCAAGCTTGTAAAAAGTGTCAATTAAAGAGATTTTGTAGAGCCGCAGACAGTGTTTAATACTGTACCTGTCAAATAGACAATATCTATATATCTGTACATGTGATCTTCTGTTTATGAGCTGTTACGTTGATGATGAAGTGATGAACTCTGGTGTTTTAGATGTGTTTTCTGCTGTTAAATGTTCATTTGTGTGTTTCCTCTCCAGAATGAAGGTTGTGTTTGGACTGTTCAGCCAACAGAATCAGAGCTCTGGGACATTTGACAGCCATGGACTGTAAGGATGGACGTCTGCTGCAGGACAGGTGAGACCCGCACCTTGTGTTTGAGGTTTGGTGTGTCGGTTACCATCATTTTCTTTCTGGAGGGTCGTCCCTCTGGAAAGAAATGATGGTAACCGAAACGGGAGGAGAAGGGACGGGGGTCCAGATTTTTATACAGCTAAATTTATTTTGTGGTAAAAAGCAGCATAACCCCTGCTGTACATGGCCCCATAGGTCAGGGTGGGACCCGACCCATCCCACCCCTTCTTTCACACCACATTCACACATATCGCAGTGATCTGGCTGGGATTGAACCAGCGACCTCTTAACCCACGAGGCATTGCTCTACCACTGAGCCACAGATCACATAAAGAAAGATGTGCTGGAACTCATATTTGACTATTCAAGTGAACATGAAAACATTTAAAGCTTGAGTGAGGCTTGAACCCAGATCTCTTTGAAGAGAGCGCAATGCTCTACCACTGAGCCACATTTCTCATTATACATCACATGCTGGAACTCATATTTGACTAATATTTCACTGCCTGATGTGCAATAAATGAGCAGAGCTGGGCTTTGAACCCAAGTCTTTACAACAGTCTTCAGCATGGAGAACATGTGTTCAGCCAGTAGCACCACTGTGGCTTTCACGCTTGTTTGAGGAGTTTAGCAAAGTTTGTCAGATATAATGCCACTTATTTAATCTATGCAATAATGAGATTTGAACCTAGAACTTCTTATTGGCCTCACAAAGCACTAACCACTGAGGCACAGATCTGTTGTCTGTTCAGGTGCTGGAACTTATATTTCACTCTGATTTTACAAATATTCTGTTAAAACAGGCAGAAGTAGGATTTGGACCCACGACTCCATCATCAAGTACACATCTCTCTGGGATTGAACCAGCAACTTCTTAACCCATGAGGCATTGCTCTGCTGCTGAGCCACAGTCCACATGTAGAATGATGTGCTGGAACTCGTATTCATCTATTATTTCACTTCCTCTTGATCAATAATTGAGCAGAGCTGGGATATATTATTTCACACTTGTATGTGGTGTTTTAGACACTTAGCTGGATTTCATAATCACCATTTATCACAATCAATTGAGGGATTTTGAACCCATGAAAGTATTAAGACTGAACATGGGTATAACCACATGCGCCACTGTGACTTGCACAATTTAAACTGGTGTTTTGGACATTTTGTTGGATTTAAGAACAGTACGGTTTCATTTCCTGACTTGAGCACAGAGAGTGCAGCTGATTATCTACTGAGACACAGAGCCTGTAATGAGGGCAGGAGATTTTCACACACTTCTTTTTATTCAGCTCCTGATAATCTAATCTTTCAGTCTATTATCTGTGTAAGTTTGTGTGACAAAGTTATTTCTGCTGTCCGGGTAATTTTTTGATGACCTTAAAATGTCAGATGCACAACTAATAATTATAAAAATGGTCAAATAAATCAATGAAGTGAATAAATAAAAGCAAATACACCTTTATTCTTATTTCCAAATCAAACTCACACTAAAAAACACTCATTATTTGTAAATAGATGTCATAGTCAAATACATGCTTTATGATTGATTGAATTGCAAAGTGTGTCAGATTAGCTTGAAGCTTCTTGTTAACTAAAGGTCCTTCATTAACAGCCTCAGGTGTTTTGAATCAGGTTGGAGGTGAACTGGAGAGTGGATCTACAGGATCAGGATCAGACAACTGCTTGAGAAAGAAAAAAAGGCTCGATTTAATTCAGGTTTCGTGTATTAATGCAGATCCACATATTGTCCACAAGATGGAGCTGAAACACTGATCTGATGACATTCATCTCTGTTTTAAATGAAGCTGCCATTAAATGCGTTGATGCATGAGAACAAATCAGTGTTTCAGCTCCGTCTTGTGGACAATATGTGGATCTGCATTAATACATGAAATCTGAATTAAATTGAGCCTTTTTTTCTCTCAAGCAGTTGTCTAATCCTGATCCTGATGATCCACTCTCCAGTTCACCTCCAACCTGATTCAAAACACCTGAGGCTGTTAATGAAGGACCTTCAGCTAACAAGAAGCTTACTTAATTACTCGAACAGCAGAAATAACTTTATACACAGATAATAGACTGAAGTTATTGGATTATCAAGAGCCAGAAACTCAAACTGAATAAAAGAAGTGTGTGAAAATCTCCTGCCCTCATTACAGGCTCTGTGTCTCAGTGGATAATCAGCTGCACTCTCTGTGCTCAAGTCTGGAAATGAAACCTTACTGTTCTTAAATCCAACAAAATGTCCAAAACACCAGTTTAAATTGTGCAAGTCACAGTGGCGCATGTGGATATACTCATGTTTAGTCTTAATACTTTCATGGGTTCAAAATCCCTCAATTGATTGTGATAAATGGTGATTATGAAATCCAGCTAAGTGTCTAAAACACCACATACAAGTGTGAAATAATATATCCCAGCTCTGCTCAATTATTGATCAAGAGGAAGTGAAATAATAGATGAATATGAGTTCCAGCACATCATTCCACATGTGGACTGTGGCTCAGCAGCAGAGCAATGCCTCATGGGTTAAGAAGTTGCTGGTTCAATCCCAGAGAGATGTGTACTTGATGATGGAGTCGTGGGTCCAAATCCTACTTCTGCCTGTTTTAACAGAATATTAGTAAAATCAGAGTGAAATATAAGTTACAGCACCTGTACAGACAACAGATCTGTGCCTCAGTGGTTAGTGCTTTGTGAGGCCAATAAGAAGTTCTGGGTTCAAATCTCATTATTGCATAGATTAAATAAGTGGCATTATATCTGACAAACTTTGCTAAACTCCTCAAACAAGCGTGAAAGCCACAGTGGTGCTCCTGGCTGAACACATGTTCTCCATGCTGAAGACTGTTGTAAAGACTTGGGTTCAAAGCCCAGCTCTGCTCATTTATTGCACATCAGGCAGTGAAATATTAGTCAAATATGAGTCCCAGCATGTGATGTGTAATGAAAAATGTGGCTCAGTGGTAGAGCATTGTGCTCTCATCAAAGAGATCTGGGTTCAAGTCTCACTCAAGCTTTAAATGTTTTCATGTTCACTTGAATAGTCAAATATGAGTTCCAGCACATCTTTCTTTATGTGATCTGTGGCTCAGTGGTAGAGCAATGCCTCGTGGGTTAAGAGGTTGCTGGTTCAATCCCAGCCAGATCACTGTGATATGTGTGAATGTGGTGTGAAAGAAGGGGTGGGATGGGTCGGGTCCCACCCTGACCTACGGGGCCATGTACAGCAGGGGTTATGCTGCTTTTTACCACAAAATTAAATTTAGCTGTATAAAAATCTGGACCCCCATCCCTTCTCCTCCCGTTTCGGTTACCATCATTTCCTTTCCAGAGGGACGACCCTCCAGAAAGAAAATGATGGTAACCGACACACCAAACCTCAAACACAAGGTGCGGGTCTCACCTGTCCTGCAGCAGACGTCCATCCTTACAGTCCATGGCTGTCAACTGTCCCAGAGCTCTGATTCTGTTGGCTGAACAGTCCAAACACAACCTTCATTCTGGAGAGGAAACACACAAATGAACACTTAACAGCAGAAAACACATCTAAAACACCAGAATTCATCACTTCATCATCAACGTAACAGCTCATAAACAGAAGATCACATGTACAGATATATAGATATTGTCTATTTGACAGGTACAGTATTAAACACTGTCTGCGGCTCTACAAAATCTCTTTAATTGACACTTTTTACAAGCATAAGTCCAGATTTTTGCTGCTTTACAATATAAATATCTTAATTCTAGTCATAAAAAATACATAAACAAAGTCTGACAGTGACAATAGCAAGAAAGATGTAAACAAAGTCTGATAATCATCATGTAAGCTGAGACAACCTTCAGTCAAGCTCATGTTGAAATAGCAAATCCCCCTTGTAATATAGTGTAGATTAAAGACACCATCAAAATCATTTAAAATCTTACAGTGTTCAACATATTTCATCCATCATAATGTAAATATAAATAAACTGACAGACGAGTCTTACACAACATCTCAGTAAATATATATCAGTGGTTATTATAATAATGTAAAGACTTTTCCACAGCTCATGTCAGTCACTTTACAAGCAAAACAATGACTTAAAGAGAAATGACACTTACAGGTGAGTCTCTTCACTCCATTCCTGCACTTTATCGCAGATTCCGCTGCTTTAATTTGCTGTTGAGCTGGAATATGTGCTGTTTAAACACATTAAGAGTCTGTCGCTAAGCTGTCATCTGTAAATTGTGTATTTAAATCAAACTGCACGCGTTTTGTTTTGGTGTCTGTCATCACGCACTCCTTGTTGTCAAACAAACACCTGAAGCTGTGAGTCAGACTGGACGCGAAGCCGCTCGCGCCGCCTAGTGGAGCGGATGAAGATCTGCACTTTCGCTTCTGTGTACTCGATAGACTTTAGGTATTATACGACTTTGAACTGGGGCTTGATTTATGTACATTTACAAATGAATCTATGATTTATTCAGGAGCTGAACACGCTGATGGGGTAAAGATAGTGCTAAATGGCCAAACCTCAAGTTTAAACACTCAAAACAGGACAAAATATTTCCAAAGGCTCGTTTAGTCTGTATCTCTGTGCAGTTTATCTGTTTCACATCTGTATTAAGTGATGTTCACTTGTTTTAGTTTACTTTAAGTTCTGTTTGCAAACCCAAGCAGCATTTCTAGTAGAGTTTGACTGATTGTTGAGTGCATACAGCATATTTGGACAAATAAATCTGTTAAATAGTGAATTCCTCTGAGAGCAGGTCAGTCCTTCAGCTCCATCTTGTGGACAGTAAGAGGACCTGCATTAACACATCAAAAATTAATTAAATCGAGCTTTTTCTTGTCTCGAGCGTTTGTCTAATCCTGATCCTGAAGATCCACTTCAGTATTTCACCTCCAGCCTGATCAATAACACCTGATGCTGTTAATCTAAGTCTTTCAGATCACAAGAAGCTTCAAGGTGAATGAGACTCTTTATTTCAAATAACTTGAATAAACAAATGGTATATACAAATGACGTTCGTGTCATCAATTTAATTAATGATTATTTCTGCATGTGACATTTTAATTTAATCCAAAA